GAGCTGGTCACCCCGTGGTGCCCCCCTTATAAAACTCAACGTTTAACCTACTCACGCCGGCTTGTGCCCGCCCTCACAGTCGGGCATATTTGCGGAATACACCACGTAGTGCCGCCGTGTGACCCTGGCCATTGACCGAGCAACCCAACGTTCCTACCAGCTCCCTCCGCAGGAATGTGTTAGATCACGACGCTTTGATCGCAACACAAGCACTCGTCATCAGGTGAGACAACCACAGCAAGAAAACTGTTTGTCTCACCTGATGACGATTGCTTGTGTTGCGATCGAAACGTCGTGATCTTTTATTTATTTTACCTACGTGACTTTACCGAAAGAACCAAAGAGTATAGGGTAAAGGTCAGTTATATATTTTTTTTACCAGGTAAAGTCCGCTAAACTACATAGCTCTTTTTTAAAGAAGCGACCTGGTCACAAATAATAGCTCAACGAAGTGACTGACCGTGTGGAAATGTATAGCAGCGAAATACTCTAAACGCGTGATGTTGATTCTAAACGTGGAGGGAAAACTGGAGGACCTGGAAGGAAAATCCACACGACCACGGAGAGAGAGACACGCAATGCCCAAATATACAGCAGGCGTCAGGGTCGGGTTCGAACCCACGACCTCCTGTATACCAGGCGAGGTAGTTAACATCTCACAGCCACCGTGGGGCCGGCCCCAGTTGAAATGACAATACTAGTGGCTGATTGGATAATTGGTAAGGGTAAATGTAAGGAATAGTATTCTGTTTGTGGATGTTTGGTTAGGTTTAAGCTCATTTGTAGGACTGGTACGAATAGCTGCTTTGGTGTATTACTCTACTCCGTGTTGCTACGGTTTGTCCTTTTATTGGGTCAATTTTCTGGCCAGATTCGCATAGTGACGAGTGTCAATTTGAACGTTCTCTAGCTTAGGCCAACGTATACCATTGACGCCATCACACAATCAGAAATGAGCGGGCAACACGGCCGAGCGATGCGCTTGGGGCCGTTTCGTCTCGACGTGAATGTGACCCCGAGTGTCCCGCAGCGCACAGACGGTGACATCTGCGGGAGAGCCAGTGGCTGGCTGCTCGAGGCCCGTGGGGTTTAAGCGTGGGGGTGGAGGGTCATACTGCGCTCTCTAGCGACGGCGGGAGCCACGGGGCCACGCCACATTGCAGTCCAGTGTCCACGCTCACCTGTCTGCATTACACAACGACACATCTCACCTGTCTATGTTACATGTCCATATGTCACCCCCATACCTCTTCATCACCTGTCCACGCTCGCAGGTGGCTTTATTCTAGGTCTTATTAACACAGCTCCATAGTGAAATTGAATGTCGATCTTGTAAGACGAATGAACGTCAGTGATCGGTCTGACGGACCGAGTTTCTGAGTTCACGTGGCCGCTTTTGCTCTTGTCGTCAGCGACGGGGGTTCTGTACCAGCGGGGCAGCCGTCACTCGGGGCTGATGGCAAGCTGAGAACCCGGTGTTATCTGAAGTGTCATGTTGGTCTCATGTCAACGCGTTCACCGGCTTATCCTGTGATGTCGTTTCATGACTTACACACCAGGGGTCGCTGCACCAATTAAAAACTCCGTCACGAGTGTTGTGCGTTAAACGAAACGTGTTTTTTTTAATGTACCAGGTAAAGCCCACTGAGCTATATGTAGCTATTTTCAGAAGCGGCCTGGCCACAAATGATAACTCAACTAAGTGGCTTATCACGTGGAAATGTATTTCAGCCAAATATTCGAAACGCAGGATTCTAAATGTGGAAGCAAAACCCGGAGTACCCGGGGAAAAATCCACGCGACCACGAGGAGAGAGAGAAACACGCAAACTCCAAATATACAGCAGCAGGCATCAGGGTCGGGATAAAACCCATGACCTCCTGCATACCAGGCGAGGTAGTTAACATCTCCTACCCACTGTGATGATGATGAGAGACACCGCAACTCCAAATATACAGCAGCAGGCGTCAGGGTCGGGATAGAACCCACGACCTCCTGTATACCAGGCGAGGTAGTTAACATCTCCTAGCCACCGTGGCGGCGCTCCAAAGAGCGTGGAACGATACTTGTCTCCGAATTTCGGCCAATGATGGAGATTCCACATTTCTATGGAAAGGTCAAGTACATCTCTAGGACAGCCACTGTTGACGGTAGACACCACGGGACTTACGTAGTCGTCCTCGCTGGGGGGTGATGGTGATGATCAGAATGCCCTTGATTTACACAAGAAAGCCTCACTGAGTCTCATAACTCTGTTTATGAGGGTCCTGCATTGGGATATTTGGTAATTTACATTCATGGGTGTTAGCTTGTGGGAAGAAACTGGAGACTCCATTGTATGTATGTGTGTGGGGGGTGTAACCCACGCACAGATGGATTCAAGAATCAGTTGCTGTACTTCCATCTCCTGGCCACTGTGCTCATTTGAGCAAAAGGAACAAATTGATAGCGCTCAAGTTTCACTTCGTAGAGAGCGCCATCCAGCGCTCTGTGTGCGCACTGAGCCATCGGCCTCTGGAGAAGCAGGTCCCAACCTCCCTGGACCCGTGGTCCCACTTTGTCAAACCCTCCACGTGTTCGCAGACTACCCGTGCACCAGAACGCACATTTTTTTTTTAAGTAAACACCTATATATTGATCACTAACCAAATAGCGAACAGCAATCAGCAGATCTAAAAGCAGTCGCCAAACAACAACACCACACGGCGTTTCGTGAGAACGATATCTTATAATTTTTTTTATCAGAATATACATATTTATTTATACTGGAGGAGTCCGATGAGCTATAAAGCACTTTTTCACAGATGTTTAGTCGGGGCGGGTAAGAACGTTACAATAACAAACATTTAAAAAAACACGACAGTAGTGCAAAGTTCAAGACATTTAAACAAATCACCCAAACACACAAATACAACACTTAACCATTCCCATCCTACCAGGCAAAGCCCACTGAGGTAGTAACTTATTTTTCAGAATCGATCTGGCCACAAATGATAACTCAACAAAGTGGCCCATCGATTTGACATTTATAGCACCAAAATAATATTTTAAAAATCTAAATGCATGTTTCTAAATGTGGAGAAAAAAACCCGTAGGAATAAAATCCACGAGACCACAGAGAGAGTCACGCAAACTCCAAATATACAGCAGGCGTCAGGGTCTGGATCGAACCCACGACCTCCTGCATACCAGGCGAGGTAGTTAACATCTCCTAGCCACCGTGATGATGATGAGAGACACAAACTCCAAATATACAGCAGCAGGCGTTGTCAGGGTCTGGATAGGACCCATGACCTACTGTGTACCAGGCGAGGTAGTTAACATCTCAGCCACCGTGATGATGATGAGAGAGAGACACGCAAACTCCAAATTTTCAGCAGCAAGCGTCAGGGTCGGGATCGAACCCACGACATCCTGCATACCAGGTGGCTTTGTGGGGCCCAGAGGTCCGTGGGCCGGGCATTGTGAGCCACTGCCTGACTGCACATCGGCCGTCCTCCTGGTGCAACGTGCTCGAGTCGGGGGCACCTCGGGGACAGCAATCCGCATTAATCCGCTCCTTGGCTGCGGATTACCTGGGGGGGCGCATCATGCCGCCTGACACTGCACCCTCATCCCTCCCTGCTGTCTCAGTCAACGCGTTTTTTTGACTGGCTGATATAAATGTCCACACGATAAGCCACTTCGTTGAGCTATCGTTGGTGGACAGGTCGCGTCGGGAAAAACAAATAATAGCTTAATATCTTAGTGAAATAAAAAATAGTTTCGTTTTAGTTTATGTATTTATTGTGTATGATTTTGCGTACCTTTCATATACTTTGTCAATATCTGACCTACTCCGACTGGATATCCGTGAAAAATAGCTTAATATATCATGGAATATCTCGAGGATAAATAAAGATTCTGATTCCGGTCAGGTTGGTGAGATCAGCGAACCTCACCGCGCGATGCACCTCAACGTGGCATTTATCGAATAGGCAGTTGGTTCATTATTTCATTGTCTGGTGGTGTCCATTGTCTCACGGTCTCCTGTTTAATTGCGCCATCGTGTTCATTGTTGAACGTTCGCGTGTTTAATCGCCTCGCCGTTTCTCGTTTAATGGTCCCGTGTTTGTCCCGCCTTGTCTGCAATTTGTCAACCTCGGACTTAGATACAATTTCATAGTCTCGCTGATGTCTGCTGTTTCATTAGTTGCGTGCTTAAATTTGTTTTTTTTAATTCTCTTGCGTTTGTCTCGTTGTGTCTATTGTTTAGTAATAAGTGGGCAGAATATCTGAACCGGTCCTGGGCTTCCTGGTGCGTTGTGTGAGCATCAACAACCAGGGGAGACAAAGGCGGCCGGGCGTGGTTGCTGGCCACCCACCTCTCCGTGAGCCTTCATATGTGCTCGCTAACAGCACTTGCTCCGACAGTCTGCTAAGGTTATAAAGGGGTAGGGGATCTTTGGCTTTATTGTTTAATAATATATCTATATATATTTCGTTGTGTCTACTGACTGCCACGTGCTGGCAAATGTCCGTGTAATTGTCTGGAGCGCTTTGTCCATTGAGAGAGGCGATTGGACTGGGAGAGACCCTGGCTGGGTCCGCCTCCCGTAAGCTGCTGAGGCCACGACTCCCTCAGTCTCTCCACCCCCACTGCCTCCCTCACCCCCTGTCTCATTCAGCCTCGCCACCTCCCTCATCCCCTGGGCCTCCTTCCTCACGCGCAGGGCTCAGAGTGGTGGGCGGACAGTGCAGAGTCTGTCTGCATTCTCTCCTCCCCTCGCTCTCATCTCTCTCCCTGCTTGGGGTATCACCTCGCCACCACGACGCCTCCTCCCTCGCGTCTCTCCAGTCCTTCCCTCTGCCCTCTCCCCCCCTTTAACAACGCTCACTCCGCTCTCCACTCTCGCGTCTCTCCAGCCCTTCCCTCTGCCCTCTCTCCCCCCCCCCTTTAACAACGCTCACTCCGCTCTCCACTCTCGCGTCTCTCCAGCCCTTCCCTCTGCCCTCTCTCTCCTCCCCCCCCCCCCCCCCCCTTTAACAACGCTCACTCCACTCTCCACTCTCGCGTCTCCGGACGCTGCCAGCGCTCCATCGTGACCACAATCACCACCGGCACCATCACCACCACCACCAAGAACCACGTTCCATCATCACCAGACAACAGTAGCATCGGCAGCACCCTCATTCAACAGCAATAGCAAATATCTATGAGAATATCATCATCAACTTCATCGTCATCATCAGGAGGAGGACGAGAAGCCATGATGCGTTCCCCGTCGCCCGTGCCGGAGTCGCCCCGAGTCGCCTGGGCTGAGGTGCGCGGCGACTCCGCGGAGCCCCGGTCCCTGTCCCGGGGCGCTCGCTCGTCCGCCTCTCCCGTCTCCCTCGTCTCGCCGTCTCCTTCCCGTGGGCCCCGCGGCCACGGGAGCGAGCGCCTGGCGGAGGACGGCGACTCGGGACGCGCAGGCGGAGCTGAGTCGCGGGGCGCGGAGTCGCGGGGTGCCGCGATGGAGGAGGAGGAGGAGGCGGCGGCGGCGGCGCTGCTGCTGCGCGGGATTTTCACCATCGGTGGCAAGAGCTGCGACGTGGAGCTGCGGGGGAGAGCTCTCTCCTGGAGCCCCATCGTGCCCGAGGCGATGCCCGGCGCGGCCTCCGCAGCACCAGGTACGGAACCCGATACCTGGCACGGCGCTCCACCCCACCTGCTGCTGCTGCGAAGAAGAAGAACCCGCGTGGGTCTTCGGGGAGGGGTGGTGTGCACTTGGTGCGGACCTGGGAATCCGCTCGAGGTGTCGCTCCCTATGCATCCCCCGGGGGGGGGGGGGGGGGCTTCACGGAGCACCCTGCGACGGGGACTCTGGCCGCAGGTGTCCACACGGGGCCACGAGGTTCTCCGTAGCCCGCAGGGGCCTCCGTGCCTCGCTCCACGCGGCCCCAGGTCGACTCGAGCCGCGTGTGGGTGGCGTTCGTTGTGCACCGATCGCACTGCGGGGGAGCGGTGGTGCAGAAGTTAGCGCTACGCTGCGCTACGAACGCGGCCACTCGGATTTCGATTCCCGCTCACGGCCAACACCACAGTGACGATTATCTTAACCGCTCCAGGGGCTCCTCGAGGTCGACTCCGCCTCAAATGAGTACCTGGTTCGGTGTGTAAAAGCATCGCTACTGGAGAGACAAAGGCGGCCTGGCGTGGTGCTGGTCACCCACCCCCTCGTGCGCCGTTTCGGCTTTCATAGGCGCTCGCTAACAGCACTTGCCCGAAACAGTTTGTTAAGGCTACACGGGGGATCTTTGCCTTTGTTTTGCTCTGCGATGTAGGTGGAGGCGTCGTCCAATGCGTTATTTAGTAAGGGGCGGCAAACACGCACGGCGAGAGATGGCTACAGCTCGGGGAGTCTATCATCCAGCAGTGGATCGATCACGTGCAATTAATGATTCCTGACGTTTCTCTCCCGCGTCAACTTGGGCGTCGCATCACGGTGAGCCGCCGAGGGCTTCACGAGCGACCGCCACCTGCGGCTGCCGAGTTGGTTGGGGGATTTGTTGAGCGGGGTGACGACCTTGGCGAGACCTCCCCGAGGCCCGGGGCTCAGCACGGGATTAGGGGCCACAACCCCACCCCTAACCCCACCGGGGAAGAAGCCTTGCCCATTCAACAACGACGCCGTGGTCATTTTAACCCCCTGTGTGGGTCGTTAATATTTGACCAGAGAAACGGTGAAAGGCGCGATCCGTGCTAGGGGGAGAGGGGCACAGAAATTCCGCGGACGACCGAAGATGAACTCCGAACTCGGCGCTGCTCCTGGGTGCTGGGGAGGGGGCGAGGTTTGGGGTCTGGGGGGCGGGGGGGGGGCTCACCGCCCCACTCAATCGGGGACTGCGAGCAAGCGGGTAGGGTTCGTAGATGGGTAAGGGCAGGCGAGGGAGAAGAGGTTACAGAAGTGAAAGGTGGTGGAGTGTGGTGGTGGGGAGGGGACCGTTTAACTCCTCTTAAAGCGTGTTTTTATAATCACTGCAAAGTTTCTAGATTCCCGACGTGCAGCACGTGCGTGGTTCAGTGACATTGCCACGCGCTCCGCCATCCCCAAATGCCGCTTTGCATCTGGGGCGACACGCGCACGCTCGCTCCGATTTGTACAAACTGAGTCCCTGGCTCTTCATGGGACCTGCCTTGCCAGCGAGCTCTCAATGTCCTGATAGTGGCATTGTCTTTGCGCTGTTCGCCTTTTGGCGTCCTCTGGTCTAACGCTGTTTGAGGCTAGGCTCTAAAGAAAGCCGTCTCTGGCGTGGACCAATCAGTTTCATAGACGATGCATCATATACTACCAGAGCATGTTTTTTTTGTTTGCATGTTCAACACAAGTATATGTGGCTAATGCAAACACGATTCTTTGCAAAAGGTTTCAGTTCGGTGTTTTAACACTTTTAACAACTGTTTCATTGCCGATTCTTATACCCTAGCTCTTGTTGCCATCTGTCCGGTGCAAACAGTTATATTGTCTGCTGCACTCACTCCAGTAAGGAACGTTATTTGCTTAGCCATAACTATAGCAACATCACGTTTGTTAGTCATATTAAGTGTTATAAGAAGTGTGATGGATGTGCGTGAGGATTTATTGTTATTTGTGCTTGAGGACCATCACTAGCAATGCAACAGCAGCAGCATCGCCAACTTAATCGGATGAAATGTTGAGCTGCTATGGCCAGTTGCGTCGTTGCCCGTGATGATTTTTGTTCAAGACAGTCCTGGGCAAAGAACACAAATCTGCCCCACACACATCGCATCAACCATTGGCAACACTTATTGACATCGTGACGATGGGGTCACATTAACACATTTATGTGATGGTTCTTTCTCTGGCCAGTATTGCCGCTTTGATTGGTCTCAAACATTTTCCTTGTCGTCTCCCGCTTAGCTGTTCTCCCCTTCTCCTATTTCTCCTTTGTGTGCATTGCCAAGTACGAACTATTTGGCGATCAGGGGGGCACTTTACTCACGGCAAGCACTGTTATTGTTCGTCATGGCTGTTTAGGTTGGGCGTAATAATGTGGCCATATGTGTGTTGCCAGACCCTCCACCACCTGACGCGTCTAAACAAATTAAATTGTCACGTAAACAAGTGTTGAAACGTGCCACAAGCAAGCTGAGGAATAATTCTCACAATCAGATTTAGCAATCGCTTCATTTTCTGGCAATACATTCAGATAATCAGGTATTTTTCTACACTATATATTTATCTTTTCCAATGTAACTGTCCCGCAAGATGCCAACAGGCAGGTGAGGCCCAGACTGGGCCCTTTCTCTTCTGCCCCCACTGTGGTGGTTTCAGCGGCAGCAGGCGCAGGCGAGGCCCCCGCCGAAGAGTGGCTGGACCTCAAGGATGTGTTCGCCGTGAAACTGAAGCGCCGGCGATCCGCCGGACAGACCAAGGGCGGCACCCTGCTGGGCATCACGCTGTTCGTGTGCCGGCGCCGGCAGCGAGGCCACAGCAGGCTGGGCGCGGCTGGGCCAGCCGGCCACGACGAGGGGAAACTGAAGGAGCAGCCCCTGCACCTGGGCAACTCCAGCGAGGACCACTGCCAGACCTGGTTCTACCGCATCCGCGCCGTCCTGAGCGGTGCGTGCGTTCATCCGCGTGCCCCCCCCCCCATCACGCGCGCGCCCATCCGTGTGGTCAGTCCCCTGGCCCCTCGTCCCTTGTCCGTCGTGCTATGAATCATAATCGATCACTTTGTGTGTGGTCGATTACTAGGGTCTCTTTTTTAAAAATCTATGTATGTAGGTGTGTTGAACTTCCTTCACACCGTACATAGCCAACCGTGCTCATTGGAAGTGTGGGGGACAAGGACAAATTGGTGGCCTCTCCTACATCCTGCCGCCCGAAGGCAGGAAACCCCCTACAAACCACGCCCAGCATAACTCGCCTCGTGTTATTGGTGACATCAAGAAGTCCCATCCATCACCTCCTGTCCAGCAGCAGCAGCAGCACACGTGGATTGATATTTGTATTATATTCTTTCTCCCCAAGTATTTTGATGTTTTCCGATTTCGTTGAGTAATTAAATCCGATAATCGGTAGTCATTGGTTGCTCCGGGAGAGCCCAGCTCCACAGAGCATACTCGTGTGCCTTTACTCGGTTTCACACTTTGCCAGGCAGAAACTGGCTTTGATGTTTGCCTCTATAGCTTAATAAGCGCCTTACATTGACATTGAGCTACCATCACGTAATGCCCACGACGACATTTGATGGGTTTGTGTTGAATCGATGAACATTGGGCGTTTTGCTAACATAAAACGTCAGGCAATTATTCAACCCGGAGGATTAACCAAACCTTCGTTTTTTTAATCCCATCGTGGGATTCTTTGTAACAAATGGTGGTGTAGACCGCTGTCAATAAGTGGGCCAGGTGTTGGCATGAACGATTTCGCGAGCGAATGTGCGCGCACATCATTTTGCCGCTGCACGTGTTTCTCTTTAGCGTTGCACAGGGAACGTGGAAGAGAGAATTGTGCCTCGTATCTCACCACGCTTAAAATATTTACACAACTGAACGCTAAACTTATTACCAACATAAATATCCTTACAACAAACATGGTCATTACGGTTTCTACACTCATAAAACTGACTGAAGTTTCCCCGCGTCCTGCGCAGGCTTGTCGGTCCGTGCGTTCCCCTGTTTTGGTTGTCTTGGCCACCTAAGTAGGGTTTGCCTGTTTGAACCATTAAATCTCATTACCATCATATTCGAAGCGACGACTTTAGTTGTCAGTTGCCAATAACTGTTATTGGTTTAAGTAGCTTGCCTGCTAAAACGTGATGCACAATGCTAACGATATCATTTAAATGAAATGTGAGCAGGCACAACGAAAGTTACGTGGATTGTATATGTGGCAATGCGTGGCTAAGAGCTGATAGAAAATATCATGTCCGCCTGGCCTCGCTTATGAAAACTGGAAAGAGCACTTGGCAAATACCGTAGCCGATTGAATGAACTCGTGGCATTGTTCTGCTTTCAGTTTGTAAATTGACTCTTTTGTTTGTAATCCGAAACCGATTACATTCAACACCTGAATAGATGCATTTGAGTTCTTCCTTTTCCAAGTGATTTATTTCGTGAAATTGTGACACGCAGCAATGGTGCAGCAATCCAATATTATTACTGCACACTTGGAATCGATTTGGCATCTAAATGCTACTTCATTCCAAGTCGCTGTAAACACACTGGAACGTATTCGTCATGGGAAACGGACGTGTATATATCCTTTGTTATTTTTTGGTTATTATTCAGATTACACGCTCCCAGGCAGAGGAGAAGTGAAAACTCTGGTTCCTGGACTTGCATCATGGCTGGGATTCAAAAGCACTGATGGCAGGGGGGGGGGTGGGGGGGTTCAAACTATGGGAGCAGGAGATGGATGGAGGGCAACCTCCCACTTCTTATTGTCGCACGGCTGATGTCGATGCAGAACGGCAACTACAATTTTGCATAATAAAGTAATTGCCCAATGATGCTGGATGTAATTACCAGCGAAACGTCGTACTCAAAAATTGTAAATGCTGTGTGGATTCACTCTTCAACACACCGGTGGGCTAAAGTAGTGAACTATTTGTCTTTTGTCAACGTGACACTTTTTTTACTGTTTGGCCATGTTGGGTAGTGGAGGGCTACGACACATTTGTAAATAACGCGATCTAACCCAAAAAACCTTCATTATGAATAATATTGGTCGCGAAAGCCTCCTACGTGTTGAACTACAATTTTGCATTCAGGTGGTCAAGCCCAGATAACCGCGTGTGCATCGCTGTGATGTCTCCTTCGTATTTGTGGATCGGGCATTGCGTTCGTTACACGTTGCACGGTGTGTTCTGGATGACCGCAGTCACACACTGGAGAGTTTTTAATTTTCCATTCGTGCATCGGGTATCCGCATCTTCTGCCATGGTCTGTGCAGTGGATGAGGTTTAGGGTGGACCATGGGCTTCGTGGAAGATCAAGCCAAGGGAATAGTCAGCATTGGTTCTTTCACAGGTTGCTTGAGAGTTGTTGTTTTTTAACTCAATACGTCTCTCCAAGTTGTCATCATGCTTGAGGTCGCATCGAGAGACGGTGTCTGGGGCCTTTCCAAGAGAAAGGCCTTGAGTGGTTGGGGTGGGGAGAGCCCGTGAGGGGGAGATTAGGGTGGGATGAGAGAGGGTAGGGACGGGCAGCTACATAGGATGATATGAAAGTCGAGCAAGGTAATTATTGCAGTTGATCCAAGGTTGCATTGAAAGCCAGTGGATGGCGATTTAATTATTGCATTGGGGTGATGTGGTAACATTGACGATTACTGGCGAGGAGCCTTGGCACAGTTGTATTTTGGATCATCTTGGCATCTTGTGAGGGGATTCGGGAAGGTCGTGGAGAAGCAGATCGCTGTGGTCGTGAGATGTTTCCAGTACGCGTACGGTCTCCATGCCGACCCAATTGGCAATCGGTCAACAAGCGAGATAATCGCTGTTGCCTGGTGGTGCACTTTGTAAACACCCAAGAGGTGTTATGTGTAGTGTATGACTAATGCCAAACCTAGCGTGCACACGGGGGCGTGTGTTTATCAAATAATACCCTTTGATTCTTTCGGTAAAGTCACGTAGGTAGGAAAAATAATAGATCACGAAGTTTCGATCGCAACACAAGCAATCGTCTTCACCTGAAGACGGTTGCTTGAATGGCGTTATAGGTTGGTTCACCTGAAGACGGTTGCTTGTGTTGCGACCGAAACGTCGTGATTTATTTTATTTTATACCTACGTGACTTTACCGAAAGAACCAAAGAGTATGGATTACTGCAGTCACGAAAGCTTCAAATCAGGATTTATCAGATAATGTTTATACGTGCGGTAAATCACTCTTTATTTCCGTACATCTCTGTAAACGACTGGACATCCGTTAATAAAAGAGGTCGGTAGCTCATTGGATTCCTCCTGCAGTAAAAATATACAGGTAGTCCCCGACTTACGATGGAGATGCATTACAACGATCCCATCGTAAGTCAGGGACTACCTGTATATTCTGAGTCTGAAATTAACCTGTGGCTCCATCTGTCTTGGCGTTCCCACCTTTGTTGTTGGCACAGTTTTACTGTGGAGCCACTCGCGTGCGACTGCGGCTTCTGAACTCGGTTGTGCACACAATGTTCTGTTAAAGGCTATAAAAATGATTACAACAAAAAAACTCCCAAATGTACCCTGGGTCACCAGCCTAGAACGCCATTCACTTTGCGTCACGAAGAGTTTCTCATTTTTTGCTGTCGCGAGGCATTTTGATGGACGGCGACGGAAAGAGTCAACCCCAACTCGCTTCCAGGTGGGCTGGCGGGGGGGCATAGGTGGAGTTTGGCTTAATAGGAATCGCGGGTGCATGTAATGAATGTATTTTGAATCTTAATTTTAAACTGCTGAAAAAAAATAAGTTTTTTTTATTTTTAGGGCCATTATAATTTTTTTGAGAAGGGAGCCGAGGCATCAGCAGGGGGGCACTCAGCTTAATCTACCCCCCCCGTGCCCCCCCCCGTAAACTCTGCCCATGGGGAGGGGGGTAGATGAAGCTGAGCCCCCCCCTCTCTGCTGAAGGCTCTGCTTCCCCCTGCGAAATTCTTACGGCCAAAAAAACTAAAACTTTCGTGCAATAATTTCTGGCAGTGGTGGCGGTTCAGCCAACACCCACAAGGCACTGTTTGCAGTCGTTGGTGGCAACTGGACGGACATGAAAAACTTCGTGCGATTGAGCCCACGGGTGTAGCGTTACATGGAAGAGACAGGTGGGGTGAGAGACGGAGAAAAACGTAGACGATGGGAAGCTGCGGGTGGTGAGATTGGCTGTGTGTGGGGAGCGGCTGTGTAGCGGTTAGCGCTACGCTGTGCTACAACTCGGCGACCCAGGTTCGATTCCCGTTCCCCGGCCAACACCAGTGACGATTATCTGAACCGTTTCTGGGCCTCCCCTGGGTCGACTCGGCCTCGAATGAGTAGTTGGTGCAGTGTGTAAACATCACCACTGGGGAGACGAAGGTGGCCGGGCGTGGTACTGGCCACCCACCCCCTCGTGTGCCGTGCCGGCCTTCATCATAGCTGCGTCTCACTAACAGCACTTGCCCCAACTGTTTCTTAAGGCTATACGGGGGGGAGGGGATCTTTGTCTTTTTGTTGTTGTTGTTGTCGTTGTTGTTATCAGGCTTCCCCGAGCGGCCCAGGAGGCTGCTGGTGTTCGTCAACCCCCAGAGCCACCGCAAGGAAGCGCCGGAGCTGTTTGCGTCGCGAGTGGAGCCGCTGTTCAAGCTGGCCGACATCGGAACGCACCTGATCGGTGCGGGTCTGCTCCCGGGAGACGCCTGCGTGCACGCACTCCACGTTGTTGCCGTTCGCTGCCTGGACGAGGCCTGCGTTGTTATACCGCGCACCGTGCGTTGCAAGTGCACAAGGGAGGTTTTGTTTTATTTTTTTAAAGTTGAACTTCATTTGAAGAACTCTGCCAGGGATACACGCTGGATGTGTCAGGAACTGACCGCGTTGGACAGCCGAGTGAGTCACTTGCGGTGGATACATAGTTGAATGTCTCGTTAAAATGTTGAGATTCATTTACACGGTTTTAAATAGGTATGAGTTCATGTACAGCCCTTTTGTCAATCGACTGCTGGATGAAGGCCTTCTCATGCCACATCGGTCAACAGGGGGGGGGGAGTTATTTGCCCATAGCTCACCATGCCGGCGAGTGCAGCTGGTGACAAGGTGGTGGTGGAACGACCACCGGTTGCCATACAGCGTCACCCGTCACGAATGTGGCTGGGAATGGAACTTGTGTCGTTAGGTACACTGCACCACTGTTCGTCCCTTAACCACACATCGCTATATAGTCTTGGTTCTTTCGGTAAAGTCACGTAGAAAGGAAACAATAAAATAATACAATTATAAAACAATAAAATTCTCACGACGTTTCGACTGCAACACAAGCAATCATCATCAGGTGTGAAAACCACAACAAGAAAATTTGAAAAAAGTGTTGGTTTTTTAAATGTGAGCACCACGGAAAAAAAAACCCGCCACTTTTTTCAAATTTTCTTGCTGTGGTTTTCACACCTGATGATAATTGCTTGTGTTGCAGTCGAAACGTCGTGATCATTTTATTGTTTTATATTTTTATTATTTTATTGTTTCCCTTCTACGTGGCTTTACCGAAAGAACCAAGAATATGAATCCCTGCAGTCACGAAAGCTTTAAATCACACACCGCTAATTATATGGGTGGCAGGGTGGCACACTTCTTGCTGTGATTCACAGCAAGAAAGAAGTCACCTAGGTACAATTTCCGACTCGGGCACCTTTCTGCATGGGGTTTGTGTGTTCTCCCCCTGTTCTGCACGGGTCTTCCCCCTGGGTTTTCCAGTTTCCTCCCCGAAGCTAAAAGAGCTACACACCCACACGATATATAATTGGTATTGTCCAAACATCCCGATTTAAAAAAAAAAACAGCAAGATTACTGGGATGGGACCGCACACAGCGGCAACATTGGCCCACGCTGCGAAAGCTTGGCACGGCCCTTCTGAGAAAGTCCTAAGACTCGCTGAAGATTTCCTGGGGGAACAAGCATAATATTAAAACAAAAATAGCAATTAATATATTTTTTTAAATTATCATCGTGTATACGTTGTGTTCAATGAAGATGAGCAGAGCCTTTGCATGCACAGCACAACAAATGATGTTGGTGACACTGCTGCGTTGACCGTGGTGCACACACGCACGCTAAACAACTCGACACACTCGTCAACAACACTGAATAAGGGCCACAGCCCGAAACGTCCACCATTGAGTCCATGTATGGTGCTTGCAGGGTTACATGCCCGTAGCAAATTTGCATGAAGTGGTTTTTGTAATCTGCCACATGGATCCATTTTGCTGTGAAGGGCGCACAGTGCAATGCGGACACTGCAAGGTTGCTCGCCAAGCCCGCGCGTGACCATGCCCCCCGGGCATCGTGGCCATGCCCCCCGGGCATCGTGGCCATGCCCCCCGGGCATGGTGACCTGCACATTGACCTCAACGTGCAGGTTATTGTTCAGTTTGTTAAATGTGCACAGAGGCCTACTTTATTTAGAGCGATATTAGCACGTAAAATAAAGATTGGTTGATTTAAAAATCGGCTACCATTTGGTTCCCTTTGCCGATTAATATTTTATGCAGCTGTTAATCTTTAACGCCAAATCATACGAACACTACGCATTAACACGTGCAATGGAAGGTTAAAGGTTGGGCTGGGATAGCGTTAGGAGCTATGGTTAATGGATAGTAGGCATTTAGCGATGCACCAATTACTTAAATTAGACTCTCAGAATATGTGCACATCAAATTGTGCGCTTGAATGATTTATTTACGATTTATGCAAATGTTATGCTGTTAGATTGATCTAAGGGAGTTAACAAGACAGAAGAAATCAGAGGACACGGGGGAAAACGAGGCGAATGTTTTCTTGAAACCATACCTCAAACATGACAATCGCTGTGGGGAATTGAGTGGTGAATTATTATGACACAATTATACACGAAACAGTGAGTGGTCACGGGTTGTGTGTGCCGCGTTGGAGAGATGTCAACTACAATTCCTCAACCTGGCATGCAGGACGACGTGTGGGCTCGATCCCGACCCTTCCACCTGTATATTTGGAATTTGCGTGTTCTCCCCATGGTTGTGTAGATTTTTTTTTTATCTGGGTCCTCCGGTCTTTCCATTCCACGTTTAGAAACATTCAATTCGAGTTATTTAGCTGCTATAAATGTCCACGTGACAATCCATTTCATTGAGCTATCGTTTGTGGCCAGGTTGCTTCTGGCAAACAAAGCGATAGAGCTCAGTGGGCCTTACCTGGTAGAATAACAATCGTTTAGATTTTAGTTCATGCGTTTTGCTGCTGTGGCTGTTAAAAGTGTCTCTCCCCTCTTTCGGGACAGTGACGGAGAGGGAAGGGCATGCCTTGGCTGAACTTCAGACTTGCGACCTCACCGGCTTTGACGGGTGAGCAGTTTCACCGTGTGAGCTTTTTAACTTGTAAAGTGGATGAAATGCTAATGGATTTTTGGTAATGAATACATTGTTGTGCACGCATAGCGGCTATATCCGTGAACATAAGACAATGGAGTATTATTCTAAAACAATTTAATTCATTGATCAGTGTTCGTCCATTGAATGAAATACTCAGCAGCATGATGTATTTATTTTTAATGTACGTAAAACATCGTGGTGTCACATCTTCTATCCAGTGCTTGGAAGAAAAAAAGAACACGGCAAGGTTATATTGTCGAAGTAGAAAAGGCCCGGCTTAATGTTCACCTGGTGTGCTATTAAAGCGCACCAGTCCAAGTGTCGATGTAGCAGCATTGTGTGGGGTGAATGAGGCTGCAGCTTGCGGCTGTCCCCCAATGTCTGAAAGGTGTGCACTCTCCTGCACTGTCTGCACTCTGTCTGCGCTCTTTCCTTGCCGCCGCCCCCACCTACGCGCCGTAGGGGGCAGGGCCCCCCCCCCCGCAGCGCCCGGCCACCTCCCCCGCTGCCGGCGCAGGCCGCCCCCTGCGGTGCTTCTCGAGCGAGGTCGCCCAGAGGTTCCTGGAGGCCTGGGGCACAATGGGACGTGGGAGGGAGGGGGGGGACTTGTTAATGAGCGAGATAAAGGAGGCCTGTTGTGTGGAGTCGTTTTTTGTGCGGGGGGGGGGGGCCCTGTGCGAATTCCCCCTTTTGCCCTCCACACCCCCCGGGCGGTCCTCAGCCCCCCACTTGCCCCCCCCCCCCCATTGCGGGAGTTTTAATAAGTGGCGCTTTGCCGACGCTCACTAGACCACGTGGCTCGGCAAGAGGTCACACGGCGTGGTTCTTGTGCGCCGTCGGTGTATCGTGAAATTAACTCGACTTGTGGGGGGTGCTATCGGTCCTGACTCGTGAATTGCCGTATTTCCATCATCGTTTAATTCACTGCACTCATCATCTCAAAGGGTACGTAGCCAACCCCGCTAATGGCGAATGCATCCGGCGTGGTGTGCATTTGTTTCCCATTGCAATGCCTGAGCACGCGTGTGCGTGGTGCACATTGTTGATGTATTCGCAGCGTTGCATGCATCCGTCCACAGTGTGGTGTGTGTGGGCGGTGACGGCACGGTGGCGGAGGTGGTGAATGGGCTGCTCTTGCGCGCTCAGCGTGATGTCGGCACGGACCCCGACGGGGCTTTCACGCCAGCGCCCACTCACTTGCCCATCGGCATCATCCCCGCAGGTTTGCACCGCCCTGGCGAATGTGCGAACAGCTGCTTCCCGATGTCAGCGTGGAACACGTGTTCCGCGCGCGTTTTGGTTTTTGTGGTCGCGGCGTGCGATCGTGACCATCGCTGCCAAGGGGCCGTCCATAAATGACGTCACGGGATTTGGGACGATTTTTGACCCCCCCCCCCCCTCTCGTCACACGGCGTCACAAAAAGTCAGGCACCCCCCCCCCCTCAAATATGACGTCACAAAGCTCTGCCCCCCCCCCCACAACCATATTTCCATTTTGAAAATTAAACATACTTCAAATCGCTTTAAACTATTGTCATTGTAGTGCGTATTTAATGTGGCGCTGCACTCTAATGTTGTAGGAGTGTTGTTATCTATATTTATTTAAAGTTGCGCATTTTGATGTGACATCACATTTGTCAAACCCCCCCCCCCCCTCGTCACACATTGTCACAAATGTCTGACCCCCCCCCCCCCCCCCCCAGGTACGTGACGTCATTTATGGACGGCCCCCAAGCGATCCCTACGATCAAGAGCCATATTGCGTTTTCGTGTTTTTGCCGCAGGGTCGACGGACGTTGTGGCCTACTCCATGCACGGGACGAGCCACGCTGCCACGGCTTCGCTGCACATCATCCTAGGTCAGCCGCTGGCGTTTGGCTCCATTCGTGCGGTGCGTTGGACATTCCTGTCGGCCGCCGATGAAACTATCGTGCGAAGAGGTGCGATGGGGAAGAGGCTGTGGGCGTACTGGTCTGACGCGCGTACCTCCGCGTGCCTCTGCTATGATTGTAACGTCCCTCCTGCAGGCCACCTGCTACCGGTCGACGTGTGTTCCCTGGCCGTGCGGGGCCGATTACTCCGCTTTGGCTTCTCCGCCATGCTGGGCTTCGGTGGGAGAAGCCTGGCGATAGCCGAGCGGCACCGCTGGATGCCGCCCAACCAGAGGAGGGACTTTGCTGTCCTCAAGGCTCTGGCCAGTTTAAGGTGGGAAGGGGGCCCTGCCCCTTTGACCCACCGTTGACACCCCAGCGAGGAAAGGAACGGCGATCGCGCTAAAAGTTTTGAGCACGGGGCTCTTCGTCGCCTGAGCACCTCGAGTCACCGTCATGGGTTAATTTATCTGGATCTGCAGATCCTTAACCATTTTGTGGATGTCTTAACAGATGACCACGTGCCATTTTATTTAAGCCCTGCCGGTTGCAAACGTTGACATGCGTCCGTCATTAACTCGTGCAGGTGATCAATATCCAGTTACTCTGTTCGAGTGCTTTGTGTGCCAAATCTGTGCATCCCATTGCCCTCGCCGTGTTGTTATTAGTGGCCACGGCAACCGCGTGTAATTCCAGAAGGTGCAGCTAATGAGGGGGGGGGGGATTGTTTCCTTCCAGGCCAGTGGACTGCGAGATCGGCTTTCTGCCCGCGAGTGAAGGTGCGTCAGGACAGACAGCAGAAGGCGCACGGTAAGCCACCCTTTGTATTGCTGCCAAGCGCTCTCATTGTACATGCCACTCATAACACACGAGCCAGCCATTCTTTCACCGGCTTTTCTTTTTGTTGCGTAGGGCACTCAAGAGGTGGGATTTATCTGCAAAGATTCGTAAGTAGAGTTTGCGTGCACTGCCATTGTGAGTGGGGGGGGGGGGTGTTGTGTTGCTGTGGGTGGCCCAGGTAGCTGCAGCTGCCCTTATCGGCCGCGCACATCTGCAATGTCGGCGCAGCCGGCGGCGCGCAGGTTGGCGCAACGGGGGAAGACGCGGCAGGGCTGCTGTGGCTTCACACGAGCGGGGACTTCCTCAACGTCACCGTGGCGGCGGTGCCCTGCCGCTGTGCCGTCGCTCCCCGTGGACTGGCTCCCGACACGCTGTAACGAACGCACACACCAACTCGCGCGCACAACCGCGAATGGACGGTCCCTTCACTCCCAAAGTCATATCGATCACTTTCATTGTGGGGTGCCTGGTGATGCAGACTACTTCCTGTCGGTTGAATGCGCGTGGCCTACGTTGCTTGACGATAGTTTCATTTACATTTTTGTAGTTTCATTTAGTAAGAACAATTATGTAATTTGTAACAAGCGGAGCCAAGCTCGGTGGCACTCGAAAGTCGGGTGAAAGAAGTGTGGCCTTGAAGTGCCTCTGTAAAAGTCGCTGTAGATTAAACGCTGCTGCTACGAATGTGCAGCGGGATGGCGTTCCAGACGGTGGGGGTTGCCGCAGAGGAATGACGCCTGGCAGTGATGGTCCTGGTCAAAATAACAAGGCCAGATGTTGAACTCAAATCTGCAGTATTAGTTTTGTTTTCGGATTGTCCACTGCGGCTGTTGGTATGCGTCGAGTGTCACTAATGTTAGGAATGTAGTGCTGCTGCTGCTGTCCACCCAGGTGTGAGTTCCACGGATATGCTGTGGTTGCAGGCTGGACGACGGCAGCATGTCTTTGATCGCCGTGCGCAGCACGTCTCGTGCCCATTTCGTCAAGTACCTGAAACGTTTCGGCAGCTCCAAATCCCAGGTATCTTTGCACCGTGCTGCGGGGCAGCGCGGCTTGGGCATGCCGGCGATATGATCGGCCCACACACAAGCGCGGAGCTGCTCACGCAACTCGTGTGGTTTCCCTACCTGGACGTCCACTCCACGAGGTGGCCATGCGTACATTTTGTTCTCTCCGTGCAGCCGAACCCACCGTTTGTGGACAGCATGGCGGTGCAGGCGGTGCGCGTGACCCCTAGAGGTCACCTGTCTGGGGAGGACGGCTCCTCTCGGTGGGGAGATGGGGAGGGCGAGACCGCCGGAGCCACAGACGGGCGCTGCTTCTGGAACGTGGACGGTGTACTGCTAGAAGAGACTGGCGAAGTGCACATCAGGTCTGCTGTGGCTGCCAGCACTCGTCACAGAGCCAGCAGCACATCCACTGCACGGCATACTCTCGGTTTCCGTCATGCCATTTTTATTGGTTCTTGCACATTCTGCGCGGATGAACACGTTCACCGACGACTTGCACCGCTGTGGTTTTTATTGCAGGGTTCACACTCGCCTCGTGACGCTGTATGGCTGTTCTCTTGGCCATGATGATGAAGACGCTGCCATGAAATGCAACTGCTTGTGATACTTGCACAAATGATTATGGGAGCGGACCTGTTGAGGGAAGCACAATGCAGAGACCAAGAGGAAGCCAGGGAGTGGTAGGGACAGGTTCCAGCTCCTGGTGGCTCCCATTGATGAGCGGGCAAGGCTAAAACCACACTTTTTAAGCAGTAAGGACTGCTTTGGAAAGGTTTTACGAAACAGGAAAAGCACTTTTCCCATAGGCACTTAAAAAATAGGGCAAATTTGTGTATATATAAAACCGCTATTTTAGAATGAGCAGGTAAAATCATAGCAACCAAACAAAGATTGGAGTATTTACCGTACATGGAGCCCGGTTTAAATGTCAGTGGCAAGTTCACACGTTTTGCCATGGAGGCCCCATGGGAGCGACTTGGTTACCTTTGCAGCCCCTTCTCAGGAGACCACAACAGCACATGGGGGGGGGGGGGGGGGGGATATGAGCCTCGGTGGGGGACAGCAGCCGCACGCCAATCTGGACGTCACAGCACTTAGCTCCACTCACACTGCTCACCACGGCCTGCCACAGTAGCTGTTTCACACGTGCAGCGATTTAGCCTCGAGTCACTTATGACGTCTGTTTATAAAGCAAGTATCAGTGGCCTTTAATGACAATTGCTAATTGGGGCATTTCACGTGGATCGTCATTATTCAAGCTTCATTTGCACAAAACCCTTTGCCGTTTAGATAAATATAAGTTACTCTACGGTCATGATCACCACATGAAATGTCCTGTTGGATTAACAGTGAGATTTACAAGGCAATAACATGAACATTGATCATAAAATAAATGCTATGATTTAAATATTGCATATAAATCAGGTTTGCTCACTCATTGCTGTGCAGTGTGAAGTGCATAAATGAACGATTCAACTTCGAGTAATTTCCAAATAAAAGTTTATACAAACTTTTGAAATCGGAATAAACATTTCCTTCAATCCATCACCATACATTACAAATACACTTATCGGGAAGCCATCCATTATATACACCCAAAAGCATCATAATGCCAACTCCTGCTTTCCAAGTACAGGTGCCATGCAGTTCCACCATAAATACCTTTCAAAATTTGGGATGGCAAGCAGTGTACAGTTACCAGAGCAGCAGCAGCCATCACCAAGGCACAGCATGTGTTGGACAGCTGCTCACTTAAAGCAACATCTGCATATTGCACAATCACGGGCCAATCACCCACTGCTGCTCCACAAAGCAACCCGCCGTATACAATTCTTTACATTATGCCAAAAAACAAATGCGCACCCTTATCCCCAAAAAAACCGAAAACCTCATCTGCATAGCTTTAGATCAGTAGTTCCACTCCAGTTCCCACAGCCCATCATGGCCCACCTCTCTCCACCATAGCTCATACGTGAAATGCACTTCTCTGTGGCAGGTGGGCCATGGTGCAATTCTGCTCCTGCAGACTTGTCTGTCATGGAAAGCTGGAGTGTGTCGAGCCAGTGGTTTAGTGTTCTTCATTCAAGTCCTGCTTATCGCGTTTACAGTATGCTGTGGCCACATGACACGTTTAGTGGTGGGGGGTGAGGTTGTGCAAGTGTTGTCGAGTAGGTGAAGGGAATGCAGGATGGTGGACTGGAGCCAATCCCTCCTCATAGGCGCCACTTCTGTCACACAAGAAGGCAGAGTCGTCAGGGTTAGTTAATGACATCGGCCACAAACTCACTGGCACCCGCATGCTTGCTTGGCCCTGCTGCTTGGCTGAGATTCCCCAGCAGAAGGCAAAACATTTGCAGGATATCGGATTCTTGCGCTTGGCGCAACACTTGTCAAGAAGAGCAGCGGCCTCACTGTTTTAACGATCCATATACAAGTCACTTAACCCAAATGAGCAACCGCTGTGAGGTTGGTTTTTATTTGTTTTACCAACGGGAGCTAGGCAAGCATGGGGTGCCTCCATTGTTGTCATTTTATTTTTAGGTGGCTCTTGTTAATCAAACATGACAGCTTCTAAATGCTAATGTGTTAATACAAGCAAGGCAGAAAGACACTCACCAAGACAAACGGCCCTCACCGTTGGTAAACGGCAAACTGGGGGCACACAGGACAGCAAGTTAAGCGCCACCGAGGAGGGGCAGCCAGGGAGCCACTCCCCCAAGGCACGCCCCTCGCAAGCAGACTACAGCACAAATGTGTTCATTTTTTAAAAAATCGGGCAATACTTATTCATATTTGTGTGAACATGCACAACGTTTACTCTATTGCCCTCTTTCAAAAATGAACTTCCGTTCCGCTCATTCTAATATCTGCCAACGTGGCTTCACTCCCATGCAGGAGGTTGCACCTTGGTCATTCCCATGTATGCAAAATGGGCAAAATGGCAATAATTGGGAAGCTCAAGAAAGCCATCGCCTGCATGTACGGTAGGAGCTATCGAGGGGGGCTGGGTGGTGCTCATGGTCAGTGGAAGCCACGTTCAACAGTGTTAAAGGAGACTAGGCCTGAGTGAAGGCCTTGATGAGCAGACACGCACAATGCCTTCTTGCAGCCCTTGCCAGCAAAGACCCCATTTTATATTCACAAAATATGGAGTACTGTATGCATTAGTGCATGCTAAATTATTTGAAATCGAAACTTAATTTTCACAAAACATTGTGCCAATTAGTGATGCAAATATTAAATACTTTAAAACACAACTGAACTCAAGCTGCATATCAGAAGCCTTTTAAAAATTATGTTTCCTGAGAACCTGGATTTAAATATACTGGGAAAGAACAAGGTATTTAAGTGGGTTACAATGTAGGAAACCAACAGGATCACGTGTAATAGGGCTCAGGAAATGTCTTTTGGAGAGTTGTGGCACGGAAGCCATCAATTCGGCAAGCAAGGGGTTTGTAAGGTGGGCGGAGGAAGGACTTCTATCAGATGCACCAAAGTTTCCAGCACTCGCACGCTTACCCACGAGTATAACGATGACAGCACGCAAGGGCATGAACACACGCATCCACGCTGGTGTGCGGACACGCCGCAACGGCACGCTCAGGCATATGCACAGCAGTGGAATGGGGGTACATGCACGGCCCGTCACGACCTGCCGATTACGCTGCCCTTGTGTCTCACCGTGGCACGCGCCTCCTCGCGCTCCATCACCTTCTGACTGTGCTCTGGTGGGAACTTGAGCACCGTGGTGATGACTTTGGCCAGAGTCTACAACACACACACACACGCATGAACGGAGGCAGGCGATGACGTGGGCATTGCCACGTGTCCAGGCAGCATGGGGAGCAGCTTCCGTCTCAGACTCGGATGGCATCACAACTTGCATTGCAATTGCGGATTGGGTGGCTGGTTGCATATTTCAATGATCATCATTTGCAAAGTGTTGTTTACAGTTTTTAATCATGACAACAGAGTAATTGCAAATTGTACAAAAAAACACCAGTCTTTAAAATCAACACGAATGTCCATCTCAATGTGCCGGCGAGTGCCATCTTCTCTCACTCCCAGACGGGAACGAATGGTGTGAGGCAGGAGCTTTTGTTACAATAGGCGTTCACCCTCCCCAGAGTAATACAGCACCACGGCTAAAGGGGAGGGGGCAAAACGGTGCAAGCGAGTGAGATCTGTTGTGTTTGCGAGCGGGTGCACGTCAAGGTAAGCACAGGCGTGGTTTGTGGGAGTGAATATGGATCAAGCAGGAATTGCGGGTGCAGGAATATTGAGAATCTAAAGTGATGCTTTCTGTACAGCATGCCCCTCGCTAGTCTTACTCTGTGCCTAAGTGCAGTCCAACAGAGAAAGCACGGTTCTTAACGGCAGCCGCTGCATTCTCCACGGCCATCCCCACTGTAACTGTGCAAGGGGCAGCGACGTGTCGCAATGCTAATGGAATCCGCAGCCACAAAAAGATTTGTGTTTGGCGCGAGAATCTTCAGTGGTTTCACTCAAGGACAAAGCTGCCGGGGGTAACCGTCCTGCAGAATAATGGTGAATGCGGAATTTGGCTCTGACCAACGGGACTGCGAGAGACTAAGCAGATGGCAGACGAGCAAAACCAACCTGAGTGCGCGCAAGAGCAGAGCCCCCCAAAAAAGGGAAATTCTTCGCTATTAGAGGCCAAATGATAGGGAAAACCAGGGCTGGCTGAGAAGCGACTTCCACCGGCAGAGTGGTGTGTGCGCACTGGCGATACGCGTTTGTGTGAATGTGCACACCAGCGCACAACACACCACAGCGTGCACACCATCGTGTGCACAAATGTCTAGTCGAACGCCAACGTGTGGTGACGATGAATGTAATCCATAGGTTGTCCTCCCACCCCAACTGCTCAGCATTAGGGGGGTATTCATACAGAGCTTTTCGACTCCAGCAAAAAAAAAAATGCACTCACATACTACCAAGATAACCCATTGTGTATCCTTTGTACCGTTTCGATATTCCACAATCCGATGTGTTATAATAAGTATCATAGTCAGTATTAGTGCAGTGAAAAGTATAATACATATTTCCAGAACATTTTGGAGCTGCTGGGTGACGAGTGTTGTAAAAACAGACGTTGCCTGGCCAGGGTGAATGGCTGTGTGGATTTAGTGAACAGGCACTGCCACCTGCAGGTGAAAGTGGCATCCTCAACCCACATACCTTGGTCTCCCGCCCCATCATGTACTCGAATAGTACTTTCCGCAGGTACTCAAACTCTGTCGGCTCTCCCGACAAATCATGACTCCCATGTGCGCCTGCGCACACACACAAAGGGACACTTTCAGTACAGCATGCAACCTTGGTCAGAATAATGATTCACTCCAACTGGGCAAGGGGTAATGGCAACCGAGTGTTGTGGGCAGTGTGTGTATCCTCGGCCCACGAAGGCCATCAAGGAACGTGTTAGTGTGACGGGTCAATGGGGTGCAAGCCCACCTGTGTACGATGCCCCAAACGGAAGAGCCTTTCGCTTCTCGTAAACATTCACCTGGTCCTGTAAGGAATTAATCTGCAGCATGGACACCACAAGCGCATTAGAAACGCACCTCCAGAAGTTTCGCTCGTACGTCCATCTGTACTGCAGGCCTGCGAGTGCGGCCACGAATCCCAAACCATCAACCGCATCGTAAACACCCTGCCCCCGATGCCGTCTTCACTCGTTCAAAGGGGCGCATGGACGAGAGCCACTCTCCTTCTGAACAATCGAGTGGATAACAAATCTAAAATTACATCTTTAAGCTGCCGTTATTAATCCATACCAAAGAAGATTAATGTAAGTAATGGATGAAAGGCAAGAGTGTCACCCAAGTGAATTGTGAGTAGAGTTGTTGTCAGCGTGCCGTTATTGGCACCCGTGGCTGCAGGGTTTTTTATACGAATTTTTCCCGTACGCTGGGATTGTTTGCTTGGTGTTGCTGGGCTGTTGCTGTTGTTACCTTTTCTTTGAACTCCTGCTCCTGCAACCGGGCCTCTGCAAGCAGTGTCGTCTTCTCTGCAAGTTGACTCTGATGTCGGACGGCAGTAAGGCATACTCGAGGTTTACATTTAATCGCGATAATTCACTTGTCCAACGCCGCACATGCGGTTTATTTACACGCGTCTGTGACAGCATTTCTTTCGACACTGTTTTGTGATTGCTATACAAGCACTCTTTATTGTTTTTCCTGTTTGCAGGAAGTTTTGGCATATTTTGTGTAAATATCATTCGTTGTTGTTATTGATAGTTTGCACATTCCCACCCTGCAATGTCCGTAACTGCCGTGCCTGCCCAAGGTCTTGGGCTGCGGTCGTCCTTGTAAAAGTGCTACGGAGCTTAATGGGCCTCACCAGCTGTAATAAAGTCCGAGTCTGACTTGCCTGTACCGATTATTCATAGCAAAATGACATTGTGTAAATAAATCTAGATTTGAAGTTTCCGTGACTGCAGGGATCCATACTCTTTGGTTCTTTCGATAAAGTCACGTGGGTAAAAAATAAAGCAAATCACGACGTTTCGGGCGCAACACAAGTGTCCGTCATCAGGTGAGACAACCACAGCAAGAAGCAATTGCTGAAGTGGGCAAAAGCGCTGCTAGTATCAAGAGGATATACAGTAAAAGCTTGGATTGCGAGCATAATTCGTTCCGGAAACGTGTTTGTAATCCAAAGCACTCGTATATCAAAGCACTCGTATATCAGTTGTGATCACGTGACGCTCAGCAGACAAAGCGTCTATACGTACTACTCGTATTGCAAGACCTCGCTCGTTTATCAAATTAATATTTATTTAAATGTTTTGCTCGTCTTGCAAAACACTCGCAGACCAAGTTACTCGCAATCCAAGGTTTTACTGTGTAGGTAAGAGGGGGGGCGGAGCCAGGGAGGAGAGATAGAGAGGGTGGGGGTGTGGGGCAGGGAGAATGGAGTGCTGCAAGCTCCAAAACGAGCACGGCAACATGCCCACTTCAGCGATTGCTTCTTGCTGTGGTCGTCCCACGTGATGATGTACGCTTGTGTTGCGCCCGCAACGTCGTGATTTAATTTATTTTATACCTACGTGACACTTTACCGAAAGAACCAAAGAGTATTGTGTAAATGCTTACCTGGAAAAATTGTTTGGTTTAAAAAAAGTTTTAGTTTAGTTCATTGCCATGCTGTGTTACGTCACGTGGGATTTTGCCAGTGGTGTTCCATATACTGTGGTGTCTGTAGAGAGATTGCTCGCTTCAGGTGTGTAAATGCAGTGGTACCTGCATATTTTCCACTCCTGTCTGGCTCTGCCTGTGAACGTCCTGTCAAAAAACACAGTAAGCAGCACGTCAGTGGCATGATGGTGAACAGTACGTCAGTGGTGAGTGATGTGATCGACACGATGGTGATGTGGTGAGCGATACCAGTGACGCGATGAGCTGCACGACGTTTTGGAAAATTTGGCCATGCGGTATTTACACGTGAATCTCTGGTTTGTTGATCAGGAAGCCATGCGTATGGGTCACATGACAAATTAGAATTTAGAAAACTCTAAAACGAAAATAAAAGTACCTGCTACATCCCATGCACTGGCAGCAACTAAAAATAAATAAGCATTCAAAGCCGATGAACGTGGTTTTACAATGACGACACTGCCAAGCACCGGTGGAGCAGGCTACCTGCTGTAGATTACTCATGGACAGAAGCTTTTTCTTTAGATACTGCTTCATTTTCATCTCCTGGCATCGCATGTAAAGTAAGCATGCGCAACAACAGGCGGCCAATGCTGAGGTCACACGTCTGGTGGTTAGGGGCGTCACAGGTTATTTAGTCCCCTAGACGCCAACAACAACGCAGCCGCTTGAGCAAATGCTCACGTCACTGGACGCTAACCTGCGCTGTTGCTGCTGCTTTAAACGCACACCTTTAGGTTAGGTATTGGCAACTTCCTTGCCATGACTGGGATCAAGTCAAAGTGATTTCCTGCTAAAATGAGCAGTGGGGCAGTGCTCATCCTCTGATTACAGCCCTGAGCCAGTGACAAAAATTCCACATTGCTATTGTGGTGGGCAAGTGCACACCGATAACCACTGCTATTGCCTTTACTACAAAGTGGTGCTTATTTTAATGATCCTGAACGGATGATAAGCTGAGTCAACCTCCCCAACCGGGATTTTGAACTCTCGCAACCTTTCGATCGTTAGCCACTCGCTCTACCGCTGAGCCACCTGGACGAATATGATTGGCGAGAAGGGAAAAAACGAGCACTGCCATTTGAGTCCAACTGCCAGGAGTCACTTGGAACGTTGCAAGGAAAGTAGAGCGTGTACTGCTGAGTACACGATTGTGCATTTAATGCTCCTATACAAACTACAACAATGATAATAAATCCGCATAAGTTTGGCCTAGATATTTAATAAAGCTGAAGCTCACTTAACATCCCAACCTGTATTAAGGCTGTCCATAAACAAGGACATAGACTAATAATGGGCAGTGTCACTGGATGTTCACTATCGAAGTTGATAACCTAATGGACACTGTAAGTTACACAGGACAAGACAGATACACGTACAATTTTACTCAATATGGGTCAGCGATTAACATAAAATATGTACATAGGGCATTGTGGGTAATATTAGAGGGCATGTGTAATTGATTTCATAGGTCACGTCAACGTGGACTGACCACCAAGTTTCAACTTTATTTAGTTTAACCAGGCGGTGGGAACTGAGGAGACCAGGAGGAGTCTCATTTTCCAGAGTGTCCTGGGTCACCAAATTCACAAAAGCAAGAACATGAAAGTACAACAATGAAACAAATATAAATTGGAGAAAAATCATCCAACGAATGTAGAGGAAGCAAAAACAAGAATCGCGTTACAGAGGAATTAAGCAATACTGCACAAATATAAATTTTAGTAAATTCTCTCGAAAAATTGCCTTCGACAAATGACACATAACACAAGTTAAAGAAGCATTAAAATGGAATTCACGGTGATAATTGCTCTCGTATGTATATAGACAAGGATAGACATCAAATAGAAACAGACGAGGCGTCGTGTGTTGCGTCGAGGGAGCGAGCCCGGTGCCGTGGGACACACCTGCTGGGCGGAGTTGAGGCCAAGCTGGTTGACGTGCTCCTGCAGGGCAGCTTCTCTCTGTTGGTGCTGCTCCTGCTCGGCGAGCAGCGCCGCCTGCAGCTCCCGCACCTGCTGCTGGTGCTCCTCGTCCCGGCTCTGCACCCCCCCCCGCCCCGCGCACAGCGTACACATGTCCACACACGCTCCAGCGTGATCGCTCCCTCCCATCGCGTACAATAAACGGACATCTTTGCAAACATTTTTGCTGGACATCTGTGAGAATAGAGCTTTATAGCTCATTGGATTCCTCCAGAATAAATATTCCGAACTGGATAAATAACGCCTTGTTTGTTTAGACCATCGGCTCAAGAGGAAAAATTGTGGCCATATAAAAGTATTTTAGGCAGCAGCAGGACAATGAGACAAGTGTACACCGGCTTCATCCTTGTTTGGAATCATCAGTAGAGTGTATCCATCACTACCTCCTGCTTGCCTTGAGCTTCAGCGGCTATGTGGACATGTTCTCTCCTGATCGCTATTCAATTATACCACTTCCTATAAATGATGCCCCATTAAGAAATGTAAACGCAGTGAATTTCTCATCATTCACAGCAAGTGACAATATCGCTTTATCCACACGCTGTGTTACTACGTTGTCCACTCAGCATCATAGGGGGTGAATACCATCACTGCACAGATTGTTGCAGCCACATGGGCCCCCACAAACGATTTGTACTTTTCGTTTTTACCTGCACGATTTCTTCATACTTTTGGGCAGTGCGGGTGATGTGGGCATCTTTCTCCGTCAGCTGCTTCAGCAGTTCCTGAACCTTGCTCTTGTGCGAACGCAGCAACTCGGTCTCCACCTCCTCACCTTTGTCTGGGCACACGGGCAATCACAGCTCTCACAGCAAGAAGGGCTACTGCCCCCCCCCCCCCCCCAACAGAACCCGACGGCCAACGCGTGGTTTAAAACCTAGGGGCACGAGTTGACGTAACGGTGAATTGTAGCGTCAATGGTGACGCTGCTCGTTAGTACGCAGCCAATAGCTCTTGACGCAGAGAGTCAAGCACTGACTGCATTGAGCCTCCACAGATTGATGATATGAAGCCAAATTAGGGATGTTGCTATTGGGATTTAGTAATGTTAGGATGCCACGTAAAGTCTGGGCAGGCAGCTGCGTCTCATGTTGTGTTTAGTTTGCTGTCCTTCCCCCGCACCTCCGATTAGCATGGTTGGCTACGTACGGTGCGAAAGACGTTCAAAATACACACGTACGTACATCTTCGCTCACCATGTAAGAATATCTTTCGGTACACATACGCTAATCCAACGCGTGAACACACTGCTGTCGGAAGCAAGGAATCGTTTTTATAGTGTCACAGGAGCCACATGGTGCAGCAGGCATGGGGCCAGACTCACTCATGGCCTCTTTCACGGCCGCCTCCAGCTCCTGCTCCTTCTCCGACATCTTTGTGTTGAATTCGCGGATCAGCTGCTTTATGGCCGAGCCGTGCTGCACCTGCAAGTCTTCCAAATCGTTCCTGCAACGGTGCAGTCGGCAAACACAGTAAGCGAAGGCTGTCACTTGTTGATTCTGCACTCACCCGTTTTAAAATAAAATACAAACAGCCTAATCAAGTGAAGCATTATTATCGAACATCACTCTAGCAGAATGTGACGCTTAAGAAAAAAATATTCTCCTCCAGGTCAAAAGCACCCGAATTTAAGTGCCTGTTCTAGCGACAACAAAAAATACCAGACAGGGTGAATGCGCTGTGGGAACTGGCCATGTTTACACTGAGGGATAGTTGTAAATCTGTGACAAGTTAAAACATGTATGTTTCATCTATCACACACATGTGATCTGATATCTCTTGCTGTAATTTTAAGACATAATTCACATCTATATAGATCTCCAAGCGCATCTGTAACAGGTGCTATTTTCAAAATTCAGCAAGCGGGGCCAGACAGCCCTACAGACGTACTTGTACTTCTCCGCAGCCTCCTTAAACGCCTCCTGCTTGATCACCTCAATCTCCTTCTGGTGCTCCTTACGCAGAACCCGCAGGTCCTTCTGAAGCCGAGTGGCCTCCTTCTTCGTCTGAGTCTTCTCCGTCTCGGCTTCCTGCAGTTTGCCGTGCAGCTCCTGCTGCTGTTGCTTGAGGTCACCGAGCAGCCTCTGTAGGTCGTGTTCTGAGCGCGCCTTCTCGTCCGCTCCGGCAGTGTAGCTCTGCAGGAGGGCCTCTTTGTCGAGCAGGCTACTCTCCAGGTCCTTCAGCTTTACATCCAGCTTTTCCTTGTCTCTCAGAGCAGCCTCTAGATCACCCACCTTTGCCTCCAGTTCCTTATTGATCGTTTCTTTCTCCGCGACGACGGCCTCAGTTTCCTTCAGTTTACTTTCTAACGTAATGGCCAAATCTCCTTTCTCTGTCACTGTGGACTCCAACTTAGACTTCTCTACCTCAAGGGCATTCTGGAGAGCTGCAGTTCTCTCCTGAAACTCTCGTACAGCAGCTTCCTTCTCTCCTACCTGCTTTTGCGATTCCTCTATTCTGAGCTCTAAGGCCACAGTAATCTTCTCCTTTTCTTCCATCTGTCGTTTTAAAACTGCTATCCTTTGCTCAGCTTTCTTTTTCAACTCTTGCTTGCCAGAGCTTTCCTCAGTCAGTCGTGCTTGAAGAGTTGACAACTCCTTGTCTTTAGACTCCCTCATCTCCTCCATAGCTCTTTGCCATTCCGTCTCCTTTTGTACAATTTCAGCCCTTAACGTTTGCATCTCCGTTTCGAATCCCCGCACCTTGTTGGTCACTTCCCCATCGCCTAATCTAAAGGCCTCAATCTCACCAAGAAGCTTTGAGATTTCTGCTCTTTGGCCCTGCACAGCTATGCCGTGTGCCTCTTTCAACTCGTGAATTACTTTCTCGTTTTCTGCCTTTGCAAAGTCAGCTTGGTTCTGAATAGAGGACAATTTGGCCTTCGTTTCTTCCAGCTGCGACACAAGCTCTTTGAAGACTTTATCTTTTTCAGCATTGGTGTCTTCCAGCCTCTGGAGCAGCTGTGTCTCTGTGTTACACAGCTGCTTCGCGAGCTTGTCCTTCTCCAGTTCTTTCTCCTTCAGCAAGGACTGCACCTCCACAAGCTGCCTCTCTAGCTCCTGCTTTCCCACATTCAGCTGCTCTATTAGAGTCATCTTCTCAGCAATACTGGCTGCATGCTCTGCTAAAAGATCCTTGACCTGACTTTGGAGTTCTTCAATTGCCGTTTGTTTTTGAGTCAACAACGTCTCAGTTTCTTTCTGCATCTCAGCAATTTTTGTCTCCAAGAATTCGACCTGTGTGCAGACCCCTGCCTTCTCTTCTGATTCTTTAGAAAGAGCCACAGAGAGCTCGTCTACCTCTTTTATAAACTGTTCCACTTTGACACCGTGCATCTCCTCCAGCTGGGCTATGAGTTCATCCTTTTCCTGTAAGCTAATGCTTGCGGAAAGTCGTTCCTGCATGTCGCGATTTTGCGTCTCCAGGCTAGTAATACGGGAGTCCGTTTCCTTGAGCTTTTCTGCCATTTCATTCGAAGCCAAGTTGTTGTATTCCACGCTCTTCTGAAGCTGCTCAATGAACGCTTCCCTTTCACTCAGGTTGTTGGCAATACTCAGAGTCTTGTTCTCCAACTCCTGCTTCTCCGATAAAGCTGCACGCAGCTCCTGGGTGAGCTGCTCCAGGCTGTTGTCCTTCCCAGAGCTCTGCTGCAGCTCCTCCTCCCTCTCCTTCTGCATCTGCTCGTTCTGCTCACGGAGGTTCCTGAGCTGCACTTCCAGGTCGGTTAACTTGCGGTCTCTGGACTTGATGCCATCCTTCAATTTGTCTGTCAAGTCTCTGCAGCTTTCAAGTCGTTGGCCAACAGCAATGACTGACATTGACAGTCTCTCGCTGCAGCCATCCATTAACCCTTTTAATTCCCCCTCCAGGTGAGAACATGAGGAGGTCCACTGTCTTTTAACATCCTCTTTAAATTCTGCTTCTTTTTCAACACATGCATGTTCAATCTTTTGTTGATTCTCTTTACTCTGATCCTGAAGTTCTTTATAAACCTGCTCCAGCTCTTGTAACTTAACCGTTGTCCTCGATAACTCATTTTCAAGTTCTTCACATTTGGAAATTTTTTGTGAGCATTCTTGTTCCACTGCTGTTATTTTCGCCTGAAAGGCGAGCGTGATCTCTTCAACATTCTTAACGTGATTAAGCCCGAGTTCCTCCAACTTGCTGCTTTTTTGAACAACCTCCTCTTGCAGGAGCTGCAGTTCATTTTCTCTTTCTTTTAGCTCTTCTCTTGCAGCGATCAACTCCTCCGATGTAATTTTCCTCTCCGTTTCAAAATCTACAATCTTGCTCTCCAGTCGTGCCACCATCTGCTCCTTCTCCTGCAGTTCCACCTCGTGCTTCTCTCTCAATTCCTCCACCTGCTGGCCGAGCCTGCTCTCCCAGCTCCTGCCCACCTCTTCCAGCTCCTGCTCATGTCTCGTCACCAAACCTTGTAACTGATCTCGCTGCCTCGCCTCGAGCTTCAGCAGGGCATCGTCCATTCCTTCGGAATTCTTTCGAGCGTGATCGCTCATGATGTCACTTATCTCCTGCTCTTTCTTGCCGAGAGCGCTCTTTAGCTTTCCTATTTCCTCCTTGAACTTCGTGTCCTTATCCGATAGCTTCTTTTTATATTTCTCCTGCATTTCTTTTCCCTTCTGTTTGAAAAGATCCAACTTTGCATCCCGCTCCTTGATTTGCACGTCATGCTGCTCCCTGGCCATTTCAATGCTCTCTTCTAGAACTCTCTTCTGCTCCTCCAGCTTCACATTGAGTTCTTCTACTCTATGGGACAGCTGTTGTCTCAGAGATGCAAGTTCTTCATCCTTCTCGCCGAGAGTCCCGTTCAGGTTCTCAAGTTCCTCGCTCAGTTTACTCGTCCTGCCATTCGCCTCTGCAATCGACGCCACAGTCTCCTCCTCTTTTCGCTGGAGCTCATTCTTGAGCTGAACAACCTCCTGTCGAGCTTCGTCAGCAGCGGCTTGACTTGCAGCTTTGGCTTCGGCCAGGGAAGAGTCCAGGTTTGTCCTCTCCATCTCCAGCGCAGCTATTTTATCATTTAGTTTCTGCAACTCCTCTGCATGTCGTGAGCCAAGCTCTTGTTCATGTTGCTCTTTCTCTAACTGTATCTGCTCCTCAAACTGCTGCTGCTGTACCGTTTTATCATTTTTCAATATGTTTAAGTTACTTTCAAATTCATCCCTTACTCGTTTAACTTCCTCCAAGTCAAAACTGGTCTTCTCCAGTTCGTCCTGCATACTTTCAAGCACCTGCATATGCTTCATATTCATGTCCATAATGTGCTCTTGGAACTTGCACTTATTTTCTTCCACCTTCAACTTCAGCTCTTCCAGATGAGATGCTTGCAGCTTCTCCACCTCTTCCCGGTGCTGCTGACACAAGGCCTGCAAGGCTGCCTCGTGCTCCTTTTGTAAAATCTTCTGCTCCTCAACTCCTGCCACGGCCCCCAGCTCCACCTGGTGGCAAAGCCTCACGGCCTCCACGTGCGTGCCAGGGACAACCCCACCACCATCGGGTTGCGTTTCTGTGCTCTTCTCCACCAAGCTCTCCAACTCCAGCGTCCTCTGTTTACAAACCACTCTCATTACAAATGTGCCACGTTAGCTGTGTTGACTTTCACACACTTAGGTGATCGCTCAATAAGCATTCGAGGAAAATGGAAGAGCATCAGTCATAAATCAGATGCATCAGCTACAAAAGCAGATCAACAACTACCATAGTGTGGGGCCAGCAGGAAGCTATTACGTATAACGATTACGGACATTTTTTGCCAAGGCAATGATTGAGAATGTGTCTGAAGCAGTGGCTGTGGGTGGCGCACCGTTCGCAGGGCCTCCACGTGGGCCGAAAGCTCCTCCCTCTTCTTCTCTTCCTGTGCCAAGATGGCCGATTTTTGCAGCTCCACCTCCTCGAGGGCCAGCAGCTGCTGCTGCTCTTTCTCCCGAAGCTGGGCCAAGAAGTCGCTGCGGCAATGCTCCTGGGCACATGATAACAATAATAAGCACGTCCCCCTCACTTGAGGGTTCTCTGTTCAAATATGCCATTAACTCATCCTTGAGACACTATCCTTATAACAGTTACAATTTAAACAAATGAATAAGTAAACACTTAGATATCAGTCACAATTAGTGTGACTGTCACTATTCCGAATGCTTTTGGCTTTATACTCAAACCCAGAGTTCAGCCAACCGTACTCTACCGCATGCATATCATCAAACATAAAGGGTAGGATAGCTCAAGCTTTTTCAAAGGTCAAATTCTCCAATTCTGTATTCCGAACTGACAATTAAAATAAACTCATCACAGAGGGGAAATCTGTATTGAACGTGTAATCTATAGCACGGTGAGAAATTTCACTGGCCCAGTTTGACCGTTGACATTTATTGACTTGGAATCGGAACAGCCTATGAAATGAACACAGGAATGTTGGGCAAGGTGACCGCTGGCTCACCAGGGAGGCCTGCAGGCCCTGCTGGACAGCGTGCTCACGCTGAGACAGCTTCTCCTGCCACTCGCTGTCCCTCTGGGCGAGAGCCTCGGCGTGCGCCTGCTGTAGGCCAGCCAGCTGCTCTTCCGATGACTTCTGCTTGGCAAAAGTCCATTGCAAACCACCAAGGAATGTTCAAGTTTAGACCAAAGAGTATCTTCTTTGTATACATGTGATGCCGTGTCAAAAAATGTGCCAACTAAGAATCACTGTTCTATGCAATGTTGTTAGTCAACACGTGCATTTTGTACAACACGTGCATTTTGTACAAAGTTGTATTTCCTTCCATGTGTTTATTATAAGGTAATTATTTTAAAGCCTTATTTCACATGTTGCTGTTTTACCATTGCATTTCTTCAGTGTATTTTAAGTGTTGTGCTTGTTTATGCAAAACTCTAATATGCATTTTGCTTTTTTAGGGAGATGAGGGGAAGGTGACCCTCTCCCAGCCTGACTGAATGTTTTTTTAGTTTATAGATCACTGCTTGCAAAGCGCGTGTGGGTGAGGGGATGATGCTAATTCTGTCAGACGGCTTAATACCCAGACAGATGATGATCGCACTCCATTGCTATGCGGGGTCCGTAGCGTGGGACCTTCCTACTAAGTGAGGCGTCACGCCTTCAATCGTGGTTGTGTATTTGCAAGCAAGAGTCAATGTTACAACTCACCAGTTAAACATTGCATTGTGGAAAAACAGAAAGCGTGGATAAGAACATGCAGCAATCATAAAACCACTGTGTGCGTAACTCTTTAACGGCCGTCTCTGGCTCGTCATTACCTTCGGCCACAACATATAGCAGCATGGATCTAATCTGGGGGAAAGAACAAACATTCGGTGTGTGACCCCAATCTCCCCAGCAAACTTGCCTTCATGAGCTTCACCACCTCCTGCTTGGCTCGTGAGAGCTCCAAAAGCAGGCTCTGCCGTTCCTCCTCGCCGGCACGCTCCACAGCTGCCAACCGCTCCTCCATCTCCGCCTGCGCCCTCCTCCGCGCCTCTTCTGCTGCACCCACTGTCCTCTCCAGCTCCTCAAAGGCTGAGCAAAGAAAGGCACACCGTGTGACATAACATGCACACGTGTGAAAACGAGAACTCTTCCAACCACTGCAAGTTTGTACTGAAAACCGGCTGTACAAAAAAAAAATCCAGCAGAAAATGCACATATTTTAAATTGTAAACAAATACAATTTAGCCGGTCGATATGGGACTCCCTTATCGCATTACGAGACAACATGTGAGATCTCGATGTTTTTGAAACTGTGGCACAGGCACCGCACCGGCACGGTCAGCGCGCTCCTTCTGCTCCGCCAGCTCTTCGCGCTCGCTCATCACGTCCTGCAGCCGAGAGCGAAGCAGCCCCACTTCCTCCTCCTTGGCTTCCAGTGTGGCGTGCATCTGACGCTTCGTCTCTGCAATCGCCATGCCCTGGAGCAAACAAGCACACGCCGTTGGCGTGCCGCTCATGAACACTTAAGCAGCTCCCATCGGCGACGATGCATCCACCCTCCTCGCGCGGCGTCAACAATTTTCCACCCACACCAGCGCACACACGTACGACTTCAGCACAACACCGGCTGCCTGGTTACCCACATGCAAAAGAAGTTCCAACATACATACACGTCTCCCTCAACCCTCATCACCGACTGCGTTACACCCAAGTTTCAGCTACTGCCACTCCCACAACTACTCCCTCTGTCTTCCCACTCATCAGAATCCAGCCTCTTATTTCCTGTCAGGTACTCTGTTAATTAATGCTAAAGTGTCCACGACATCCAACACTGGTATGCCGTAGAACCGGTCTAGTAAAGCTACAAAAGACATTTGAACCTTTAGTGACATATCCAACACGACATGGCATAATGCGCCTGTGCGTCACTGCAACGCTTTTGGCAGTTTATCACTTAAATCCCAGCACACACTGCAACACAACCACACGCAAATGATTTTGTGCGGGCAGCACTCTGCTCACTTTGTCTTGCTCCAGCTGCTCGATCAAGTTCTTGGCATCCCCAAGCTGCGTGATGAGCTTCGTTTTTTCCGCCGTGTGTAGCTCCTGGTGGGAGAAACACACGACGTTTGTGGCAATGGCCACCCATTGGTGGGCGGTGGGAGGGGGAACATCGAGGCAGATGCATGCGGCCTCTATTCTATGAGAGGGTGCTCCATGAGAGAGGACAGCCAGCAGCTCACGCGCAATGAAGAAGAACGTAAGTGATGGAACAGGAACGGGAACTTGTTTAGTGGTGGCACTCCGGGACAGCCGAACGACAGGTTTACCAGAATGTGGGTGGGGAGGATGGGGTTATCTGTCAGGAGATGGTAACATCACAGTCGACACGGTGAGCATCAGGTTCTCACTCCTGTCCAACATTTACAATTAAACACTTGCTTTCCCTATAGACTCCAAGTTATTTTCTATTTACCAAAAAAGACCCAATTAAAATAACGTGACATTCTCATAAAATGCAAAATAGCCCCTCCAAGTTGCACCGGTCGATCACTCAGATACTCACTCGGATTAGACGGCTAAGAACTTCAGATAATACTGGAGGCCTCATGAAAATCATGAGAGATTAATACACTAATTTTTTAATCTGTAGTTGCAAAAATAGCCTATTTTTCATGAATAGGTTGGTTTCTTTATAAACAGAACCAGTGTTTCCTTAGCAGTAGGCTCCAATATAGTTAATAGAATGTAAAACATTTCTGTGCCAAAATTAGACTAATGTAGCACAATTCATCAGCCTGAATGTCATTAAGGTGGCAGCATCCCAGTTTTGTATGGTCAGTTGGCATTCAAAAACGGCATCTCAAGTAACCTCATCTCCAGAAAACGTGACCTCAATTGTCACCTGAACGAATAAGCCAGATGGCTCAAGCCACGTTTCGCATTGGTAAAACAACTTTACTGGCTGAAGGATGTATTAGAACAGCTCGACGGCCACAAGATATGGGTCGTGGAGATGAGACAGGTGCTGTGAGACAGGTCCGCACTAGCAGAGACTTGCAGCGATGCCATGCAGTCCCCCGCAGACAGGCCTGGTGCTCATGTGGCCGACCATACCTGCGTGTGCTTCAGCTCTTCCCCCAGACCTATACCCAGTTCGGACTGGAAATTGTCACAAAACACGCATTCCCCAAGAGCAGAGTTAAAAAGAAACACCAAAAAATGCTCTTAAAGCAACGGGAACCATTAAAGTCCCGAAAGATCGCAGAGAGACCGTCTGCAAACTATAAGTGAGCCAACTACAGCAGGCCCAATAGAAATAAGGCCAGAAATACAGCAGGAAATGCTTTCGTTGGCGCAAGCCCAATAACCACTGCATGTAAATGGGGCATTAAGCCTTGTTGCGCGAGCTCAGCCACTTATACACACACCTACATGTCTGTTCAGATACTGCATGAACAATGCTTTGTTACAGTAGCCGCTAACATCACGAACCACCAGTGTCCAAAAATCGTACGGAGAATTAAAATCACACGGGGAGATAAACAGGCATTGTGCTGCTGGCGGTCTTGTCAGTCACAGAATACACCAAGTCAGGGCGAAGCAAGTTTTGCAGCTATATAGCATGTAAAAACAGCACTGTCTCAAAGCACTCATCTCATTGTCAGACATTCGTTTGCTCGTGACTTTGCTGCCTTGCCGACTGCTGCCATAGCACCTGTTCCTCGAGTAAGTCTACAAGGCAATGAAGCGTGGCGCAAGATCGCGTACCCAGCGGAGCGTACGTACCTTCAGCTTCTCCAGCTCCTGCAGCCGCTCGTCAAGCTGCTCCTGCAGCGTCTCCTTCTCGGCACTCAGCTGGGTCGAGCGCTCCTTCTGCACGCGCATCGTCTCCTTGCAGCGCTTCAGCAGGTTCTCCTGACGCCGCACTCGCTCGCGCGTCGCTTCCAGCTCCTTGTGGACATCTGCACGTGTGTACAAAGACAAAAGATCCCCCGTGTAGCCTTAAGAGACTGTTGGGGCAAGTGCTGTTAGCGAGTAGCACCTTTGAAAGCCGAGACGGGGCACGAGGGAGTGGGTGGCCGGCACCGTGCCCGGCCGCGTTCGTCTCTCTAGTGGTGACGTTTACACACCACACCAAGTGCTCATTTGACGGTTGAGTCGCTAGCGGAGGCCCAGAAACGATTCAAATAATTGTCTCTGGTGGTGGCTGTGAGCGGGAATGGAACCCGGGTTGCCAGGTTTGTGGCACAGGGCACTAACCATGGACACACGCTCGTGCACACGCGCTCCCCAGTGCACAGCTACTTACAAACGAGGTAAACGACAAATGCAAACGTATACGTTCTAAGTGCGCATGATTTACACAGTTGTGTTAATCTAAATCCTTGGGTAGGACCATCAAGTGCACAAGCAGACAGGCAAAGCAAACATGAGTGACATTTTGAGAGGCTTGCAAGGAGCTTAGCTGCCTGATAATCCCCTTCACGTAATGTTGATGACCACTGTATGAGCGTATCCTCAGGGCCACCCATCCATCCTGCTGGACAAAAACGGCCAAGTGGAGCCAAGCTATTCACGGTATTTATGCCGAAATATCTGCCCTCGCTCAGCCCCCAGGCTATAAGTGTTTCTAGGAAACCATGACACTCAACGTGATTTTACCTTCAGGTGGGTGGGGTCCCTCTCCACGCTCGGCATGATGGGGAATCGAAGCCTCCTGTACATCCCCACCGCTCCTTTCCGCATCGCCGTCTGTGCCTGTCTGCCCGGACCCAGAGTCGTGTTCGTCCAAGGACATTCCGTCGACTCTCTGCTGTTTCTTCAGCAGTGCCACCTGCACAACCACGAAGGCAATCACCTCGTCGCGATGATGTTGCCGTATTCCGACGGCGCCGACAGCTAGTTCCGGTTGAAGCAACACACGCACGCACACGAACACGCTCGGTCCGCACAGCGTTGGATGGACGGTGCACACCTGTGTCTGCAGCACGGAGATGAGCTGGTCCTTCTCCTCGAGGGAGGCATCGAACTCTTGCTGAAGGTGCTTCTTAGCCTGCTGATCCATCTGCAGCTCCTGATTGAATATGAGGACATTGGCCAAGGTTGAACTGCACGTACTTTGTAAGACATTCAATACTTTATTATCATCAATAGCAATCAAAAATTTTCAAGGGATTTGAGGTGATATTGAGCTTAAATCTTGACTTAAAGCTTTCGTGACTACAGGAAATTATATTCTTGGTTGCGATCGAAACGCCGTAGTTTTTTGTTATTTTCTTTGAACCTATTAACATGACTTTACCGAAAGACCCAAGAACATGATATTTAGCTTATCAACGTGTAACTGATTTTAAATAACCTCTTTTTTTCATACAATTATAATCAGTTTCCATATTTATGAAATACAATTATATTTTACGTCTATAACAATTTTCACAAAAACTATTACTCATGGCCGCACCTCTCTCAGTTCCGAAATCCTCCTCAGAGCACGATCCTGGTTTTGACCTAAGACCACCTTCCAAGGAAATGCAAACAACACAACGTTACCCTGCGCATACGGCATGCACTGACAGCATTCAACAGGGAGATGCCTTTTTTATTGAGGACAATTATTAAACTGTACCTGAAGTTTTTCTTTATCCCGCTGAAGATCTTTGCAAATAGACACCAACTGTGGATGGTATCAGCACAGGTGATAATTGCTAAATAAACCGGATCTCAGTTGTATACTTGTCAGCGTTTCACAAATTCACTTACGGACCGGGGCCAGGCTGCCAAAGCCTCGGCTCCGCACAAATCCTTCCACGTGTGTTAGACTACGAGGTGAGGAGCTCTCGCCGTCGCGGGTGAGACTGCGCCGCTCACCTCCGTGTACCTCCCTCTGTACTTGGCGAGGCTGCGCTCCATCCGTCCCAGGCGGTGCGCCATCTCGTCACGGCTGAGGCCGTCGATGCCGCCGCTGGGCATTGTGGAGCCCTCCTCGGACTCGCTCTCGATGTCCGACACCAGCTCGGGGCCGGGGGTGGGCGACTGCGGCACGGCCCTCAGCTGACTCTCCTCGTCGATGCGATTGAGGGAATCCCTGGAGCCAGTGCGGAAGAGCGACTCCATCGACGGGATGCGTAGCTCCATCTTCCGCAGAGGATTGAAATCCAACTTCTGAAAAAACATTGCGGTCCAATGTTGAGGTGAACTATTTCCTTACTCGCACATTACCTTATGATAACATTCAGAACAAAACTGTATTATATGACCCATGACTGTCTTCGTGAAAGATGTGAAGTGACGTGGCACTTTTTATATTTTACCATGTGCTACTCTGAGAGTACAATTTGAGTAGACAACCCAACATATTAAAATGTGCTTCGTCTAATGTTTGATTTACCCCAAATAGCTCACACTCAACAGCGAATTTTCTCGTCACAAGTTGGAGTAACAATAACTCATGCAAATTGCACAATGCGGATTACGGTTCGCGTTAATGGATATGGATTATGAAGGGTATTCCCGCGATGTCACGGCAGTAAAATGTGCTCCCAGCAGCAACAGCAGCATCACCTTGGTCGGTGTGGCCTGGTCTCCATTGACATTTTCTCCATCTCTGGGCAAAGCGCGGCTGTCATCCTGGGCACCTGCATCACCCTGAACACAAAGTTTATAGTACATTCAATTGGTTTGCATGATGCACTCATTCAAATATATATAGTCCGTATTCTCCAGATTATAAAACACACTTTTTTCCCCTGTATTTTAAAGAAACAGTTGGGGGTGTATTTTATAATTCGATAGGTGTATGTGTGTGTGTGCGACTAGATGTCACTTTATTGACATCGGGCACATGTTTGGGGTGCATCCTATTTTCCAGAATACCAGATAATCCAGAAAAGATAGTGGATATAAATATCTCGTTTAAATATTTACTTAAAGCTTTCGTGACTGCAGGAATTCATATTCTTGGGTCTTTCGGTAAAGTCACGTAGATAGGTTCAAAGAAAATAAGAAAAAATAACAAAAAACTACGTTTCGATCGCAACACAAGCGGTCGAAAAGTCGTAGAACCTATCTACGTGACGTTACCGAAAGACCCAAGAATATAATATCCTGTTGATTTTAAGAAACACATCTGCCATTCAAGAACATGACAATTCTATAGATTATATTTGAAAACACTGTTCATAAGAAAACGTGTTTACACCACACATTCACTCTACGGGTATTAATATGTGAAATGTTAACTGTAAAAATACAAGCGGTACAATGAACTTATGTAAAATTGTTAGTTGAGCGATAGACCTTTTTTAATTAATGACTAATTCATTAATATTATATAACCCATAGTTAATCCATCGCTCTGGAGTAGTAGGAATTAGTCTATACAACACAAGCAGAAATATGGAAGACGAAAAGTTGGACTGATGAAAACATCTCAACCTATCAAAAACCAAGTGCCTAAAAACAGTTACTTGTGCATTAGGACATTAATAAGCCACTAGACATGGCTCTTCTGCCACAATAACCGTGTTAATCACGCAGTTAACTGTCCCTTGCACGACTAAAAGGTTCACTTTGCAGACTGTTTAAATAGACTTTCAAATCAAATCCATATTTCTGGGATAGCTCAAGCCTCAGCGGTAGAAAACCAGGAGAACATCCAGTAAGGGTAGTAATCATGCGACACGGGCCGATGATGCAGGGTTATGATGTTAGATATGCAATGGCAAACTGAAGCTGGGACAGAGAGCTGCTAGTCTAGCCACACCACTCACCAACCGTGTCTTGTGGCTGGTAGCTTTCCTGCCTTCCACAGCAAACAAAGTGTACTCTGAAATTAACGCTGGCTCGGCTATGACACCAGCCAGGAGCTTTACGACCCAGAGAGACACAGAGAGACAAAAATCACCTGGGAAAGAGCTCGAACCACCAAGAGGCACGTCGAACCGATTCGGACACGCGCAAAGTTGCGAACTCAAAGCAGCACACACTCACACAATGAGAAGGTCAGGACAACCTCTCAAAGCAAGGCGATGCATTTATGAACTGGTATCGTGTTAGGCACCCGTCACACGTGAAACCAAGAAAACACAATAAAAAAGTAAGTCACCCAAATACAAACCAATTCGCCAGAAATGAATTGAATCCCTGTAATAATGAAGCCGCTGTCTGTGCCATAACATTATCTTCATCTTTATGTACGCAGTGTTTCAGCAACACAATGAGTGCAGCCCAGTTTGTCAAGGGCCAATGTTGACGACGTGAGTGCGTGCGTTGCTGGGCATCAGGGGGGCTGCCTCACCTCCCTGTCGGCCGGGCTGAAGCCGGGAGATTCCTGCATCAAGCTGCCCTCCGGCAGGGACGGGGCTCTCGGCCGGGCTCCCGCCTGCACGGACAACAATAACACAAGCAAGCAAGCAAGCGGTGGCAAGGGCTCCCTCTCAATGCGGGGCACAGCTCCCACCAAGCCCACTACTAACTACAACCACTACTCCACCAGCCTGAACTGGCAGTGCTTCTAAATCTCAGATCTAGGGTCAATTGCTACTGTGTCATTTCCCAAGCCTCCAATTAGCACGGTTGGCTACGTACGGTGCGAAAGAAGTTCAACATACATACATTAGCAATGGATTGTACACACATTTATAATTGCAATGTCGGCCAACAATGCTGCCGTAATTGTAATTATAACCGACCCTGGGTTTGCTGGACGTAAACTACCATTTGTTTTGTAAATTGTAGACCAAGCGTGATAATATTCAGCATGGGATTAGCTGAGCAATGGTACACAAATGATGATAACATTCACCCAACTAAGCCCCAAGTTAATAACAGCACACACGATGACATAGGCCCGACCTCCAGTCGGCCGTGGCGGCTCTTCAGGTACGTGGAAGAATCTCCCGAGTAACAGTTGCAGGACTCTCATACCTCCCTGTGCCTCTCTGATCGTGGGTGGTATGAAGAGGTTACACATCACAGGCGTCGGCTTCAGTTGAGCCCGGGTTCCCTACGCTACCCGCACGACACTGGATATTTGCGCCCCTGGGGTTGTTGTGGTTGGAGACACTGCCACCAGTATTGCTGTGGTTAGAGACACTGCTACCAGTATTGCTGTCATTGGAGACACTGCCACCAGTATTGCTGTGGTTGTAGACACTGCCACCAGTATTGCTGTGGTTGGAGACACTGCTACCAGTATTGCTGTGGTTGTAGACACTGCCACCAGTATTGCTGTGGTTGAAGACACTGCCACCAGTATTGCTGTGGTTGTAGACACTGCCACCAGTATTGCTGTGGTTAGAGACACTGCTACCAGTATTGTTGTGGTTAGAGACACTGCCACCAGTATTGCTGTGGTTGGAGACACTGCCACCAGTATTGTTGTGGTTGTAGACACTGCCACCAGTATTGCTGTGGTTGTGGAGACACTGCTACCAGTATTGTTGTGGTTAGAGACACTGCCACCAGTATTGCTGTGGTTGGAGACACTGCTACTAGTATTATTGTGGTTAGACACTGCCACCAGTATTGCTGTGGTTGGAGACACTGCTACCAGTATTGCTGTGGTTGGAGACACTGCCACCAGTATTGTGGTTGTGGAGACACTGCTACCAGTATTGCTGTGGTTGGAGACACTGCTACCAGTCTTGTAGACCAGCTAGTAGCGTTGAGATGTCTCGAGCTCTCGGGCCCGAGTCTCTACGGCGTGAATGTGGGGCGCTTCTGATGTCAAAGTGCTTGGGATCAGAAGTTCCGCAGTTCCTGTTGTCATCAGTTCCTGGTGTCACTATGTATAACATTGAGGTGCGAATCGTTGGTGTCTGCGTCCGTCCCCAGAGGTGTGCGAACTTCGGGGCAGAGTAAAACTTGTATCTGACGCGGGCGGAGGAGTTCACAAAGTCAGAATTCCCGTGTGAGAGTCCAAAGTCAATCCTGGTTCCTGGTGTCAAGAGGCCGGACGAGGTCACGAGTCCTAGAGGCGCCACGAGTCACATCAAGTCCCATTTCCTGTAGCGTCGCTCCCGACTCTCTCCGCCCCTGTAAGTCTCAAATCCATTCTCCCGGGAGTCCCCTCGAGGTAGGAGGGTAAGAGGAGCGGGGGGGGTGAGGAGCGACTCGGTGTCTGTGGAGGGCCGCGGCGCGAGCCCTGTGCTCCCTGACGCGTCCCGCCTGTCCCGGACACACAAACCTGCTGCTGCTGCTGCTGCCGCTGCTGAGGCGTGGAGCGGGCGGGGGAGCCCCGGAGCTCATCGTCCACCTTCTGCTTCAGTTTCCTAAACATCGCGGCTCGGGTCCCGGGGTGCCCGGAGAGGTCCCCCCCCTTTCCCCTCTCTCTCTCTCCGTCTCCGTCTCTCGAGCACAACCCTCACCCTGCCGAGGCGACCCCTGCCCACGACGGCCAGCAACCCGGAGCGGGCACGACGTGGAGAGTGGGTGGAGGTGTGAAACAAATTTTAGATTCGATTCACACGCTCGCCGTAAGTCGGGTTTTGCGCTGTCGAATCGAATCGGCGCGGACAGCGGTGTAGCGAAGCCGGGCGGCTCTCCGCTGCTGCTGCTGGGGTTGTTGGGTTGGGTTGGGTTGTTGGGTTGGGCTGGGTTGTTGGGTTGGGTTGTGTTGTTGGGGTTGTTGGGTTGTTGTGTTGGGGTCGTCCGTGTGGTCACGGCGTTGTTTTTGCCCGCCCGGTTTAGTTGTTGTGCGAGGCAAGGCCGTAATTATAATATACTGTATATTGGGGGGGACACATCCCCCCCCCCCCAATAACCCCCCCCCCAATATTCAAATATGCTCAAAATGTCCCCCCCCCCCCAATATATTGCTATAAAATGTATTTCTGTTTGTTGATTGTGGTTATGGTTGTACTTTATTAATCCCTAATCTCTGCCATTACATACAATGCAACATGAAAAGGTAAACTTGAAAAAACACACACTATTAGACATTGTAAAAAAAATCCATCCTATGTGTTAGTGAAATTTTTTTTTTATTTTAGGGAGGAAATTCGTTTTCAAATTTAGATATTTTTCTGTGTTGGGACCCCCAAACCCCCTGGAAGATTTGGTCCTTCCCCCCCCCAATGTTGACTCCATGGCTACGGCCTTGGTGCGAGGTGTCGTGTGGCGGACAGGGGCGGTGAGCCGTGGGGTTTGCAAAGACATCTCGAGTGGAAATTATCTCACTTTGCAATCCATATCCCACGGTCACCAAAGGGAGACGTTACCACCGCAAGTGGTGTTCAGAAATGTTTATTTATGCTGGAGGAATCCGATGAGCTATAAAGCTCTTCCCCCCCCCCATGATGTCCTGCAACAATAACAAAAATACAAAAAAACACGATAGGAGTTAAAAGTATATGAAAAGTAAGCAAATCACGCAAAAAATATTAAAGTAAACTTTCAAGGTACCACGTGAAGCCCACAGCTATTAGCTTCTTTTTCAGAAGCGACCTGGTCACAAATGATAGTGAAGTGGCTTGTTGCAATTTATAACAGCCAAATAATTTAATCACAGGGTCTTCACATCTCATAGGATATACAGTAAAACCTTGGATTGCGAGCATAATTCGTTCCGGAAACGTGTTTGTAATCCAAAGCACTCGTATATCAAAGCACTCGTATATCAGTTGTGATCACTTGACGCTCGGCAGACAAAGCGTATACGTACTACTACTCGTATTGCAAGACCTCGCTCGTTTATCAAATTAATATTTATTTTTAAAAAAAAATTGCCCGTCTTGCAAAACACTCGCAGACCTTGCAAGTTAGTCGCAATCCAAGGTTTTACTGTACATTTTATCGAACATCACTGCACTCAAATATTTCACCTGGATTTTCCAACGAGATGGAATCCCTCTGGCAGCGGTGTCCACCAAGTGATTCATATTTGTTGGGGTTCCCGACCCGATCGGCGCGTCATGGGACACATTTTCCAGAGCTCGGCCCCTGCGGATGAATCGGCAGCCACGATCTACCCACTGCTGGATGAAGGTGCATCCAGGGCGTCGATAACTCATGCACAAGATGCGCTTTTCGTCTGATCCATCTCAGTGCTGGCTGCTGTCATTCTCTCTGGCGCGTTCCACTCCCTTGGCTGCCATTGCAGCTGTTGCCGGCCTTAACCGTCGGACCATCGTCCCACATAGCCGTGACGTGCCCTGACCAAGCCCCCCACGTGCTCTTCTCAGCAGTCAATGTGACGATGTCTCCATGACCTCTCCAATCCACGCGTTTCTCTCGTGACTTCTTCGCTTTGAAAAGTGTCAGCACTTCGTGGTCAGGGACTGCTCTTTCTGTTGTTTTGCTGCCTTGCCGAAGCTTGGGAATTTGTGGACTTATGCAATTTGAACTTATATACTGTGCTTTATTCTATGTATTAATTTTTTGTGATTTATTTTCCTATACTTTGAACTCTGATCGTTTTTTTATTGTTGTAACTTCCTGACTCGCCGGACATCTGTGAAAAAGAGCTTCACAGTTCATCGGATATTTCCAGGCGAAATAAAAATTCTGATTCTGCACGCCCTGATTGGAAACTCGTGTATTGTCGTTGGCGCGTGGCGGTTAATTCCCCATGATCAACATCACAGGTCAATTAACGCACCGAAGACTCAATAGTGATTGTCAGCGCCTTTGTCTGTAGTCCACTACTGGGTTGAAGGCCTAATCACCCCATGATCCCGTGACAGGGGGATGGGGTGGTTTTTGACCATACTTCACCACAAGGCCGTAGCCATGGATTCAACATTGGGGGGGTCCAAATCTTCCAGGGGGTCTGGGGGTCCCTCCCCCAGAAAAAATCTAAATTTGAAAACGAATTTCGTGCCTAAAATATTTTAAAAAATTCACTAACACATAGGATGGAGTTTTTATTTATTTTTTACAATAATGTCTAATCGTGTATTGTATTACATTGCTCTGTCTTTTTTCCTTTTCTTGTTTCATTGTATGTAATGGCAGAGATTAGGGATTAATAAAGTACAACCATAACCACAATTATATAAACAGAAATCTATTTTATAGCAATATATTGGGGGGGACATTTTGAGCATATTTGAATATTGGGGGTGATGTGTGGGATGTGTCCAACCCAATATATATTAAAATTACGGCCTTGCTTCACCACGCTGGTCACTCACGTTACAGCCGTGCCCAGATCCGAACTCGGGTGGCCGGGCTCGTCACAGCCACAACACGGCACGTGTGCGGAATCGACCATTTCGATTCCCCCGTTACGATACGATTCGTCCGATCCGATGTTCATTGAGGAATCGTTTCGACTCGGGCTACGCCTCAGTGCGCATGCGCGGGCCACGTGGAGCCCCGCGATGCCCCCTCCTCCCCGCCCAGACCCCTCCCCCCCGACCAGACCCCTCCTCCCCGCCCAGACCCCTCCCCCCCGACCAGACCCCTCCTCCCCGCCCAGACCCCTCCCCTCCGCCTAAACCCCTCCCCTCCGCCCAGACCCCTCCCCTCCGCCCAGACCCCTCCCCTCCGCCCAGACCCCTCCCCCCCGACCAGACCCCTCCCCCCCGACCAAACCCTCCCCTCCGCCCAGACCCCTCCCCTCCGCCCAAACCCCTCCCTTCCGCCCAGACCCTCCCCCCCGTCCAGACCCTCCTCTCCGCCAATGACTTAATATCGTCACGTGGCTGGGTAACTTTAAACTCTAAAAGTCTAAAACTCTAAAAGCATAAGCCTGCAGTGAAAAAAAACACTCAACACATTCAGAAATAACAATGTGGCCTCAAAATAATATATAATATGCGACGTTTCGGACAATCAGTCTTCTTCATAGCACGTAAAATAGGTCGCCGAGGAGATGGAGTGGATTATAGTAGGAAAATAGGTTTTCCCCTTTTATCTGGCAACAAAACAGGTATTACGTTTCGATTTAAAGCTTTCGTGACTCCAGGGATTCATATTCTTGGTTCTTTCGGTAAAGTCACGTAGAAGGGAGATAATAAAATAATAAAAAATAAAACAATAACATTCTCGCGACGTTTCGATTGTAACACAAGCAATCATCATCAGGTGTGAAAACCAGAGCAAGAAAATATGAAAAAAATAAAAAAATCTTGCTGTGGTTTTCACACCTGATTATGATTGCTTGTGTTCCAATCGAAACATCGTAAGAATATTATTGTTTTATTTTTATTATTTTATTATTTCCCTTCTACGTGACTTTACCGAAAGAACCAAGAATATAGGTATTAAGTTGTTAAAACATCAAATTGAAACCTTTTACAAGGAATCATGTCTGCATTAACCAAAATACTTGTGGTCAAAATGCAAAAAAACGTACTCTGATAACAAAGTCACTTAGGTGACTTTACCCAATAGAACCAAAGAGAATGCATATGTCACCTAAGTGACTTTACCTACGTGACTTTACCCAATAGAACCAAAGAGTATGGATCCTAGCAGTCACGAAAGCTTTAAATCTAGAACATATACATTGTCTTTGAAACTGGGCAGGGTATGTGTGTGGTGCATGGCAGGGTGTGTGTGTGGTGCAGGACAGGGTGTGTGTGTGTGGTGCAGGACAGAGTGTGTGTGTGGTGCAGGGCAGGGTGTGTGTGTGGTGCAGGACAGGGTGTGTGTGTGGTGCAGGACAGGGTGTGTGTGTGGTGCAGGACAGGGTGTGTGTGTGTGGTGCAGGGCAGGGAGTGTGTCTGGTGCAGGACAGGGTGTGTGTGTGTGGTGCAGGACAGGGTGTGTGTGTGGTGCAGGACAGGGTGTGTGTGTGGTGCAGGACAGGGTGTGTGTGTGGTGCAGGACAGGGTGTTTGTGGCGTTTGGGCTTTTCACTTTGATTGGTGCGCTGCTTCCGCTCCAATGCTCGCGGCTCGCCCAGCGCTGTGCCAAGTTGTCCACCAGATGGCGGTGTCTGTGCGTCCTTCACCTGTGCACCGGTTCTGGGCCTCCCCTAGAACAACTCAACTTCAAATGAGAACCTGGTGCGATGTGTAGACCTCGCTTGTTAAAAACTATAAGGGGGGATCTTTGTCTTCTGGTGTTTGCTTGTGCCTCTGCCAACGCTATCCGTCATCCGTGGCGTGATCAATATTGGGTCAATGCAAGCATCGCGTTGATTGCATTTGAAGCACATTACACCATCAGCTATTGCTGTTGAATAAGGCTAATTTAAGCTTGGATGCAAGTAGCCAGCGGAGCTTAACGTGACTCATTCTCATCAGAATGAGACACATTCTTGGTTCTTTCAGTAAAGTCACGTAGAAGGGAAACAATAAAATAATACCGAAAGAAACAAGAATAACACCGAAAGAACCAAGAATATGAATCCTTGCAGTCACGAAAGCTTTAAATCAGAATGAGACACGTTAAGCTCCGCTGGCTACTTGCATCAGAATGAGACACGCTGGATTGAAAACTCATTCATTTCGAACTACTTTTTGTGTTTAGTATTATGTCCTTCCCCGGCACCCCCGATTCGCACGGTTGGCTACGTAGGGTGCGAAAGAAGTTCTACATTCATACACATCAGGCCCCATGGTATAACGTGCAGTGTTAGTACTCACTCTGTCTCTCTGACATCTCCCTTTGTTCTATTCCGTTCTCGTGTGTGGCAAGGGGCCGTCCATAAATGACGTCACGCACCTAAAGGGGGGGGGGTCAGACATTTGTGACGATCTGTGACGAGGGGGGGGGGGGTGAGAAATGTGACGTCACATCAAAATGCGTAACTTTAAATAAATATAGAATTGTTATAATAACACTCCTACATCAGAGCTATTTGAAGCATGTTTTATTTTCAAAATGGAAATATGGTTTGGGGGGGGGGGCAGAGCTTTGTGACGTCACATTTGAGGGGGGGTCTGACTTTTTGTGACGCCGTGTGACGAGGGGGGGGGGTCTAAAATCGTCCAAAATCGCGTGACGTCATTTATGGACGGCCCCCAATATGTTCAGGAGCTAAATACTAACCAATGTTGACGTCTGCTAGCCATGAGAGGGCTTCAGGAGAGAGTTTGTGTAGTTTTGCGATTCCTCCGTTGAAGGAGCGCAGACTACAACAGATTACGTGTGCGGTGCATATTTTGAGTTGCATGGCCACACTCTCTCTCTCTACTGTGGCTTGTCTTTAATTGTCCATTCATGAAGGAGAATGCGCGCTTCGACCTGTTCTGATGCGGTTTGGTGGTTACACAAATGTTTTTGAGAAAATGTATCAAGTCGGGTGCGATGTTTGGGTCTCGAATGAGGTGCGCTATGAAGAAGGGGCAATTGCCCGAAACGTCGCTTGTTTTTGCTACCTATTTTATTTTAAGGCCACACTGCTGTTGAGAAATGTGCTGAGGGTGTTTGTTAGTTGTGCATGTGCACCACTGCCATCACAGCAGCAGCATCGTCAGATCACGTGTTCGACCAATGGACAGGATGAGTGAACGCGACCAGACGCGCCGCAGTGGCGCGTGCAGACACGCGTCCTGAGTCCTCGGGCTCCTCTCCAGCGGTCCGTGATACGACCCTCTTGATGATGATCATCATCATCTACAGTCCTCAGTCCACTGCTGAGTTAATGTTTACCCATGCCGTGTTTGACCATACTTCACCACGCTGGTCAGCCAGCGCAAGCTGGGTTAAGGGATGTGTGAGCAGAGGGAGCTGTGCAGGACTGGTTCACATATCTTGATTTGAAGCTTTCGTGACTGCATGAATCCATACTCTTTGGTTCTTTCGGTAAAGTCACGTAGGTATAAAATAAAATAAATCACGACGTTTCGGGCGAAACACAAGCGTCCGTCATCAGGTGGGAAACTAGCTTTGGTGATTTATTTTATTTTATACCTACGTGACTTTACCGAAAGAACCAAAGAGTATGGTTCACATATCATGCGTCACTGATGTTATCCGTGGCCTGGGAATCCAACTCAGGTGGTCGGTGTCATAGCGCAGTGCGCTAACCGCTATACCTTCAACCTCCGAAATGTAACGAATTATTGGCTATTGTCTCCTAAGCTGCTATGTTACCACACCGACTGTCTGTGTTATTCTTGTTCGTCGTGTGTAACGTTTGGCAGAAGAGTAGAACGGTGGTCGTGGTGACGTTAGAAATGCGAGACCAGGCTGGTTCATGTCTGGTTCATGGCTGGTTCATGTCTGGTTCATGGCTGGTTCATGTCTGGTTCATGGCTGGTTCATGTCTGGTTCATGGCTGGTTCATGTCTGGTTCATGGCTGGTTCATATCTGGTTCATGGCTGGTTCATGTCTGGTTCATGGCTGGTTCATGGCTGGTTCATGTCTGGTTCATGGCTGGTTCATGGTTGGTTCATGTCTGGTTCGTGGCTGGTTCATGCTTCTGATGAACCGCTGGGTATCATTTGCGGATGCGCGATCTCGGAGCCGAGTGTTCATTGAGCACGAGGTGATGGTTGGCTCTAGAGGGCACTGCAGCGGCTATGTGCCCAGGGACACACAAACAGCGACACAGAGACAGACAGAGACAGCGGGAGACAGTGAGAGAGCGAGAGAGAACGAGAGACGCGTGCACACAGAGACGGGGACCCAGGAGAGACAGAGACACGTGCAGAGTCACAATAGAGAGAGAGAGACATAAATTGGCACGGGCACATAGGAAAGAGAGGAGGAGACAGGAGCGAAACGAGGAAAGCGTTACTCTCCCCTCCCCGCATCGGGTGACATTCATCAGCAGAGTCCTGGAGAGCTGTGACGCTGACACCGGTGAGGAGTCGAGAGCCCTGCAGTGTGAGGGTCGATCCTGCTTCTCACTACTCACGCACCATAGAACGGACCGTGGTAGACTCCACGCCGTTCGAATTGGTCGAAAAGCGAGCAAGCCGCTCCTACGACTGAGCCATCTCTGCACCGGCCGGATCAGAGTCGCCGCAGCGCGTCGGGATCGAAGACACGTTCACCGTAGGAGGCCATGGGCACCCAGGGGGCCGCCGGGAGGAAGCGCGCCTCCGCCAAGGACTACATCTTCTCGCCCGAGGACGATGCCCTCCACAAGATCTCCGTGGAGGTGAGCTCCTCCGAGGGGTGCGCTTCCGTCAGCCACCACATCAGACTCGGGTAGCTGAGGCCTCGGGGTGCGGTAAGGTCCCACGTGGGGTTCCCGTGTCTCGTGCAGTGCATGTGTCGTGTTAAGCTTGGCCAATCACTGGTTGGTTCGTCAGAGGTGACCTGCTTTGAAGCCACGCAAGCTTGTACATATTGTGTTATGTGCAAATGTTGGCAGGGTGTGTGTGGTTCCGGGGACGGTGTGTGGGGTGCAGGACAGGGTGTGTGTCCGATTAGCGCGGTTGGCTACGTACGGGGCGAAAGAAGTTCACATACGTACAGGGTGTATGTATGTGGTGCACGGTTTATGGTGTAGTGGCTAGCGCACTGCGCTTATGACCAATAACAAATATCTGCACCGGTCTGGGGCCTCGTCTAGGTCGACTCAGCCTTAAAATGGGTACCATTTGTGGGCTGTAAAACATCAGCACGAGGGAGACAAAGGCGGCTGGGCGTGGTTCTAGCCCCACCACCCCCTCGTGTGGGCGTGCCGGCCATCACAGGTGCTAGTCGCTCACAGCACTTGCCCCAACAGTCTGTCGAGGGCAGGATGTGCGCGCGGCAGGACAGGGTGGTCGGTGTTTTTTTCTGGAAGACTTTTGCTGTTTTTTTCCTGGATTTTTCTGTTGCGTGTAGTCACTTTAAGATGTTTCTTGTTCATGTTTTTGTTTGTTGCGGTTGCACCCGAGTCAAGAGTCTCATGGCTCACAGGGTTATACATAATACATGCAACTGAAACTGAATTATCGCTGGCCTTGCGAAGTGCCTTCTGCCACACACGAAGCCTTTACTCGGGGAGAAGAAGGGGGTGGCGGTGGGGGTGGTGGCGCGTTTCGCCGCTCGTGTTTGCCCACACGCTGCCACAAACTGCCACACGCTGCCACGCATTGCCACGCATTGCCACACGCTGCCACAAACTGCCACACGCTGCCACAAACTGCCACACGCTGCCACAAACTGCCACACGCTGCCACACACTGCCACACATTGCCACACGCTGCCACACGCTGCCACACATTGCCACACGCTGCCACACATTGCCACACGCTGCCACAAACTGCCACACATTGCCACACACTGCCACACACTGCCACACGCTGCCACACGCTGCCACACACTGCCACAAACTGCCACACACTGCCACACATTGCCACACACTGCCACACATTGCCACACGCTGCCACACATTGCCACACGCTGCCACACATTGCCACACACTGCCACACATTGCCACACATTGCCACACACTGCCACACGCTGCCACACGCTGCCACACACTGCCACAAACTGCCACACACTGCCACACATTGCCACACATTGCCACACACTGCCACACATTGCCACACACTGCCACACATTGCCACACGCTGCCACACACTGCCACACATTGCCACACGCTGCCACACATTGCCACACGCTGCCACACATTGCCACACGCTGCCACACATTGCCACACACTGCCACACATTGCCACACATTGCCACACACTGCCACACGCTGCCACACGCTGCCACACACTGCCACAAACTGCCACACACTGCCACACATTGCCACACATTGCCACACACTGCCACACATTGCCACACACTGCCACACACTGCCACAAACTGCCACACACTGCCACACATTGCCACACGCTGCCACACGCTGCCACACGCTGCCACACGCTGCCACAAACTGCCACACACTGCCACACGCTGCCACACGCTGCCACACACTGCCACACGCTGCCACACGCTGCCACACACTGCCACACATTGCCACACGCTGCACACGCTGCCACAAACTGCCACACACTGCCACACGCTGCCACACATTGCCACACGCTGCCACACACTGCCACACGCTGCCACACATTGCCACACGCTGCCACACGCTGCCACACACTGCCACACATTGCCACACGCTGCCACACGCTGCCACACACTGCCACACGCTGCCACACGCTGCCACACACTGCCACACGCTGCCACACATTGCCACACGCTGCCACACGCTGCCACACACTGCCACACGCTGCCACACGCTGCCACAAACTGCCACACGCTGCCACACACTGCCACACGCTGCCACACGGAGCAGCGCGACGCTCTGCGCCGCTGAGTGCCACCGGACAAAGTGCGCGCGTCCCCGCCGTGCCTCCCTCGAGCGAAGCGGCCGGGTTTATTATTAGAGCCGCGCCGCTATAATCGGCGCAGACGGCATGCGAGTGAGGGAGCGGGCGGGCGGGCGGCCGTCAGGGACAGACTCCGCGCAGCTGTCCACGGGGACAGCATCTCCCCTCGGTGGGCCGGGTAGCCCACAAACCCCCCCAAACAAAGATCCCCCGCATAGCCTTAACCGACTGTAGGCCACGGCAAATCCAGTGAGGGTTGTCACGTAAGCGAAGCGTGGCGAGGGGTTACGAGTTCAGCACGAAGGAGTGTTGGAGAGTAAACCCACAGCGAGGTTTACAACTCGAGTACGACGTGAACAGCACGAGTCGTGTATTATTTGAGAGACTCTGTCCACTCAAATATACGTCAAAAAACCGTTGTCAAAAAATACATATATACTTTAGTTCAGTTTATGCGCATTTGTCTGTAATAATGGTTTTTATTATATTTTAAGTGTTAATTTTTGCTCAAAATATTGTCCGTAACCAACTTTGTCCGTTCCTCTTCTGTATGGGACACGGGCACGGCTGTTTATAGCTGAGCCGCGTTTCCCCGTGGGCCAGGGCAAACAGTGCTACCACCTCAGCAACACTTCAGGAGGGCCCATTCACTTATACCGCCAATACCAGTGAATTATTCGATAGCACCACTAATTTCCGATGGTTATCACATCATTTCACTATCGTTGACCACGTAAAGCAATTAAAACCGCTAAAGTTATTTCCCACCTACGATGAGCACAAGGTTGGCTACGTGCGGTGCGAAAGAAGTTCAACATACCTACCTCAAGTGGTACCGACCAGTGATATATCTTCTCGGGGCTCTCGTACGCAGCAGTCAGGACTGCCACGCTGTGTACAGCTCAGTGGGTCGGTGGCAGAATTATTCCTCGTCGGCTAAACGCGAACCTCTGCAGGGCGACAGGGCTACGGGCAAGCGGCACGTGGCTGGGCGCAAGGGATACCCAGGAGGGAGTTTGGTGAGAATGGGACTGGATCATTGTGCTCGTGCGACAACATTCACTTATTTATTCGGTCCGGCCGAACAGGGTGAGTCGTAGTTCCTAAACGTTATAACCAGGGGCTTCGTTACAAACACGTCCGTCCGGCAAGTGGGCCTGGAAATAAGTGGCACACCAGATTCAGTATACGCCTCACCACGTGGTTTTTGACTGCTGCTCGGTGCCAAATTCTCTATGGGGCCGTCCATAAATGACGTCACGCACCTAAAGGGGGGGGGGTCAGACATTTGTGACGATGTCTGACGAGGGGGGGGGGGGTTGAGAAATGTGACGTCACATCAAAATGCACAACTTTAAATAAATATAGACAACACGTTTTACTTCATTAAATAGACTTTTTAATAAATGTTTTCTCCTACAACATCAGAGTGCAGCGCCACATTAAATACGCACTACAATGACAATAGTTTAAAGCGATTTGAAGCATGTTTTATTTTCGACATGGAAATATGATGTTGGGGGGGGGGCAGAGCTTTGTGACGTCATATTTGAGGAGGGGGGTCTGACTTTTTGTGACGCCGTGTGACGAGGGGGGGCGGGGATCAAAAATCGTCCAAAATCGCGTGACGTCATTTATGGACGGTCCCTATGCTACCAGCCCTTATTATGACCCACGTGAGCGCCACGGTGAATGGATCGTGCCCTCGTGTTGTGTGTTGAACTTCTTTCGCACCGTACGTAGCCAACCGTCCATGACCATCTTTCCAAGACGTCTGGCCAATGAGGAAGAGTAGACCAAATACAACTGCAAATGTGCTCTCTCAACTTCCCAATGTCTCGTGGGAAGTGTCACGGTTTAGGCTTCAACCCTAAACCTTCACCCCCAAGTTGAATGATAAGGAACCAGGTGCTGGAGACGGCTCCGCTGCCTCTCGGCTTGTTGGCTTCACCGGCTGCCGCGCCGCGTCTCCTCCTCCCTTCGTGTCAACGTCTGCAGGCAGAGGCCAAACTCGCGGCCAAGAGAGCGGCCCGCGCCGAGGCCCGGGAGATCCGTCTGAGGGAGCTGGAGCGTCAGAAGAGGAGAGAGGTGCTGCGCTTCCACCTCGGTTACGCCAACAAATTCGTCCGCTGCTGCGCCCGTGCGTCGCTCGAGCATCCGATCTCAGCGTTACATCATCATCTGTGGTTACGTGGGCTGACGTCCACTCGCACTGACAAATATATGTATTTATTTATGCATTTATTTTCCTTGCAGTATCTGGTGCTCTAACTGTGTGACAGTCACGTGTAAAAGCATTCGCTAAATAATCATCATCATCTTCTTTGGTTCTTTCGGTAAAGTCACGTAGAATGAGAATAAAATATTTTATTTTATCAATTTATTATTTTATTCTCATTCTACGTGACTTTACCGAAAGAACCAAAGAAGATGAATCATTCCAGTCACGAAAGCTTTAAATCGAAAAATAAAATCATCATCATTTTGATTTAAAGCTTTCGTGACTGCAGGGATTAATATTCTTGGTTCTTTCGGTAAAGTCACGTAGAAGGGAAACAATTAAATAAAAAATATATAAAACAATGAAATTATTTTTATTATTTTATTGTTTCCCTTCTACGTGACTTTACCGAAAGAACCAAGAATAATAATCATCATCATCCTCAACGTCGGCTTTATTACAACCGTCTGCACATCTCACCGTGACCCTGTGCATCGAGCATTACATCGCATCTCTTTATCACGGCCTGCCTTGACAATTGCTGACCACTGTTTTCAAGCATTGAGGGGCTTGGAGAGAGTGTGGTGGTGGTGGTGATAATGAGACGATAGTCTTAGAGAGAGCGTGATGGTGACGCAGCTGAGTTCATAGTCCCCGTGTTAAGTCTGATGGACGGCAGTGAACTCAACGCGGTGCTTCCAGGCTGAGCGTGTTGGCGCGGTGCCAGGATGTTCTCATTTATATTTACTTTAGCGCTGTACTTTATTTTACATGATTGATTTGTCACTTTTTTGACCCAGGTCACGCTGGGAAAGGAGACTCAGTCGGGCTCTTGATTTCTCAATTGGTTGCGCAAAATCATCTTGACAATTATCGGGGGAGGGTTTAAACAAAAACTGGCAATTTTGGAAACTAAGAATGTCTCGTTTCTTGCTCAGTATCGTAGGGAGTGGGAGTCCAAGTCGGGAGACGTCCACCGCTGGGTGGTCGAGACGGCACCGCCGCTGCTGCTGCACGCGCGCCGAGCAGACCTTGGGGCCAATCACAGTGACATTGTCCTTGCAACCCTGTGCGATTGATATGAATTGACTTAATGCCTTGGCGATGCACCCCAAACCATGGGCCAACTTCCCATCCCGCCTCTCGCTGGCCAGAGCCCGTACCGCCTCTGCCGTAGCGTGCGCGCTCCGTCCCCGTGCGGTCTTCCTTGATGTTGCACACGAGATGCGCAATGTCTGACAGCCGTCTCTGCTGCCATATTTACATTTGCGGCTGGCACAGTTACGCTTGTAATTGCCCCCCCCCCCAGGTCTGACACCGAGAGAGCGATTTTGCTGTTGGCTTAACGCCCTTGCCCAAGGGTCACTGCAGCAACGGCGGTGGTGTGAACCCGTGCCGCAAAGCGGTCGCTGTGGTCTCCAAAGGCGCTCCGAATATCAGCGGCGGCTCATAGCGCGTCTCTCCACTTTGGCCACGCCGATTTGGTGGCTTTAAGTTTTCACTCACGATTCGGCAGAGGTGGCCCTGCCTACGAGCCGCGATCGTTCACAAAACCCCGGGGTTTGTTTGCGGCAGCCCTGCGCTAGAGGCTGGTGTGGGGGGGGGGGGAGGTGGTGGTGCCAAGTCACCACGCTGCTTCGTTTGTGCGGCGTGCTTTCGATGACTGAAGTGGCCGTCACTGCCCAGCGTTAGCCACACGCGGGGACTCTCACGGCCATTGAAACGCTAACACGGGCTGCTCCTGCTGCTGCATGAGAAGAGCAGGGCATTGATAAAACATTGCAGGGCGAGGCATCTGTGCACCGACGCAGTGCAAAACACGAAATCGCAGAGTCTGCAACTTTTTTTCTCCACTGAAATATTGAATCGAATTCGCCGCTATGCCCTTATGGAATTCAACAACAGCGCTTTGACGAGAGTTACAAAGCACGCTTGTTGCTTTCTATGTCACAGGAGTCAGTTTCCATTCAATGTGGGCGCATGAAGATTCTTTATTTAGCTGTGAGCTGCGCATACATTTTCCAAAATACGCTGATGTTCATTTCGGACGTTCGACAGCAACGCCGACGTCTCGTGGACCGCGGTCGTCTCTGCTGCTGCGTCCGTCACACGTACATTTGCGTACCCCGCGGTAAATGTGCGGATCTATTCGATGTAAACTCTCGAGCAATGGAAACGGCCAGCAGCGAGAGCGTCGTCTCTAGCGACGCTCCGCGGTTAACATCGTCCCACGCCTCGACTCCATGCAGCCTCTCCTCGCCGCAACCACTCCACCCGGAGGCTGATGCAGCCGTGAGCTTCGGCTATGACCTCGCGTGTCGCCCCCACAATACGAGGGCTGGCGCTGGAGCTGCTCAGAGAGAGAGAGCGGCGTTGGCTTCGGCAAGACGCCGACGGCTTGTCGCATGGATCGGGGGCGTTGCGTGCGGGCTGGGGGGGGTCCACGTGCACACGCGGCGCTTGGCCTCCTTTATCGCCGCAGAGCTTTGCGTCGGGAGCAGCAGCGACAAAATAAAACATTAAACAAACAAATCTCTGCTTTGGTTGTCACGAAGCGTGCAACATCCTTGCCGTGCCCTCCTTGTGCTGACGACACCGACCCCCGTTACCCCTTGGCAGGACGACGCGGAGAAGCACCACCGCAGGCAGCGGCGGCAACAGCAGGTGCGTGTTGCTGCTGCTGATGATGATGCTGCTGATGATGATGCTGCTGTTGATGATGCTGATGCTGATGATGCTGATGATGATGCTGCTGCTGCTGATGATGCTGATGATGCTGATGCTGCTGCTGCTGATGATGATGTTGATGCTGTTGATGATGCTGCTGATGCTGCTGATGATGATGCTGCTGATGCTGCTGATGATGATGTTGCTGCTGCTGCGCTCTCGGCCACTCGACTCGGCCAGCTGGGCGCGTGGTGTGCCACGGGAGGTGGGGGGGTGCAGCGTGCCAGAGTCCCGGCACAGTAACGTCCCCCACACGCGCACCTCCGCTGCAAGCAGCGTGTCCCTCCGTGGGGAAGCGCCACCGTTGTTTTTGTTCACGCCGATCTCTCTAAACCAAGGGTCGGCAAGCGCAATAACAAGAGGAGAAAGTTTTAGTTCAACTTCGGTATAAATTCGTTGTATATACAAATAAAAGAGCCGCAACGCACGTTGTGGTGTCTACGAGACTCTGGGTACTTCATCGGTAGCGGCACGAAGCCAGCCCTCGAAGAGCCGCAGGATGAAGACCCCTGCTCTCAACACGTCCGAGAACGACAAAAATTCATCCACTCTGGACTTTGGACAGGGCGAGGCTTTACGATTATTGTAACAAACAAATATCTGACGTCTTTTAACGTTGCATTTTCATACAATGTTTGAAGGGCGATACAACGAATACTGAATTATGTTTATTACTCGAGGCGTTTGCTGCACTTCATTGTATCTCGGTGTTCATGTTGCCTGGAGGCAGCGGAGCGCTTTGAGCGCGCTGTAGAAGGGGAGCGGTGGTGGAGCGGTTAGCGCTACGCTGCGCTATGAACCTAGCGACACGGGTTCGATTCCCGCTCACGGCCAACACCAGTGACACCAGTGACGGCCATGGGCCTCCCCTAGGTCGGCTGAGCCTGAAATGAGTATCTGCTACGGTGTGTAAACATCACCACTTGGGGAGACAAAGGCGGCCGGGCGCGGTGTTGGTCACCCACCCCATCGTGTGCTGTACCGGCCTATATACGTGCTCACTAACAGCACTTGCCCCCGACAGTCTGGTCAGGCTACATGGGGGTTCTTTGTCTTTGTTATGTCGTTCACTCTGCTTTCCCCCCGCCTCTCCACCTCCCCCCCCCCTCATCCGTGTAGTTGGAGCCCAACGGTCAAGGTTCGACCTCCGGACACGGCAGCGGCAGCAGACAGGTACGTGATTGGTGGAGAAATCCTGCTGATCTGTCTGTCGCCTGATGAAGCTAGTTGTCATTACTGGTGAAACTTCAAACTCACATTGTAAATGTTGTGGACACACACCGGTGTGCTGCACTCGTCACGTTCTGTTTACGTGACAAACATTATCAGTTGGTTGTGTCGGGTGGTGGCGGGTTTAACGACACATTTATATTTACACGACCTAACCCAACAAACTTTTATTATGGTGATATTGGTCGCGAAAGCCTACGTGTTAAACCGAACGATATGTTTACTTAATTCAACTTATCGCCCATGATTCTCTACAGCAGGGAGAGATGTTTGTCCGCGTGGTGGTTTATTGCATTGTGTTTCCTTTGTGTTGTCCGTGACAGTCACACAACCATGAGAGCAGGAGTCTCTACACAGGAGGAGGAGGAAAGAGCATCTCACACAAGAGAGACCCCCTGGTGAGTCGCGTGATGGAGCGCTGTGACCGAGGCAAGTTCTCTTCCACTTGGGGTCGGGCGGCCTGAATTTGAGCGCGTGAATTTGGGCCATGATTTGACTCTTGAGTTGAATAAGCCAGCTCGGTCCCGGCTGTACTGCACGCAACGCAGCTCAGTCTGCCGTTGGCAGTCTGTGTTACATGTGGGCCGGTGGTATTCTTTAGTCGTCCACGTTGATACTTTAACAGTGATGATAATAATAATGAAGCCCGTCATTCACCAAAGGGTCTCAACCCGTCTGAAGATTATTTTTAGGAGGGGACTGCAGGGTGGTCCAGATGTCTTGTGACTCACATTTAATTCTCCAAAAAGTTTATATATGTAAAGTGAGGTTTATTTAAAACATAATTCAATATGCAAGACAAAATCCTGTAAGGGGTCAATTAATGGGGGGGGGGGTCACAAGACATCTGGACCACCCTGTCCTTCGAAGGTTACGACATTGGGATGCTTGTGTCTGGCTTGTGAGAGGAAGCCTGGGTGCCCAGAGAATACCCACGCGTAAACACATAAAGGCACCAATAAAAAAACTCGACACACGGTGATTCAAGAAGACATTATCCATGCTGCCATCTCCTGGCCACCTCGACAACCCGAATAGTTTGGCAGTTTCACAGATCTGGCGTGGAGATCCACGACCGTTACCTGCAGAGGTATGGTTCGCAGCTGTGCACCATCCTGGATTTACTGATTAGTATTAATAATGTCAACCTGCAACGTTGCCACATGGTATTCATTCACTGTCGTAGCTAGCGAGAGAGAACGACTCAGAATCTCGAGCAACCACAGACGAGCGGGATGGCAGCAGCCAGCCAATAAGCCTGCGGCAACAGTTGCCCAAGCTCTGCAGCCCTCTACATATCTGAAAGTGTTATCGGCCAATTAATTAGTATTACACATGTTGGATAAAAACCGGAGAACCCGGAAGAAAAGAAAAACTCACGCATGCGAGGAGGCAACGCTATATCCCACCTTCTCCTGGCAAGCCAGGATGTCAGACCTCGACGCTCACAGGAAGGGAGTTTTCCAATATTGGAGTGATCCAACCCTAACTGCTTCCACAGTGCTGGATTACAGGCCACGTGAATAGCCAACATTGGCCAGCTGTTGTTTTTACTTGCATTCACTGCTGTTTATGTATAGAACGGGTCCTGTACCACTTTATAGGGGAAGTCAACAGTGGTGATCCTTTGGATAAACCCATGCCCACCATAGGAATGTGGAATTTCCATCGCTATCTTTGCAGAGCTGACAAGTAGAACCCAGCATCGATGCCTCAATGCTCACTCGGAAAACGAATCACTTTGACCTATCTTAATAAGCAATAAACACGGTATTTTAAAACGTGTAAATACAGTCCGGTAAATTCATCGCTTCCCAGTGTGTTTGTTTTTGTATGTTTGTTGAACTTCCTTCGCACCCTACGTAGCCAAGCGTGCTGCAACAAAACCAAAGCGCCACGCGGCAACGCGAGGAGAGCCTGGGTGGCAAGGGCCGCGTGCGCGTTCCGCTGTCTGTCTCCCATAGCCGGTGCCAACCCTGGGCAGAGATTACAGCAAAGGGGACCCCGGTCAGAAGAGGACCTCTCGGAGCGTACGTACCGGCCGGAGACGCTCACCACGCTTGTGCCCGCCTTGCTGACCACCGCCCCCGCCCCCCTATTGCGACGCCGTAATGCTTCTGTGCACGCGTGCCTTCGTCTTGTGCGCGTGCGTGCGTGTGTGTCCCAGGGTGTGCCCTCCTCTTCTGCTGGACTATCCCTGGGTGGCCTGGGCTCCAGGTACCTCTCCTCGTCCACCTACTCGCTCCATCGGGTCCGTGTCCCCTCGTGCTTCCGTTCCCTTCTCTGTTGTTCACTCGCACCGCAGGTCGCTTTGGCACCCGGCGGTGTTTGTGAAAGTCTCAACGTTTACATCATAGTACCCATCGAGTAAAAATACAAATTATTGTTATTATCATTAATGACGTATAAGGCCTTCGTGACAAGCATGCGTGCAAGTCGACGAGCATGCGTACACATTTTGTGAATTTATTTGTTTAATCAACGATACACGTTTGCTACTCGATCCCAACTTGCCTGCCGTGGTGTGAATGAGTTGCCTTGCTCTGTCTGCAGCCGTCCTATCTCTCTAGCGACCCAGTGACCACAGCCAGCAACTACAAGGTCAGTCGCACGCGACTCTCTCAGACGAAGCGCTGAGCCCTCAATGCCGTGCCACCGCTTCTCGCTTGACGTCGGCAAAGTCACCGCGGGCGCGCTCCGCTATCCTCGGTTACTAAACGCTTCCGTGGTGCACCCGAGACATTGTCCACCTGGCCAAGACCGACGCGGACAGCACGAAGCCACTGCAGGATGCTGCTCACAGCTTACGCGCACAGCGAGCTGCCCTAACCTGCGCTTACTCTCATCCACTCAACCTCCATTCAACCTCACCGATGTCCATTCACCCTGACGTAGCCACGTCGGCCCACACCCTCCATCGTTGCTTTCCGTGCATGGATTGTCCTTTTCTGTGTCGGATGGAGGTTTAATGAAGTGTAATTCAAGAACTATTTTATGTAAATATTAAAATGGGCCACAGCACAGTGATGTCATGCTCAAAATGTGCATGGAAGAGGCGCTCATCTCCTGTTCGCAGCCCTGAGCCAGTGCTGGAAATTCCACATTCCGATGCCGGGGACGAATCTATCCATCGGGCAACCACTGTTGCATTCCCACAGGGTGGTTCTCAAATTTATCGACACGGAAGGGATGAGTCAACCCCCAAAATGGATTTGGACTCTCAACCTTCCGATTGCGAGCCACGCTCACTCGCTCGCTCTCACGCTGAGACAGCTGGCCCGGTTTCAGGGCCCTGTCGTGTATTCGTGTAGCTATCCATCAGTGTAGTGTTACAGGATAAAGAGCTACAGTCACACGTGTGAGTGTGTGTGTATACAGAGCAACAGTTACCAACTCAATTTTGTGGATTTGACACCGACTAAAGAGTCTGCTTGATACTAACCATTCTGTGCTTGCCACTAAACCGTTGCAACACTCCCTGTTAAGGTATATCGCCATGTTCCAGTACAATCTGTGGAGCGTTGCATAGCAGCCTTATCCACGACGGCTGGAGGCACCCGGGCAGATCGCTTCGGGTAGCCTACTGAGGCTTGACGTTGCGGCTGTGCCATTCTCTCACTGCGCCAGTGTCGCTACTTCTTGCCCAATGACGCCACGGAGTCGGCGTCAGCTCCATTCAAGAAACGCGTGAACTTTTTGTGAACTACTGCTTAACGCGTCGGCTTTCGCGACCAATATTATTGATAATAAAGGGTTTTTTTTGTTGGGGCAGTGAGTGTTAGATCACGTAAGGACAAATGTGTACTCAAATTGTAAGCATTGTGGGTTTATTCTCTAATACACGACCGGTGTGCTGAAATGGTAACTAATTGGGACGTTTTGTTCACGTGACAAACCTTACTAATTGGCTGTGTCGGGTGGTGGCGGGTTTAACGACACATTTCTATATTTACGCGATCTAACACACCCCCAAAAAACTCTTATGGATAATATCGGTCGCGAAAGCATACGTGTTTAACATTTATTTTACCTCGCGCACCTTCAATCGTGCTGTTCGTAGCTGGCCACTTGGCATTTTGGGAATGTTACGGGCCTGTTGCTCAGCGACCGTGATTAGCTTTGAGTTGGACACAACCGCTGCCTCTCTCCTTTGTTCAGCGCCCCGTTATCTGGCAGTGTTCAGTTTGTTGCTCCCCCACCCCCCGCACCTCCGATTGGCACGGCTGGCTACGTTATGGTGCGATATAAGTTCAACGTACACACACACACACGTGGAGTGGAGTGGAGCGAAGCGTGAAGAGGCGGTGATCCAAGGAACGCGCGGGGCTCGTTGAGTTTCCCGTCCTTCCTCTAAGCCAGGGATGGGGAACCTTTTTCTGCCAAGGGCCATTTGGATATTTATAACATCATTCGCGGGCCATACAAAATGATCAACTTAAAAGTTAGCCTGTTATATTTGGTCAAACGTTTAAATAACTCGCCCCTAATGCGATGGCTGGAACTGCTTCTCTAGATTTGAAGCTTTCGTGACTGCAAGGATCCATATTGTTTGGTTCTATTCGGTAAAGTCACGTAGGTAAAAAATAAAACAAAAATCACGACGTTTCGGCCACAACACAAGCGGTCTTCATCAGGTGAAGGGACCAGACTGTCTCGAAGACTGCGCTGTCTTCGAGACAGTCTGGTCCCTTCACCTGATGAAGGCCGCTTGTGTTGTGGCCGAAACGTCGTGATTTTTGTTTTATTTTTTACCTACGTGACTTTACCGAATATAACCAAAGAGTATGGAACTGTTTCTCTTTGGTGAGGCGTGTGATGATGTTAGCTGGTATTGACGATGTTGTTGCTACTCGCAACTGCTTTTACACGTTTGCTCCTAGATTTATTAAATACCGAGTCCCGCCTGCGTTTGCCTTAGGAGGGCCAGAGACCCAAATGATTTCGCGGGCCTCATACGGCCCGCGGGCCGGACGTTCCCCACCCCTGCGTCTAAGCGAAGCCTCTCAAACGTTCCACGTTCAGCAAATGCCTGACGGCCGATTCCCGTTGCTGTGTTGACGCGCGTTCTATTTCGAGGCACCGATACGCGCACAGGACCACTTAGCCGGCGGGCAACAGTCGCGGCTGACGTTTTATTTCCGTTCCAGCGCTATGGCTTGTGCACTTTGATTTGTTTGCTCGCCTAACCCCCAACCCGCCTGGTGTCTTATCCACTGCCCGTTGACTCGCGCCGCAGTCACGCGTGGAATGTTTGAGTCGTTAATGTTGTTGTTTTAATTCATTCAAGGGCATAGACAAAGAATTCACTATTTGTAGAGCAGAATAGTGTGATGGGATGAGTTGATGAGAAGGATGGGAGCACGTGATGACAAAAATCGGAACCAGTTCTTGGCCTCCCCCGAGGCCGACTCAGTCTCAAATGAGTACCTGGTGCAATGTGTGAACATCGCTACTAGGGAGGTCAAAAGCGACCGGGCGTGGTGTTGTCCACCCACCCCCTCGTGTGCCATGCGGGCCTTCATATGTGCTCGCTAACAGCACTTGCCCCAACAGTCTGTTTTAGGCCATACGGAAGATCTTTGGGTTAGGAGGAGTAAAATGATGGCGCAGAAGTTTTCACACTGAACCACAAACTCGATGACCTGAGTTTGACTCACAGCCGTAGCCATGATGAGTAACAAGCGGTGTCTCAACCTAGCCTGAGCCTTCCCTTATGTTGACTCAGCCTTAAACGATGACCTGGAGTGGTGCGTAAATATCACGTGTGCTGCTGGCAACACAACTAAGCGTGCCCCTACACAATGAATATGACCTCACTTGTGTCGCTTAAAACATTTAGATTCTTGGGATGTTCAAGACGGGTTCTCATCATGTTTTGTGATTCTTGCATCATATACATTGCGTAATAGTTCAATGTGTCGTCGTGCTAACAACGGTGATGTCATCTGATGGCCAGATGTTCCGATTGAATGGATGTTGAACTTCTTTCGCACCGTACGTAGCCAACCCGTGCTAATCGGAGATGCACGTGTACACTGTATGGCTTATATATGATGGTTGAGGTGTGTGTGTGTGGGCCCATGTGTTCATGTTGGCACAGCAAGGGGCACAGGTGGCACATCAGCCAGTCATGTCAGTCACTCGACCCGTGGCACCGGGGTCTGCCCCGTGACCTCCTTGCTAACGGGCATAGCCTCAACGTGTACCTAGCCTGGCACAAGCGCCGTGGTGACATCACCGCCACTTAGTGGCGAATGGCGGTTGTTGTTGTTGTTGTTGTGTTCGTATGCGTGAACAAAGCCCTGGGAGTACTCCCTCCCATCGTCCTCTCGCTCCTCCTCGCGAGCCACCTCACGATCCAGCTCTACTCGCCAAAGTCCCACGGTGAGTTGGCCCTCCCGCTCTCCGCAAGCCTCTGAACGCCTCCACGGGCGCAGGCGACGCAGCCTATCGGTAGCGCGCTCGCCCGTTCACGGTTCGAACCCAACGGCCGACCTAAAGAATACTGCAGTTGTGGTTGAGGTGTGTGTGGGCCCATGTGTTCGTGTTGGCACAGTAGGGGGCACAGGTGGCACATCGGCCAGACATGTCAGTCAGTCGACCCGTGTCACCGGGGTCTGCCCCTTGACCTCCTTGCTAACCGGCATAGCCTCAACGTGCACCTAGCCTGGCACAAGCGCCGTGGTGACATCACCGCCACTTAGTGGCGAATGGCGGTTGTTGTTGTTGTGTTCGTGTGCGTGAACAAAGCCCTGGGAGTACTCCCTCCCATCGTCCTCTCGCTCCTCCTCGCGAGCCACCTCACGATCCAGCTCTGCTCGCCAAAGTCCAACGGTGAGTTGGCCCTCCCGCTCTCCGCAAGCCTCTGAACGCCTTCACGGGCGCAGGCGATGCAGCCTATCGGTAGCGCGCTCGCCCGTTCACGGCTCGAACCCAGCGGCCGCCCTAAAGAATACTGCAGTTGTGCGAAATGTAAAAAAAAATCCGCGGCGGGCGCTTCGCACTGGACGTTAAAGATCCCGCGACGTCATCCGGAAGAGTAGGCCATTGCGTGCCGGTGTCATTGTCCACATTTGTCACTTTTAAGACTTTCTGGAAAGCACTCACTTGGAATATACATTGAAATCATCGTCGCTTCTTACTGCACAAAAAAAACTTGCCAGTGTCCTCTTTAAAAAGAGACATGAGGCTCAGAGTGAGGGTTTCCTAAATAAACGAGCGCTCTAAAACAACAACAGCGGTTCCCGATCTTTGAATCTCGGGCCGCTGGCTGTTCGCAATGTTCAGGGTCCGGAGTGGACCGTCGGTCCAGACAGGTCTGGAACCACTGCTCCAACACGTCAGCAGGCCGCCACAGCTTGCGAGCCGAATGGCTCACAGGGCTATACCAAATAAATGAATGAAACTTTGTCGCATAGACACACCGCCTCGCGTGATCCGTAACGCCTGGCGATGCGGTGTTAAACTTGGTAGAATTCCAGTTTTTGATAGAAACACAGGGTTGCGGGCGATTGAGCCTTTCCAAAGAAACGTTGATGTCCTCGCATCAACAACATATAAACATCTTCACGCCATGAAAAAATATCACATCCTCACATCGTACAAATATGGACGTGTTCGATGCTATATCAAAATTGCTTGTTGTCATTCAACACCACGGATTAGCACGGTTGGCTTACGTACGGTGCGAAAGAAGTCCAACGTGCATCAAACGCAGCACAATGTTCGCGCGGATTGGTTTCGCGTCTCAAGACGCTCTGCAGACAAAGTGGACCTAGTAAGTACATCGGTGACGAGCGATATCTGAACCACATCTTTACCCACCCCCACCCCCCCCCCCCTTTTTCACCCACCGTCCTGGTTAAGCAGGGCCTATTTTAAGGGAGTTTTAACTCCGAACTCAGGGCTCTGGGGGCCACGTGTTCAAGTGTATGAGCAGGACAGCGTTTCAGGATGCTGGCTACAACGCGAGTTGCAACGCAGCTCGTGCCCCCACGTTCATCGCGTTACTGCCCATTTGTAAGATTTTACACCGGCCAGATTAGATGGCTTAGTACCGACCGTCAAATTCGGCTTTGTGGCGACACGTGCTCAAGAAACAACCCCCCCACGACTGATACTACCTGGGGAGGCCGGGGGGAAGGGGGGGGGTTGTACATTCATGACCGCGCACGCGACCCCCTCGCTCGTACACAATGTGCACACCAAAGGCAGGCGGCTGGCGTGCGGCGGTGGCCGCGTTGCGAGCGCCGTGTCCCGGCAGCGGAGTGGCAGCGCAAGGTAGGCCTCTCTGCGCCACCACGCCTGTGGCTGAGGAGGACCCCTCTCAGAGATTGGAGCCGATTCCCAATCCTGCTCAATCGCAATTGACGAAACGCGTATTGTGCGTGACATTGAGTCACGAGGGATATCACCGCACGTTTTAACCCACGAGTAAAATTAGTGCCACGCGGGGTTTTTTTCGCAGCCACTCGTAAACCCAAGCGTGGCCTTCTCGGTCAGGCGCGAGGATGTCAGCAGTAGTGCCCTGCTGAAAGCTTGAAAATAAGAAGAAGAACTGAACACGTGGCCTGGCCCAGCGGTGGGAGTCGCCGTGCCTCGGTGGCCTTGGCCGGCGAGAACCGCGAAGGCTCGGTTGGTGCTCGGTGCACGGAGCTCGGCGCTTTGGGGGGTCAGCGCTGGCCTCGTCGTGAACGTCGCGGACGTTAAACTGCCCCAGCAGTTTAACGTCCGTGGACCGATCCGACGCTTCATTGTTGAAACGAAACGGACCTTTCCGTCAATGCGTGTTTGCCGCATTCGGTCTGAAGCAAGCTTGGGTCTCGCCCGCGCTGGGAGGGCTGCCCTCCCTGACGCTCGAGCTGCGCTCTGCCCCCGCACAGGGCTCGCAGGACTCCTCGGACGGGCGGTCGGTCGCCGACTTCTTCGGGAGCGCGTCGCGCAGGAGCAGCGTCTCCAGCGCCGTCTCCGACTTTGACATCAACGGGGCCGCGTTGTTCGGCGGGGACATCGGCCGGGTACGAGCGCGGGGGCCTCCGAGGACGGCCTTCGCGGGCACCGCCACCACCTTCGCGGGCACCGTTTGCTGCCCTTCCCCCCCACCCGCACCTCCGATTAGCACGGTTGGCTTCGTACGGTGCGAAAGAGGTTCAGCGTGCATGCATAGGTGGCCCCAAGTGAACCCCTGAGATCAGAGCCAGTGGGGGTTGTTGGACCCAGCAGGTTCTAGGACCTAGAGAGTTGAACCCAGCAGGTTCTAGGACATAGAGAGTTGAACCCAGCAGGTTCTAGGACCTAGAGAGTTGAACCCCGCAAGTTCTAGGACCTAGAGAGTTGAACCCAGCAAGTTCTAGGACCTAGAGAGTTGAACCCAGCAGGTTCTAGGACCTAGAGAGTTGAACCCAGCAGGTTCTAGGACCTAGAGAGTTGAACCCAGCAAGTTCTAGGACCTAGAGAGTTGAACCCAGCAGGTTCTAGGACCTAGAGAGTTGAACCCAGCAGGTTCTAGGACCTAGAGAGTTGAACCCAGCAAGTTCTAGGACCTAGAGAGTTCAACCCAGCAGGTTCTAGGACCTAGAGAGTTGAACCCAGCAGGTTCTAGGACCTAGAGAGTTGAACCCAGCAGGTTCTAGGACGTAGAGAGTTGAACCCAGCAGGTTCTAGGACCTAGAGAGTTGAACCCAGCAAGTTCTGGACCTAGAGAGTTGAACCCAGCAGGTTCTAGGACCTAGAGAGTTGAACCCAGCAGGTTCTAGGACCTAGAGAGTTGAACCCAGCAGGTTCTAGGACCTAGAGTGTTGAACCCAGCAGGTTCTAGGACCTAGAGAGTTGAACCCAGCAGGTTCTAGGACCTAGAGAGTTGAACCCATCAGGTTCTAGGACCTGCACAGTGCTCTGGGTGTGTGTGTGTCCCACACATGTCCTGTGCACGCGCGTCCCATGCACCCCCTTGTACATGCCACCCGTGTGTCGTGCGCCCTGCGTGCCCGCACGTGCCACAGGCCCTGCTGTCGGACGGCTCGATAAGCAGCGCCGCGTCGTCTCGCCGCGGCAGTGAGGACACCGCCTGCTCCGTGGGCACAGAATCCTCCATACAGGAGCTCCGCGTACGTGCCTCTGCAGTGTACCACGAAAAATGTTTTTTCGTTTTTGTTTACGGTGAACCCCCGGGGGGCAAATTGCGCTCGCCGGGGTTCGCAGACACTCGCGTTTATTTTCTCAGGACATCTTCGAGCTGAAGGATGAACTCCACGGCGTGGAAGAGAGGTACATGCAGAAACTGAAGGAGATGAAGGTGATTCATCACACACACTCCTCCATACGCAGCACCATGTCCACTCCCATTTCACGGACTACGTGCCCACTCATGTACATAATGCTGTTGGACCTATAAAGTATTAAAAGCCATTCAAATTGACTCAATTGTAAATGGATACGTTTTGTAAATAGCGGCGATGGAGCAGTGGTGTAGCGGCGAATGCAGATTGCTATGAGCCACCCACCGGCACCGACCAGCGTGGTGAAGTATGGTCGCCAACTACCATGGGTGGCAGGAGGCCTTCTCGAGTAGCTGATTTACAAAGGGGCGGTAAATTGTTGTCAACTTATTCTTGTTACGGATAACAATATTACCCCCAGTTTAACACGTAGGCTTGTATTACCCCCATCGGCGGGGACGTGGCCCAGGTGAAGCGCATTCGCCACTTGTTGCAGAGGTTCGCGGTTCGACTCTGGCAGGCCAACCTGGTTAATGCTGCGGTGTGTTCAACGTGACATGCTCTGCCGTCTGCTTGACAGTGGATGTTAAAGATCACGTGCCATCATTCGAAGAAGAGTAGGCCATAGCGTGCTGGCACCATGGTCCATAATTGTCAAATTGTGTGCAACAAAAAAATTACACCACAAATTATTTAATTTCGAAGCAGAAATCATCTCCCACTCCTGAGAAAACTTAGCAGGATCCTTGTGAACAAGAGCCTTTTTACGGGTAAAAGTGTCATGCGAATAAATAATGAGAAGACAATACTGCGAGCTCGTCAGGTTTCACCGACAGCTCTCTTAGGAGAGAAAACTCATCGGCGCGCCCACATCGTCAGCCAGGGGAGCTTCGCTAGCGGTGGTTGCCGGTTCCGCTTGGCAGGAAGCGACGGACGGAGCCCAGGAGAAGTACAAGAAGGCGATGGTCTCCAACGCCCAGCTGGACAACGAGAAGGCGGCCCTCAGCTACCAGGTGGAGGTCCTGCGGGAGGCCCTGGAGGATGTGGAGGAGCAGAGCGCGGAGGCGCGGAGGGAGCTGAGCGACGCACGCAGCGTGAGCGGCCGCGCGGCACTGCCGGCCCACCTCCCCCCCCCCCCCCCCCGGGGGGGGGCCGGTGGAGTTGGACACAACTCAGCCTCATCGCAAATCACTGGCGTCGAGTAACGCGGACGCAGTTCACCAATGAACTCCGTCTCGTGTAATTTACGCACAAATTACCAAGTGCTTTCAGGCGTGTCACTTCGATACCAATTACCAATGACAAACGAAATACAAAAATGACATGTTTACATCACATGCAACATTTAGGCAGTGCCCATCTTTGTACGTATGTTGTACGTTGAACTTCTTTCGCACCGTACGTAGCTAACCGTGCTAATCGGAGGTGCTGGGGGGGGGGGCGGACGATAAACTAAACACAAAAAAGCAATTATGTTCATTAGCGGGGGGGGGGGGGGGGGGGGGGGGGGGGGGGGGGGGCGGTTAGCAGCCCACTGCTTTCACTCCCCGATGTGACGGTGGCGCTGTGCCTGCTCGGTTCCCGCTAGGATGCGGAGAGGCAGCGGCAGGCCAGCGCCAGCGCGCAGCACAAGCTGGAGGAGGCGAGGGACGCGCTGCACCAGCGGGAGGAGCGCGTGCAGGTGAACGACGCTCCTCGGGCTCCTGCGAGACGTGCAGCCCCCAACACCACCACCAACACCACCAACACCACCAACACCACCACCAACACCACCAACACCAACACCACCACCACCAACACCACCACCAACACCACCAACACCACCAACACCACCACCAACACCACCAACACCAACACCACCACCAACACCACCACCAACACCACCACCAACACCAACACCACCAGCACCACCAGCACCACCACCAACACCACCCCCCCCCCCCGCCGGCTGCGCCAACTCCGCTGTTCTCCAGGTTCCGAGTTCGTCGTTGTAATATTCCCCGCTGCGCGTCGCAGCCTCTTACTGTCGCCAACGTCGCTTCGCAGGAAATCCCGAGCCTGCAACGCAAGGAAGACGCCCTCGCCCGGGAGGTGTTTGACCTGCGAGAGACCGTGAATTGGAAAGAAAAAAAAATCACGGTAAGGGCACCGCTGCCGGCGACGTTCGCTATAGTGGTGCCGTGGTGTGGTGATGGCGAGAGGTGATGCCGTGCGTGGTGGTGGGTCATGTAGCCCGCGTGCCCAGCCACCGCATGCCTAAACAGCTCTTGTTTGGCCGGATAGAGGGGGCTAAACAGGCGCGGCACGGGCTAGAGAAGAGATGGAGTGATGTGGTACAGGAGGATGTGGAGCTGAGTGGACTTGCCGATGACTGGTACCAGCGGTGTCAAGATCGGTCTCTGTGGAGGAGGCTCGTGAAGGACGCTACTGCTGGGCAGTTGGAGGCAGTCGCCCTCCAACAACAACGGAGGGCGGAGGAGCGACGCTCACAACAACGTGTGGAGCACCGGGCGTCTAAAATACAGCAAGTTGCACAGTAGGGGGCACAGGTGGTGCATCAGTCAGTCATCTCAGTCAGTTGACCCATGGCACCTGCTGAGTCTGTCCCATGACCTCCTGCCAGCATACGTTTGACACTTCACCTGGCCTTAACGTGCACATAGCCTGGCACAAGCGCCGTGGTGACGTCACCGCCACTAATTGGCGAATGGCGGTCGTTGTTGTTGATGATGTGTGTGGTGTGGTTTTGATTATGTGTGTGGTTGTGGGGATGCTGTGTGTGGTTGTGGCGATGCTATGTGTGGTTGTGGTGATGCTATGTGTGGTTGTGGTGATGCTATGTGTGGTTGTGGTGATGCTGTGTGTGGTTGTGGTGATGCTGTGTGTGGTTGTGGTGATGCTATGTGTGGTGGTGATGCTGTGTGTGGTTGTGGTGATGATGTGTGTGTGGTAGTGGCGATGCTGTGTGTGTGTGTGGTTGTGGTGATGCTGTATGTGTAGTGGTGATGCTGTGTATGTGGTGGCGATGCTGTGTGTGTGTGTGGTGGTGATGCTGTGTGTGGTGGTGATGCTGTGTGTGTGTGTGGTGGTTGTGCCCTCTGCTGTAGGCGCTGGAGCGGCAGAAGGAGTACTATGAGTGCATCAGGGCAGAGCGCGATGAGCTCCGTGCAGAGGTCGCGCTCCTCCGTGAAAAGACCAAGGTGCATTGTGGGACATGGGGATCTTCTTAATTGCTTGGTCTTTGAGACCGGCGGTGCACATCAATCCCAACTATTACTACCTCGACGCATCATTGTCTCCAAGTTGTTCTGTTCCGCACCCCTTCCATCATCTTTTTATGCTGCTTCTTCCTGGCCGACACGATAGAGCATCACATGGTAGAAATTTAGACAATGGGACAGCCACTGGGGAATTGTGTCCATGTTGAATGCCACGGTGGCTGGCTACCATGAAGTTTACCATGCTTGTCCAAAATACATGAGAAGAGCGCTGTAGAGGAACTCGCTAATTGCCTCCGATTAGTACGGTTGGCTACATACGATGCGAAATGAGTTCAAGATTTTTTTTTTATTTTAACAGGTAAGGTCCACTGAGCTACATAGCTCTTTTTTCAGAAGCGACCTGGCGATCACAAATTATAGCTCAACGAAGTGGCTCACGTGGAAGTGCATAGCAGCCAAATACTCTAAAGGGATGTTGATTCTAAATGTGGAGGGGGAAACCGGAGGACACGGAAACAAATCCACGGTGAGAGAGACACGCAAACTCCAAATATACAGCGGCAGGCGTCAGGGTCGGGATGGAGCCCACGACCTCCTGCATACCAGGCGAGGTCGTTAACATCTCGCCACTGCCAGCGCACGTATCCCCGCGAATGTCCGAGCTTCCATCTCCGAGCCCCCTCGTGGACACGTGCCCTCGCCGCCCGTCGATGTCACTTTCTCCGCGGCCGCTGTCCAGAAGCTGTCCCTCGGCGTGGCCGTGAATGGAGACGAGTTTGACGCGGCGAGAGACTCGGGGATGTTGGACCACGTCGCCCCGACGGCAGCAGAAGCCGCGGTGCTCGGTGAGTCGTCGTCTCTGCCGCTCCGGTGAACGAGAGACCCTTGGTTGGTGCGCCGCACTGTGAAGCTGGTGAACCCGAGTTCGATTCCCAGCCATAGCTAACGTTGGTGGCGAGTTATGTCTGTGCCGGTCCTGGGGTGCTCTTTTCGCCAAGAAGTACGAGCCGGTGTGGTGAAGTATGGGCACATTACCACAAGACTACCGTGGCTCAGGGAGGTTCTCATTCAGCAGTTTATTTTAAAAGTGCTGTAAATTCATCTTGTGTTTTTTATTGTCTAGTTTCGTTATCTAAGCACGTAATATTCAAGCTAAAGTTCACCAGGTGAGAACTCAAGATGCCAGGATGGTCTCATTCACACCAAAATGACAAAAGCAAACCACGTTAAATAAAGTACTGATACATCAAGAAAGCGAATTAGAAACCAGAGCAAACTCTAGGGGTCGTGGAGAGTAATGTTGGTTGCGCGCTTCTCTCTTCTGAGCGCAGATGTCAGGTTAAAGAGACTGACGGAGGAGAACGACGCCCTTCTGGACGAGGTGAGATGCACGTCCAGCACCCCGCGTTGTATTTTAATATTTCACCACGACCACCGGCGCCCATCAAACGCCACGGTCGCGTGCGATGCAGCCGCACTCCCACTTGCGTGCAAGCAACGCCGCCGTCCCACCAAGCGACAAAGTGTCGCCAACTCCCCGCAACTTCGTGACATGTTCGCCTCTCTCTCCGTTCCGCCTTTGCCGCCCCTGGCCACTCAGCTGCGCCGCACCAGCCAGCAGCTGGAGGAGGAGCGGCGGTGCCGGGCGCGAGTGGAGGTCGCGTTCGCTCGCCCGTCACCCTCTGAGCTCGAGGACGACTTCTACCTGCGCGACCTCCAGCGTGAGTATTCAGCCAGGTCGCCGGGACCCAAGGCCCCGCGGCAGGGGACGATCGCTCCTTTCCCACCGGCACATCCGAGCCGAGCCAGCGCGCTGTTCTGCGGGTGGTTTTCCTTCTGGCCAATTGTCGTGCCGAGCCGGTAACCAAAGCGTGCTACGCCGGCCTCACGAGACATCTGAATCTGGCTTGGGGCCAAGCAGGTTCCACCATCGCCGTCACCTCCACGAGCCGCAACTCACGCGGCTCGGCTCCCGCAGCGGAAATCTGACCTGGCGCCTCGCTGAGCCAACAACGCCAGGCGGACCTGGCACCACTCCGGCGCAGCTCGGTTGTACAGTGGAAAAGGGGCAGTCGAACCACGTGTGACTGTTTGGTGGCGTGATAAGAGTTCATGGCTGAACAATCGTCCAATAAGTGCGGTGTGATTCCATTTGCTTTTCCCCCAAGGTGAGACGAACAAGCATCTCAGCGAGTACAAGTACAAGCTGGCCAAGTCGGAGCAGGAGAAGGCCACGCTCGAGAAGAATGTGAGTCACCAGGGCAGCGGTGTTCATCTGAGACGCATTCGTCCTACTGAGCAGTGCCCAGGCCGAACCGTCATCACCTGCCACGATCTCTCTGCCTCCTTGCGTTGTCGCCATCGCTCACAGCCCTGCAACGCCACCACGATCCATCTCGCTCCGACTCACTGACCTCATCACTCGGCGGTTGTCCTCCCTTTTGGCTGCCATTCCATCGCCAGTCTCATCCATCTGCGACCGTCCCTTCACAGCCGGCATTATTTCTCAAGTTTACATGTGTGCCTGAAAATTATTTGATTCCTGAGGTGTATGAATTCCTCTAAAGATTCTGCATATTATATATTTGCTGGGATTGTCTCTATCATGCATTATGGTTCCATATTTCTCCCTAGAAGTTACTAATTGCAATTTACCCATAATCAACCTCATCTTTGCTGGTTTCCTGCTCCCATTACTGGCATCTTCATCGCTACTGTGCTGGGTTCTCCAATGACTTTGCTCCTTTTCCGAGTGGTTTTACAGAGTTCCGTGTATTCTCTTGTCCCCTTTCTTACCACTCGCTGCTAAACACACACACACACAAGTGATACAAATGTCCTGCATCCTTAATGGTTTAGTGGATGACAGCCTTCGGGCATAACACAACAAGATAGCAACTGGCCGTGTAACGACCTTTACTAGTTGTTCACCTCGCCGAGATTGCATTGAGACATATGCAAGGACACCCTTCGCAATGTAATCGTGATTATTTTTCACGACAATAAACTCAGCACGTTCGTCAATACCGCTGAGGCCTTTTATGGAGCAAAATAAATGGACAACGTTTCAGGCAATGGCCCTAATAGCCCTTCTTCAATGGTAAGAAGGGCCATTTGCCAAAACGTTCCATTATGTTTTCCATTTAAGGCCACAGCAGTGGTACCGACGCACGTGGTGAGTTTTGTGTTGTGCATTTGCACCACTTCAGCAAAGCAACAGCGTCACCATTTCATGTTTTTGGTGCCCTTCGTGTAATCTGGCTCAGCCAGGCTCTCTTTAATCACACCACCAATACTCGGAATCATCTTTGTAATTTGTGTAAAAAAAAACCCGTTATCATGGCAGTTGGTACAATGCACACACGTGGGTGCTATGTGTCATCTATACTTGGCGGTTCTGATTATGAGAATACTTTTTGTTTCCATATTTCGGATTCCAAATGTGCATGTGTACGCGTGCCTCTGTTTGTGTGTGTACATTTGTACATTTGCGGTTCGCACGCTGCGCTACGAACCCAGCGACCAGAGTTCAATTCCCACTCACGGCCAACATCGGTGATGAATATCTGAACCGTTCCTGGACCTCCCCTAGGTCGACTCATCCTCAAATGAGTAACTGGTATGGTGTGTAAAAACATCACCATTATGGAGACAGAGGCGGCAAGGCCTTCATAGGTGCTACCTGCTAACAGCACTTTCTCCGACAGCCTGTTAAGGCTACACGGGCGATCTTTGTCCTTACACAATGTGTGTGTGCGTGCATGGAGACAGATACTACGGTTACAGGGACAAATTTCCCGTCACAAGGCAGCAGCGGATGGAGCAGAGAAGGAGGAAGATGAGCTCAAGGCGGATAGGAGGAGGCTACAGAGAGAGGCGAGACACCGGCTCTTGCTGCGCATATGTCCGCATGTGAACGCGTCTTGATATGTGGCGAGTGGTCACACGACGGTTAGCGCTGAGCACTACCAACTCGATTAACCGAGTTTGATTCGTGCTCAAGGTCGTTGGTGGTGTGTCTTATCATCATCGCTGGCGAGAAAAATGCAACCGGGTATGATGCTTGCTGCACCATCCTCTCGTGTGCTATGCCGGCCTGCGTGGGTAATCGCTCACAGTACTTGGGGGAGGGAGGGACTTGTGGCGCAGGAGTTGGCTCACAGCGCTCTGAACCCAGCAACCTGAGTTCGATTCCCGGCCACGGCTAACATCAGTGGCGGTTGCCATCTGAACCAGTTCTGGGCCTCTCCACTCCCCATTCACCAACCCACACTGACCAATTTGGTGAAGTATACTGGGACAGCTTACTTGGTTGACACGCCATGGGGAAGCTACCAACCAGCAGCACATCGACAAAGGGCTGTACATTATTATGGCTCACAGCACTCGACTATACTTAGTGCCGGATTATCCTAGTAGCAAAAGTAGCTACATATGTAGTAGCTACGGGTCCCGCACTTTTAAGGGCCCCGCGCGAAATGCTTTCGAGCTATCAATTCCGGTTCAGTGATTCTGCACTTGCTCTATTACTATAGTACTATACTGCCTTCAACTTTTATGAACGACTGGGTGTTTAAGGTTAGCGATTTTGATTATCTGGCTGTAAAAATACAATGACTTTACTGTGCAAGTAAAAAATGTGTGTTTTAATATTTCAGTTGTTTTATTTAGTGCCCCATGTATAACAAGCTACAGGCCCCGCACTAGCTTAATCCGGCACTGACTATACGGGGGAATCTTTGCCTTTGTGTGTGAATGTGCCGCTCGCCAACCGCAGCTTCATATGGCCCTGGAGAAGCTGGACGAGATGGAGACGACAAACAACCACCTGATGATGCGCCTGAGCAAACTGAAGGCCAAGCGGGACATGGCCTACGCCCAGCAGTAAGCCGCCAGGCTCCCCGCGCTGCCCGGCGGAGAGCGGCGGGGGTCGTGCGGGCGGCGCACCGGGAGTCTCGCGCCGCCGAGCCAGAGCGGCGCCCGCCAGCTCGAGTCCTCACGGGGTCTGCTCCACCGCCGCTCGTCGCTCCACCGCCGCTCGTCGCACACCCCTCGTTCGCATCCACGTGGCCCGCCGAGCCCCCACCCGCAAGCGCTGGTGCATACAGGCCCTGCGCTGTGGGGTTCGGATACGGTTCGTGCCGCTAGTCAGGGTTTGTGCATCTGCCGGCCGTCTCAGTCCGTCAACCCGTGGCACCCGGGTCTGCCCCGTGACCTCCTGCCAGGGGGCGTCTGACTCTCAACGTGGCCTTTAAAGTGCACGTGCCCTGGAACAAGCACCGTGATGACGTCACCGGCACTTAGTGGCTATTGTTGGTACGTGTGTGGTCTCGCGGTGTGACGGCCGTGCAGAGCCACTTATTGGGGGAGGGCACGGCAGTGTTGGTGTCGTGTGCCCCAGCGTGGCTAACCCCCTGGGCTTCGCTGTCCGAGCCACTCATCGGTGGCTGAAGGCCGCATCAAGAGCAGCGGGAATGCGACTGATGGACGGGAGCAGGTGCAGCGAAAGCGACTTGTAGCCGCGTCTGGAATAAAAAAATATATACAATTATGAAAGATCGTGCGGTATTGATGCTTAGAGGTGTTCGCGGTCACTCTGACCATAATGCGCATGACGATGTAGAGCTAATGATACGTAACAGGCACAGATGGTGCAAAGGGACAGCATTGATTCGCAACGCGAGGAAAAATCACGAGAAGTGATGTGGCCAATTGCTCATGAAGATCCATTATGAACTCCGCAGAGAGCTTGTGCAGACAAAGGCATGTTAGTTGACTTTATCGCAAGAATTGTATAGAGGATATTTATTTTTCCTCCGGGAAAAAGAAATATTCAGATTCTGGAGTCAGAATCTGAATATTTATTTTTCCCGGAGGAATCTGATGAGCTATAACGCTATTATTCACAGATGTCCAGTAACAACGCAACCAGGCGGTGAGCCAGCACCAAAAATTGCCCAAGCTCTGCAGGCCTCTATTAATGTTTTAAGCCTGGCTTATTTTACAATTACATTGCCTCTGCATTGGCCGATACTCAGCAAGACGTGAAGAAGCGTCGCACTACGAACGGAGTGGTGCGAGACGTGAAGCCACCAGTCCGCTCCGTATGGATCGCAACTCCCCGTGGGACTTGAACGGTGCTGGGCAGCACCGCGTGCTGCTCCCTGTGCTGGTAGTCGCTCGCCCGTGCTCGGCTGCGCTGCTGAACGCAGCACGCGGCAGCGCCTGTGGGGTGGCGATTACGCAAGGCGCCTAGCGATGCTTCGTGGTGACGAGATGTTAACTGCCTCGCCTGGTATACAGGAGGTCGTGGGTTCGATCCCGACCCTGACGCCTGCTGTAAATTTGGAGTTTGCGTGTTATCTCTCTCTCTCTCTCTCCCCGTGGTCGCGTAGATTTGTCTCCGGGCCCTCCGGTTTTTTTCCTCCACATTTCGAATCAACATCACCACGCGTTTAAGAGTATTTGGCTGATATCAATTTCCACATGATAAGCCACTTCGTTGAGCTTTCATTTATGGCCAGGTCGCTTCTGAAAAAGAACAATATAGATCATCGGGCCTTGCCTGGTAAACTGTAATAGTTTAGTTTATCTAGTGCACACAATGCGTGCACTGAAGCACGTGTGTAAGAATCGATTATTATCGGTGTATGCAAATCGTGTGCAAATGGAATCATGTTTAGGTGCATGGAGTGAATAAAACTGCGTAGAGGAGATTAAATTAAATGATAAATGGCATAAAAGGGACGGTAAGATTATTGAACATAGCATTATTGAATCACATAGCACCCCCCCCCCCCCCCCCCGAAATTGCGACAATATTAAGTTGTCTATGGAGGAGGCGAATTCTGGTTGTTGTTATTTTAAAACGGCCAAGAACGCATGTGAGTGATGGTCGAGTCACCACTGAGGCGACGCCGCCGCTTTGCCTCAGGCACACACGTGGCCACGAGATCGAGAAGGGAATTGTGAACATTTGTACAAATGCGAAGAAACAAGTTCAAAGCATACTCCCCCCCCCCCCCCGCCCAACCAGTGTCAATGCGTGCAGTTTTGTCCGGACGACAACGTTGACTTTACGGCTATTGGATTTAAAGAGAGCGCATGCGATTACCGGAATTTGTGAGATGTGTCCGTTGCTGCGGCGAGGGCCCTGTGATGGCTCGGCACGCTGCCTCTCGAGTTGTGAAACTAAGTTTGCCCCTTGCGCCGCAGCAGATGAGAGCCCGCGATGGTTCAAGGGCGATTTACCCGCGGCGTCGAAAAGCTTCACATCGGGGGCGTGTGCGCGGGTAGTGGGTGGAGGTCTCGAATGTTCGCGAGTTCCACTTTCCTCTCAATGCCAACCGGGAGCCCCACGTCTCGGGGGGTTCGTGACCCCACGGCGTGCTGTCAGCGGCCAACGGAATCGCATATCACACGCGGAGTCGTTTATCCACCTGCGCCCGTGTGTTTTGCTTGAATTTGTTTAATAAATGTCCAAATGTCCACGGACCCGTGCATGTTGATGGGCTCCCTGGTTGAATGTGCTTCATTCATTAAAAAGCACACTTCGTCACGTGTGCGTGTTGAACTTCATTCGCGCGCCGCACGTAGCCAACCGTGCTAATCGGAGGTGCGAGGTGTCAGAGTGAGCGTACTCGATGTTGAGTCGTTGAACGGTGGACACCAATGTACAACCAGCCACACTTCGCGCACTGCGTTACAGGCACAGCTTAGCCAATGCAATCATTTCACTCATCGCGTGGAAATAATGTGTACAGAGACGCGATTGGCCTGCCACGCTAACCGTATATGTATCGTACAGCACACCCGTGTTTCATCAGTAATTACAACCAGCATCATCAGGAGACAGACAGATCTTTAAATGTTGCGGGGTTACTCTCCAACACACCGGTGTGATGTACTAGTAACGAATTGGCTCGTTTTGTTAACGTGACAAACCTTACTAGTTGGATGTGTAGGGTGGTGGCGGGTTTACGCGATCAACACAATAAATATCTTATGGATATTTGTAGCGAAAGCCTACCTGTTAAACCGTAGGTGTGGGCGTTGTACAGCATTTGTTCAGGTGTTGTACCTATGCATGTTGAAGTTATTTCGCACCGTACGTAGACAACCGTGCATATCGGAAGTGCGGGGTAAGGACAACAAACGAAACACAAAAAGCAGCTCTAAAGAAATGATGGTTGTCACTTAAACATTTGCATGCCCTTCGAATTGTTTGGGTGTGCAGTCTCTGGGTGTTGTACGTGGTTGTAGCCTCTAGGTGTGGGTATTGCAATAGCAAATGCAGGTGATGGCTTTAGCTTGTAGGTGTGAGTGTAAACTTGATTCGAAGCTTTCGTGACTGCAGGAATTACTCTTTGGTTCTGACGGTAAAGTCACGTAGAATGAAATTAAATTCAATAATAATAGTTTCTACGTGACTTTACCGAAAGAATCAAAGGGTGGTGCGAGTGTAGTTTTAAATGCGTGGCATCGGTGTTGACGGCCGTAGCTTTATTATATAAGGGTGTTGTTGTTGTTGTGTCTGTGGGTAAAGGCGCAGACGCTGCTGTGTCGTTACACTCGCAGCCTGTGGGTCACGCAGCTGATGCCGGCGGTCTGGCCGCTGGGCCATGTGTTGTTGCCGGCAGCCCGTGTCGCCACAAGACTTGTTTGTGACGCTGATCGTATCTGGCGGAAATCTAAATGCGACTCATTTTTCGAAGATACACAGCCGTGTCTTGGGGTCGTGCTCGCGTCACTGAAATCGGGGCTTGGTCACAGACTGGCACGGAGGGCCACGCGTGTCGTTGGTTACTCAGTGGGGACCACGCGTGTCGTTGGTGTTCAGTGGGGACCACGCGTGTCGTTGGTGCTCAGTGGGGACCACGCGTGTCGTTGGTTACTCAGTGGGGACCACGCGTGTCGTTGGTGCTCAGTGGGGACCACGTGGCTCGTTGGTGCTCAGTGGGGACCACGCGTGTCGTTGGTTACTCAGTGGGGACCACGCGTGTCGTTGGTTACTCAGTGGGGACCACGCGTGTCGTTGGTTACTCAGTGGGGACCACGCGTGTCGTTGGTGCTCAGTGGGGACCACGTGGCTCGTTGGTACTCAGTGGGGACCACGCGTGTCGTTGGTACTAGGTGGGGACCACGTGGCTCGTTGGTTACTCAGTGGGGACCACGCGTGTCGTTGGTACTCAGTGGGGACCACGTGGCTCGTTGGCACGGTCAGGACTCGCGTGTGGCTGGCACGGAGGGTTCCTGGCGACTGCTGGTTCCAATCCCCGTGGGCACAGTCTGTGCTACAGACACGACAGCTTCTTCTCTGCAACACTCGACCAGGTCAGCTGCATCTGTCACCTCCAGAGGTCAGTGGTGTGCTTCAGATCAATGTGTCTTAAATATTTTAATTGCCTTGTTGGTACTGAAAGCTGGTGGCCTGGCATGTCTACTGTATTTTATTGTTCCTATATTCAGCGACTTGATTTATCATTGGGTACGTGCACATACATCGACGTGATAATGCATGATTAAAATGCAATAAATGCTTTCAACAAGGGAAGAAGAAGAGACGTTACATTGGCTCATTAAACATCAATGTGCGATTCTATGGTATGTGTGGTAATGTAGCGGTTAGCATGCTGCGCTACGAACCCGGAGTCCTAAGTTCGATTCCCGCTCACGACCAACATCAGTGACGATTATCTGAACTGGTCCAGGGCCTCCCCTAGATCGACTCGACCGAAAATGAGTAACCTGCTTCGGTGGGGCGTGGTGCTGGCCACCCACCCCCTCGTGCACCGTGCCGGCCTTCGTAGGCGCTACTCGCTAACAGCGCTTACCCCAACAGACTGTTGAAGACTATACGGGGGATATTTGAATGTTCCTTTGGCTATCCTTGTGCTGACAAAATGTCGCTCGTGTATGCAGTTGGAAAACATCGCGAAATAGGACAACTGGAGTTACTGCGCTGAGAGTGGTGCACACGCACCAATTACTAACACCAATGCCTTAACAAGAAATATAACTTGATTTGAAGCTTTCGTGACTGCAGGAATATAACATACAATAGAGGATGTTTAGGGAAATTGCTCTTCTTCACAGCACACTGAGAAGCCAGAGTGGGTAGGTAGATAATTTCTGACCGCACCACTTGCCCCAACAGTCTTTTTATTTGAAGGCTACACGGGGGACCTTCGACGTCCGTGGGGCTGTCGAGACCGGCGCTAACCCCTGCGGCGGCTCTCCTGCAGGGGCTGTGTCCAGGGCCATGCGGGCGCTGTGGGACCTCCTCCTCGTCGGTGCGATGCTGGGTGAGTGGTGGCTATTCCCTAATCCCTCCTCCATCGTCCCTGGCGTCTACCTCGGCGACCTCTCACCAGTGCCGGATTAAGCTAGTTGCTGGGCCTGTAGCATGTTATAAAGTGGCCCTAAATAAATAAATACATAAATATTAAAACACATTTTTTACTTGCATAGTCAAATAATTGTATTTTTTTTATTTGCTATACATCCAGATCATACGACAAATCGCTAACCTTAAAACACGCAGTCGTTCGTTAAAGTTGAAGGCGGTATAGTACCATAGTAATAGAGCAAGTGCAGAATCACTGAACCGGAATTGATAGCTTGAAAGCATTTAGCGCGGGCCCCTTTAAAGTGCGGGGCCCGTAGCTTCATGTAGCTACTTGTGCTACGAGGATAATCGGGCACTGCCTCTCACCCAAGCCGGAGACATCCCATGGGGACTGCAGGACCGTAGGGAGGTTTGGGGTGGGGGGGTAAGCAGGTCCGGGGTAGGAGGGCACAGACAAAGGGTCTCGATCACCTGGCGTCTTTGCTCCGAGTAACGTAACCTGGCACGCACCATCATTCTCCTTACCGACTCCCCTGACTTTCGAGTGACACTTGATTCGTAAAATAGATTCCTTGCGTCTGTCATCGGATGGTGCCAGCACTGGAGGACTTCTCGTGGCTGTAGAAGTCACGTGGATCAATAACACGAGGACACATGGCCAACAGAAAGTCGATTTATTGCTCCGCCGAACGTACGCACATGTTGAGCAAAATGATAGACCACGTTGAAGGAAATACTGAAGTTGTTACTTACTCAGTACCTGCCCCAGACAGGTGTCTGATATTCTAAACGTAAACAAAATAAAAGTTAACGCTAAGTGAAGAGACCCTATTTTTCAAAAGGAGGGGGGGGGGGGGGCAATCTAATAGGGAGTGACCCACACGAGGCAACAAGCAGACGTGGGCCCGAACCTCGCCAACCAGACCCCTGACCGAGCCACCCAGACCCCGAACCTCGCCAACCAGACCCCTGAACGAGCCACCCAGACCCCGAACCTCGCCAACCAGACCCCTGAACGAGCCACCCAGACCCCGGACCTCGCCAACCAGACCCCTGAACGAGCCACCCAGACCCCGGACCTCGCCAACCAGACCCCTGAACGAGCCACCCAGACCCCGGACCTCGCCAACCAGACCCCTGAACGAGCCACCCAGACCCCGAACCTCGCCAACCAGACCCCTGAACGAGCCATCCAGACCCCGAACCTCGCCAACCAGACCCCTGAACGAGCCACCCAGACCCCGAACCTCGCCAACCAGACCCCTGAACGAGCCACCCAGACCCCGAACCTCGCCAACCAGACCCCTGAACGAGCCATCCAGACCCCGAACCTCGCCAACCAGACCCCTGAACGAGCCACCCAGACCCCGGACCTCGCCAACCAGACCCCTGAACGAGCCACCCAGACCCCGAACCTCGCCAACCAGACCCCTGAACGAGCCACCCAGACCCCGAACCTCGCCAACCAGACCCCTGAACGAGCCATCCAGACCCTGAACCTCGCCAACCAGACCCCTGAACGAGCCAACCAGACCCCTAGCCTGGCTACCCCCTATCCAAACGCTTAATCCCACCACGAGAACATAACCCATCCTCCATTTGGCGTTTGTTTACTACTCACATTGGATCAATGGCCTGTGCATTGTAGATTTCACTTCGGTTTTGATGATGTTTGGAATTGACATAGATCCTGTTTGATATATATTTAAGTAGAATAAAAGCATGTAAAAATGTGTGCTTCAATATGTCCTTTGGTGGTTGTGGGAAATCAATCAAGGGCAAGCCAAGTTACTTTTTTAAACCTGTGGTTTGTGGGTTTTCGTACAACTCACATCTCAGATATGGGCTCGCATTGGCAAAGAGCCTGCCTAGCTTGATTAGCATCTCAATCTAAGAATAGTTTGCAGATGCAGGTGGTCATTAGCATACCTATAACCCCTTAAATATCTTACGGTATTTTGTTGGCACCCTCAAGTCCTGAGGTCTTGAGGGCATAGGCGCATTGTCTTACGAGCCGTTTGTTGGGACAACATTTCGGCTGAATCCCACGTGCCCGCGCCATGAACCCGTGCCTCCTCTCTGCCTGCAGGGTGCATGGCGGAACAGCAGGTGCTGGTGAAGCGGGTACAGGAGGGAGGCACCGTTGTGTTGAACTGCACCGAGGCATCCGACGTGAACCACTGGTTCTGGTTGCCCGACTTTCAAGAGTGCGCGGAGGGCAAACCTGCGTCGGAGCAATTCGACGGTCGGATCGAAATGACGAGCAACCCCGACTGCGAGCTCGTGCTGCGCAACCTGACGGCGAGAGACGCGGGGAAGCTCATCGTGCCGGAGAGCATGCACCGGAACGTGGAGCTCGTGATCACGCCCGGTACGTGGCGTTGTCGCAATGTCGATCGAGCCGCCATGTATTGATTCACCCATGACAGACCACAAGAGGTGCCAGATACGTTTGGGGAAACGTGACCTGGGATGATTTTTGTTCTGAATGAATGGACCCGGGTTCGATTCCCGCTCACGGCCAACACGACGATTAAGTGAACCGGTCCTGGGCCTCTCCTAGGTTGACTCAAATGAGTATCTGGTGCGGTGTGTAAACAGTACTTGGGAGACAAAGGTGGCCGGGCGTGGTTCTGGCCACCCACCCCCTTGTGTGCCGTGCCAACCTTCATAGGTGCTCGCTAACAGCACTTTCTCCAACGGTCTCTTAAGGATATGCGGGGATCTTTGTACGTCTGTGTGTGTAGCTGTATGTCGGTTTGTGTATTTATTTGTGTGTCTGCTCTTTTAGCTTTCAGTGCGCTTCTGTTAGTTTGTCTGTTTTTATTAGTGCATGTGAGGAGCTGGTAACCTCTCCACTTAATCACCTCATCAAATCTTGTGACAACTATCGTCGCATCTCCCTCCTCCGTTTGCTGGGAAAGATCCTGCCAAGGGTTATTCAACGTTGACTTGCTTTGCCAGGCAGTGCACTGAGGAGAGGCTTGCGGAGCCTCAATGTGGTTTCAGGCCGGGGCGGTCTTGCACTACATTAGAAGTGTAGGGAATTGCAACAGGACCTACAGCTCTCCTTTATTGACCTGCTCAAGTCCTATGGTAATATCAGTAGGCCAGGGCTCTTGGTTACTCTTCGTGCTCACAATCATTAAGGACCTCCATGATGGCGAGCATGCCCAGGTAAATCTGCACGGTCGGGAGTCAGAGCCATTTTCTGTTCACCTTGGGGTGCGACTGGAATGTCATTTGGCCCCTACACTATTTAACATCTTCGTTGACCATGCCGTTCGAGAATAATCCCATGAATAAGAAGCTTTCGTGACTGCAGGAATTACTCTTTGGTTCTTTTGGTAAAGTAATGTAGAAAGAAAAGTAATTAAATAATATGATACGACGCTTCGATTGCAACACAAGCAACCGTCATCAGGTAATAATGAATGAGAAAACAAACCTAGCAAACCTAGAAATGTAATGCAATACCACACAGAGAGTCCGCTAACATAACAGTCAACACCCTACCTGGTTGATTACGTTCTTCCAAAGATTGCTAAATTTGAGAGAGAGCCAAAACACAGACATGGAGACACATAGACACGCAAACGGTTGCTTGTGTTGCAATCGAAACGTCGTATTCTATTATTTAATTTATTTTCTTTCTACGTTACTTTACCGAAAGAACCAAAGAATAATTCCATGACTGTGCCAGTGGAATTTAGATCTGGTGTGGATACAAGGGGGAGCTAATCGAAGCCCGGGTGCAGTCAAGGAATGGCTCCTTTTTGGTCAAACATGTTATGTATGCTGATGATCTGGTAATTGATACTCTACTGCTGAACCTGGAGTATGCTACTAAGATAATGGACCTTTTTATTATTAACTCCACAAAAACAAAGTACCTACCTGAGTATGTTACATCATCAAATACTACCCCACCCCCTTCACTACCCATGAGTGATGGGCAGTTGTGGAGAGCATCGAGAAGGTTCCATACCTGGGCAGTGTCCTTATGACCAGCTCCGGTTTAGCAACAGAAGTTCCACTTCAAATCAGTCACGCAGCGTTGTCTTGTCATCAGCTTTGTAACCCGGTGTGGGCATTACATGGCCTATTGCTCCATACAAAGCTCCCCGTGTCTGCTTGACCAGAGTTATGCCCTCTATTCTCTATGCCTGCGAAACGTGAGCCGTTTAAAGGCGTATTATTTCCGCTGGTTTTACACATTCAGCTTGGTCTGCCTACACAATCCATCCTGTGTTTAACCAGTCTGGATTATGTGAGAAGCTCACAGATCCTTGAAAGGTCAGGTCTTAATTCCATGGCTGGGTCATGTAGCCCGCATGCCCAGCCAACGCATGCCCAGCCACCGCATGCCCAGCCACCGCATGCCCAAGCAATTTCTGTTTGGCCGGATACAGAGGGCTAAATGGGCGCGGCACGGGCTAGATAAGAGATGGACTGATGTGGTACTCGAGGATATGGAGCTCAGTGGACTTGCCGATGACTGGTAACAGCGGTGTTAATGTCTCTGTGGAGGAGGCTTGTTAAAGACGCTACTGGGCAATTGGAGGCAGTCGCCCTCAGACAACAGTGGAGGGCGGCAGAGGAGCGACGCTCACAACAATGAGCTGAGCTCTGGGCGGCTAAAACACAGCAAGTGGTGCATCTGCCAGTCACCTAAGTCAGTTAACCCATAACACCTGGGTCTGTCCCGTGACCTGCCAGCAGCGAGCCTTTGATACTTCACGTGACCTCAAGGTGCACCTAGCCTGGCACAAGCGCCGTGGTGACGTCACCACCACTTTAGTGGCGTACGGCGGTTGTTGTTGCCGTAGTTGTGCCGCGTGCGTAAGTGGTCGATGGTGTGCTGCGATAAGGTGGGCACGTCAGGGGGTGCTGGGTGTGCGTGTATCACGTTGATAAGGCTGTTTTGCTTCTTGTGCAGCTCTTGGCAACGAGCGGCGTCCACGTGGTCACGCCAACGTTCAACATCAGCATTCAGGCCACCCGCAAAGCTGCTGCTGTGTGTGTTAGCTGAATCGCGTTGCCACAACGTGGCCACAGTATTGGACATGCACATGTTCACCCCCTCTACACCGTTCATCATGCTAAGTCCGCCAATTAAATGCAAATTTTTATGCTAATTCCTTTGTCAAGGTGCTCTGTTTCCTCTCACACAGCTTAAAGGTCGCGGTCTGAGCTTGGCTGTGTTCACTCCAGCGCTGTCCTCTAGACAGTCTGGTCCCTTCACCTGATGAAGGCCACTTGTGTTGTGGCCGAAACGTCGTGATATTTGTTTAATTTTTTACCTACGTGACTTTACTGAATAGAACCAAAGAGTAAAGGATTATGGTTGTGCCGTTGCATTGTTCGTACATTTGCTCGATTTAAAAGGCGCGTTGATTCTAATTAATCGGCAGACACGGTAGTGCTGTTCGCCCTTGTCGTGGATCCTACGTTTCCTTGCCATAGAACCGGGCTACTGATTCAGGTGTTTGTGGAGTCCACTCAGCTGCCAATTCTCATGAAGGAAACTGCCGAAAGAAGAATCAGCGTGGAAGAGTGGCGATTTCAGAACCGGGCTTTTTATTGTTGTTGTTGCTGCCAGGAACATTGTTTATGGTGCAACACATTTTTGTCTACAACAATTTTTTCCAAATATATTGTGAAACTTGATAAGTTATATTTTCAACGAACCGGCAGACTCCACTGTGTCTATCTTATGCTAATTGTGTTAATATAAGATAATGCCAATTGCATATATATTTTTATAAATGTATCGTTTGAGACATAGCAGACTACTGATATCGATAATCCGACGATAATAATTACCAGGGCTTAACTTCAGCCTGGTCTATCTGAGTCGGAAAACTGGAAAATATTTTCAGACGCATCACACCACATCCAGAATACCTCTCTCGCTACGGCGTATGGTTACTCGTCACGTGCTAGCTCCAGTCGACCAGCGACTCCCGACATCGTCAGTGATAAATTAACTTCCGATGATGACAATGAAGTACTTAATCGATGTGATGTTGTGAAAAAATACTCAATTGTCTGAAAACATCTGAGGGGCCGTCCGTAAATGACGTCACGCGATTTTGGACGGTTTTTGACCCCCCCCCCCCCCTTTCGTCACGGGCGTCACAAAAAGTCAGACCCCCACCTCAAATATGACGTCACAAAGCTCTGCCCCCCCCCAAAAACATGCTTCAAGTCGCTTTAAATTATTGTCATTGTAGTGCGTATTTAATGTAGCGCTGCACTCTGATGTTGTAGGAAAAACATTTATTTAAAAAAAGTATATTTAATTAAGTAGAACGTGTTGTCTATATTTATTTAAAGTTGCGCATTTTGATGTGACGTCACATTTCTCAAACCCGCCCCCCTCGTCACACATCGTCACAAATATCTGACCCCTCCCCCCCCCCAGGTGCGTTACGTCATTTGTGACGGCCCCTGAACATATAGAGAGCCGCAGAGCTTGGGCAATTGTTGGCACTGGCTCGTCTGTGGTTCTTCACGCTTGCGTGGCCTTGTGGGATGCAGTTTACATGTCCTTAAGGGACGTAAATAAATAACCTAAAGATTATTCATGAATAACACAAATAAGGGACCGTCCATAAATAACGTGACGCACCTAGGGGGGGTGGGGTCAGACATTTGTGACGATGTGTGACGAAGGGGGGTGGGGGTGTTTGAGAAGTGTGACGTCACATCAAAATTTGCAACTTGAAATAAATATAAACACGTTCTACTTAATTAAATAGACTTTTTAATGTTTTCTCCTACACCAGAGTGCAGCGCCACATTAAATACGCACTACAATGACAATAGTTTAAAGCGATTTAAAGCATGGTTTATTTGGGGGGGGGCAGAGCTTTGTGACGTCATATTTGAGGGGGGGTCTGACTTTTTGTAACGCCGTGTGACGAGGGGGGGGGGTCAAAAATCGTCCAAAATCGCGTGACGTCATTTATGGACGGCCCCTAAACATATATGCCGTGTGTCTGTCGGCACGGTGATCTCAGACTGCACCGGGCTGCACATCCAAGCGTCTCCACATGGCCCCTTCATGGTCAGCGCGTCTGTCAACCTCACCTGCCGGCTTCCCCGGCACGTCTCATCTGCCACCCCCGTGCGCTGGACCTTCTTCACGCTGGGGAAGGGCGCAGCCGAGCAGCACGGAGAGGTGGTGACGGCCAGCAGGGAAGGGCTGTGGACCTGCACCGTCGGGGATCGCGCCACCCACTTCTGCCTCAGCAAATCGAGTCAGCCCCTTGCACAGCGGACACTATTGTTCGATTTGCATCCCACTGGGATTTAGGCACACAGTCGTTGAAATGCGGTGGTTTTTTTCTGGAAGACTTTTGCTGTTTTTTTCCAGGATTTTTCTGTTGCGTGTAGTCACTTTTAAGATGTTCTCTTGTTCATGTTTTTGTTTTGTTGCGGTTGCAGTCGAGTCAAGAGCCGCATGGCTCACAGGGTTATACCTAATCAATGAAAAATCTGAAACTTTTGTTCGTCGCCGCGCTTACGCCAACGTACGCCTTTGCGAGCGGTGCGAGCCGACACGGTCTGGCCTTGGTCTTCATTTCGTGCCATGCTCAGCTTCTGCGTCGAGGTTTCCAGTAATCAAGGTGACACCTGGGCCGAGACAGTTGACCCACCCGAGTCGCCAAATTAACATTAATTTGTGACGCAACTTCCATCACGGACCTCCACTTGGGGTTGCTTCACACCTACGATTAGCGCGGTTGGCTACGTACGGTGCGAAAGAAGTGCAACATACGTGCATACAAGAGGCCATCTCATCGAGATGCTCGGAGAGATACTCGCGAGCCGCTGTGTCTGCGAGCTGTGTTTACCGAGATGACGAATTGCTCGATTCAAGCCGCCACGTGTGTGCAAAACCCGTAGCAGGTGTCACATGGCGAACACTCTGCACGTGGATTCATAGCGCTCTCTGTCCAGGCTCGTCCACGATGAATGGCTGGTGGTGCAACGAGACCAAGCTGGTGATGAGCGAGGTCGGTCGTTCTTCCGAGAGCAGCCCGTGGACCATCTCGTCGCTCCCTATGCCCTTGCTCATCGCCGTCTGCGTGGGAGCAGCCCTGCTGCCGCTGCTGCTTCTGTCAGCAATCATTTACGCCTGCTTCATGAGTACGTATTTTTTGCCGACGCTTTCTCGTTGATTTTACGGTGTTTACAATGGCCGGGATAGGCACGCCACGTTAATTTTCGCTTTAAGTCTTTTGAATGTAACGTCTACACGAGAACACGTCTTTCAGTTAGACGTCAAAGGCAAACATGGGGGAGTGGATGAGACCGTGGTTGATGTGACGTTTAATTCGAATTGTCTTCATGTTTTTTTTTAGGGAACAAAGTACTACTCTCTCCATACGCAACCCAGTAAGACTTTTCACGTGCTTTTTTTGTTGTTGCTGTTTCAGTACCACACGGTGTGCTTGATATAACTCCACTCATATTTAGACAGACATTTTATAAAAGTGTCCTGATGCACGTGTCGCCGATTTTAATGTAACGCAGGTATGACTGCAAGCCACATACAATGCTGCCAGACAAAGCAATGGCCGTACCCAACCATGTACTGGACCGTTACCAAGGTAGAGTGAATTTGTGTGTATATTGTGAGGCAGAGTGAGAAATCTCTCACACGGGATACCATCTCAAAATGAGCTCGTGTTCGTTTTGTTATTTTTGCAGGAGTGGTATAAGTAGTTCGAGTGACCTGGTTTTGATGCCTCGTGGCAACGATGGTGTGCATATATTTAGACTCAAGGTGGTGGTGTCTTGTGGAAAAAAACTACTCGATGAGAATGCTTGCTGCATTGTATGTTAAAAAAAATCAATTGGGACGTTTAATTAATGGTTAATTTTAACGTCAGCCCGAAGCCTAATGTAAAATGGCTTCGACATAAATTATGCAATGTCACAGTGGTCTAGGCCCATTGATAGTTTCCATCTTCGAGATAAATATATCATTTACATTTTAAAATGAATAATTCTTGACAGGAAACATTTTGGTTCACGTGGCGTGCTTTTTTCATAATATTCATGCTTTCTTTGGCACAATAAACCTAACATACGCTATTTGACAGAGTCTGTGGAGGAGGACTGTGGCGAGGAATACGTGCCGATGAGTGGTCTGAGTCAAGGTGCGGTCCCAAAATGCCCAGCACTCTGCCGTCCCCCCTACAGCATCACCGCTATCCATTACCAACACCGCTACAGTCATGACCACTAAACCTCCACCCAACCACAACCACTATACCCCCCCCCCTCACTGTTACCATTCACAATACCTGAGCTTTGAAATGTTTATACATCAAGCTTTGAACTGCCAAAACCATCACTACAACGTAGCAACCACAAATGCTCATACTAGCCCTCTGCAGTCCATCAATGTTACCTGTACGGTATCTTTGAAACTCGTCTGTAAATTGTGCAATATTATTCCTTAAGGACCCTGTACTAGTTCTCTACAATGTTTTTTTTTCTTTTTTTGCTGCTGTGCTCACGCACCACACATCTCAACTTGTAAAATAGCCAGGCAGTTGGCAAAACGGGATCATCCTTTTAAGATATCAACTAAACTCAAACTTCGTATAGTAGTTACTAAGGTGCCAAGAACAATGAATTGTTCAATCTGTGCAACTTTACATACATTTGTTTTACTTCTGATGAACCAACGGCAAGTTCTGTGTCTTTGAGTGCAGGAAGTGGAACTGAGATAGAGATAGAATTGCAAGACTACGAGAACATCAGCAAGTCTGAGACGGGTAAGCGGGGACTTGTGATGCCTCACCATTTCCTTTCAGAACTCTTAAACCCCCAAGCCAATGTGTAACGATGTATTTAATTGTATTATGTGAGTTAATTAGTTAATAAAGGGCAGTGGCATGGCCTCGTGGCAGCTTGTTCGCCGCTTGTTTCAGAGGCTCACAGTTCGAATCCAGCGGCCCGCCTGAAGCATATTAGGCACCGCCTGCTCCACAGTGGACATTAAAGTTACCGTGACGTCATTCACATGTGCCGACATCTAGGTCCAGAATCACCAAATTTTAACTGCCCAGCAATTACTCAATTGGAATTACGCGTCGCAACCATCGCCGTAACACTGTGAAAACTTGACAGGATCCTCATTAAAAAGTCATGAGACTCGGTGAGGATTTTCTGTGCAAACAAGAAACTAAATCAATTACTAAGCAATGCGGTTGAATATCAAGTTTACAACAGCGGCTTGGCATTCTCAAAGTGTGTACAAGGTTTTTTTTCAGACACAAAACAAGATACAGTAATAATTACACGTGACAAAATACAATACACAAAGGTTACGTTGACTACATTGACTGTGCGTCATTCATCTAAGCAGACAATATTGAAAATGGTAAATGTGAAAACGTGAGCGACTCGTTAGAATATTGAGCATAGCGAATATGGAGGACTGAACTGTAAAGTAATTACAGACATGGGATGTAAGATTTCACCTTAAGCCCTGTTTTTTACACTCTCAGGAACAGGTATTTCAAAAGCCATTCTTCCATAATCTGTACTTGAAACTGGGAATTTCTAGAGGGTTTTCAACATGTAATTGAGAAGACTTCAAAGTAAAAGTGGAGCAGAATGACTTATAAACTAAGATGGGGGTCGTCCATTTACCATTCAAAAGAGGAAGCTGGACCAATGCAAAGCGAGCAGACCCCGATGGGTATCTCGAGTGTGCTTCTTCACTCCGGAGTCCGTGGCCAGCATCCACTCGCATTGTTATTATTATGGCTGCGTTTCAGCAGTTACTGACAAATCCTTCTCTCTGCACACATAGGTGTAAGTGTTTGTATTTGTGGGTGCATCTGGTCATATATGGTCTGTGCGTGGTTGTGCGTACGTTGCCAGTATCTGGAAATGCAGAAGCGCAACCTCGCAGGAATGAAGATGTCTACTTCAACGACGATCTCTATGGAGAAGTGGAATGAAGTGTTACAGAATATTCGGACAGCTTCTCTTACGTGGACGATAAAACTGAGATTCATGTCGAAGCGCCCGTTTCATGATTTTGGCGAGACTGGCCGATGGCTTTTGTCGACACGTTCCAGAGTCAACGTCACACCAGAATCAGACCCTGCAGGTCGTTCCCAGAGATACGATCTACATCAACATCAGCCTTGATCTATCAACTGCTGGACGAATGCCTGCCCAAGATGTCGCCATCTCATACAGACTTGCGATGCAACAATGCAATTCGTTCATACAAACAAGCCAATTTCAACATTCGATCTCTACAGGATGCCATGATATTGTTATTCTTATCCTCTCAAGTTTCTCTTTAACTCATGTAAAGTGTGAAAATTTTTGAAAGTTTTGAGGTGTTTTTTGTTTTTCAGATAGTTTAGTATAAGAAAAAAGTAAGAGTGCCAAACTAAGGTAATAACACTTTTGAGAAATCTTCCTGTGGCCTATAAATTGTAAATACTGACCTTAACACATATTTATGCGGTACAGAGTTCAAATGTAATGTTTTCCAAAAATAAATATGAATGCCTTTCATGTACACTTAAAATGCAGCTTGTTTCTTCACAAGTTTTAACTCTATAACATCTCTTTTACATCTTAAATTCACACACAACTGCTACTCTTTCAGGATGTTTTACACTTCAGTTTTTTACTCTACAAACGAAATTGGGTCATCTTGGCTAATGTGCTAATTTACGAGTGTGCTACATCTATGAAGCCTCCTTGAGTGACAAATTTGTGAACAGACAAAACCAATCAGGCAGCACACGTGCACTCAGGGCCTGCCTGACAAGCCATGGTGTCCACCAGTTGGGAAAAGGTTGTCTCCATGTTCTTAGCTGCCAACAAAAATTGCCGTCTTGCCATAGAGCACCCTGTCAAAGACACAAACACATATGTACACATGCACAAATATGCTTACACATGTACACAAATACACAATCAATTACATCCCATTGTACGTCATAGAATGAAACAGGATGTCAGTATTGTCTTCAGATACCATTTACGACTTGCTGAAACACAATCACAACTCAGTGCAAAGCTGACCACAGACCTACCTGACGTAGCTTTAAGTACAAGAGCGTCCTCCAGTTTAGCAATGAGTTCCTCCACTTCGTGGAAGGCCCCTCTGGATTGTTGCTCTGCGCTCCGCTCGTGAGTGCAGTATTCCCAGCTGCCACCGGGATTTGGCTTTTCCACGAAAAGGTCTCGCTCGCTCGGGAGAATTTGTTTGTGAGACGACATGAGCTGCTTCCTGGCAGACTGTCTCTTATCTGTGTTCAGATTCTGTCTCTGATTAGGAGAAGACATTTGTCTCGTGTCAATACAGTCACGTCATCCTTTCAATTACAAACATCTGATTAAGGCACGTTACTCTTATAGCAACAATACAATTACCGCATCTCGTAAAAATGTGTGTTGCTGCTTCACATGAATTGAGGTGATGCATAGCATGAAGCAAGAGTTGACCTGTTGCGTTTGTAAATTATATCGGTGTTTGTAATAAGCTGGATGGATGACGAACCTTGCTACCAAGTCGCTTATGTGAGCCACAACGTTCAGACTTGTGAGCCTCAATGCTGCAGCCATGTAAGGCAGAACACGCATGTCCTTGCTGCTGGTGGCTGCCTGTTTGACTAGGGCAATGCCGAGAGGTGGCAGGAACAATGGAGGTAGGATGAACCAGGGTATCTTCACCAGATCTGGCCACTATTGCACTGAACACAACGCTCTCCCTGGCCGCCACAGCCAGACGTTGCTTCCCTTTGCTGGGGTGCTCCTGGAAACAGAGATACGTTTCTGCGTTTGAAGCTGGAAAATAATGGTGAGCGGCACGAAATGTACTTTACATTAAACTCATTTTGAGCCTACTCTTCAGCCGCACAGGTTGCAGCTGCTGCCTGCAAAGTAATCTTAAGTTTACGTTGAAAAATTAAACAGGTGATTTACTTAATCGTCAACGCGGTTTGCTTTTTAACACGGCGGGTAGCTTTTCATAGTTTAAAAATGTAAAACTGTAAACATAACCATCGCCAAACATGTCATTAGCTCTTATGGCTCTTTCTGCTGTTGGAGAGCTTATATTGCTTAATTTACTGTACTGTGTCCTTTTCATGAAAAGCAACTGGCAGGTTACCGTTTGCAGTGCAGAGTGGCGTGCGATGACGTCCTTTGCATTGTGGTGTGCATTGTGGCCGAGCACTGGACGCTGCCGTGTGCGCTCTTGTGTGGGTCGAGGTCTGGGACTCATTTCTCGCCGTCCTTCCTGAAGCTCCACCTTGGCCAACACGTCTGCAGACACGGAATGCGCCTGGCCCAGCGGCAGAGCGTAACACACCAGTACACAAGCGGTCACATCACATGCCGTGCGTGGGCGTTGGCTCAAATAGCGAGATAAACCTTCAGCAATCTACTGTGGACAGTAGTTAATAGTTGACCTCAACTCAACACCAAACTTCAGGCACGATAGGTGCTATTTCTGTGTGCATTTAGAACAATTCTAAACTATGGTTGCAAATAATGAGAAAGTATGAGTGTTTTAACTTATAGGAATGAGGTCCCCGTTTAACACTTAAATTGTACACAGCACAGATGTAATATATGATACTCATGATAATGTGCAGGCCTTTAGAAGTACACTGCTCCACTGCTGGATTAAGGCTTCCCCATGCCTTGTCAGTTATGGGGATTACATATTCTTTGGGTCGTTCGGTAAAGTCACGTAGATAGGTTAAAAGAAAATAAAAAAAACAACAACGTTTCGATCGCAACACAAGCGGTCGTCTTCGGGAAAAAAAAAAGACGACCGCTTGTGTTGTGATCAAAACGTGGTAGTTTTTTGTTATTTTATTTCAACCTATCCACGTGACTTTACCGAAAGACCCAATGAATATTAATTCCTACAGTCACGAAAGCTTTAAGAGTTATGGGGATTGTTTGATAAAGGCTTCACCACGCTGTTGGGGCCCAGGACCAGGTACGATATCACTCACCACTGATGTTAGTCATGGCTGGAAGTCAAATGTAAGTCGCTGGGTCCACAGTACAACGCGCCAACTCCGTCACCACCACTCCATATGATATAACACTGTTACATGTGGCATCGAAAGTGTGCAAGCTCCTCAAATCGTCCTGGCCTGGCCTTACCTGCTGCTGGAGTGGCTCGGAGCCGTGCCTTTTCAGGGGGAGGCCCCTGGCCACCCTGTGGGGGGACCCTGCCGAGGGGTCCATGCAGTGGCCACGAGAAGGGGCCAATGCCACCTCGCCTGTCGCACTGCATAGGGAGGAGGGGACGTCGTTCACGCGATGACAAGTTCTAACATACGTCTGTAAGTGGCCCTTATTGGTAGTCCTACCCATTTTGCGAATTAACCAATTATTAATGCACTCTTGAACACAATCTAAAGTGGTGAAACTGCACGGGCACTACTGCTAATTTGGTCAGTAAACATAAAACTACTTTTTTAAGCATAATTTTTAGCCACTGCATAAATATGTACAAGTTGTCTTGGAATGTGTTGTTTAAATACCAAAGGTAATCTATTAATAGTTTAGGATGATTTTGCCATGGTATTTAATGTCCTACACATCCACAGAGGCACCTACTATTAATTTGCTGTAGTAATATAGAGTTACAGAATAAATCATGACACTACCAACCAGCATGTGAAATCAAACACTGCGATTTAAGGCACACTGCATAGAAGCCAAATGTGTATTTACACTACTATGCAAAATACACCATGTGCATATCAAGGTACATGCGGTACAAGCACAGCAAATTGTATGCCAGAGGCTTAGTCACACACACTGGCTGAGATGGTCCTGCGCTGAGTGGCGAAGACGGGCAGAGGCGAGCACGTCTCCACACCTCCTTCGTGCGACAGCGCTCGCCCAGAACAATGTTCCTCATCTTCCTCAGGCACAGCCGCACGTCACTCCACACTCCACCCTGCATGCCAACAGCACGCCCTGCGTGTACTCATCGCGTACGTGCACAGCCCTTTTGGCTACTGCCTGACCGGGGTTCTCTCACACCATGCGGGAATGGGAGTTATTTGACCATACCTGTCAGCTGGTGACATTTGCTCAAATTAATTTCAGTTCAGAATCTGAATATTTATACTGGAGGAATCTGATGAGCTATAAGGCTCTTTTTCACAGATGTCCAGTAGGAGCAGGTCAGAACGTTACAACAACAATGTAAAAAAACGATAAGAGTGCAAAGTAAAGGAAAGGTATACACATATCACTGAAATAAATATGCAACTAAAACTACAAAAATGTATCTTGCGAGGTAAAGCCCACTGAGCTATTAGCTTCTTTTTCAGAAGCGACCTGGCCACAAATGATAGCTCAACGAAGTTGCTTATCACGTGCAAATTTATAGCAACAAAATTATCTAAATAATTTAAACGCATTTTGATGGTGACCGAAGATAAGAGTACCACAAAGCAGTTATTCAGGGACTGATGATGGATTTTGCATAATAAACAGAGGACAAGTGCTTTTTGTACACATTTATGCATGTTGTTTGAAACTCATGGTTTTCCGGCCTACACTACGTTTGTGTTATGATGGGTTTATCTCATCATATACAGATTTTAAATTGTGGAGCACATCTATGGCCTGACCGAGGTGCAGCTCTCTATGACGGGATGCGAGGGCGCATGCCACCCAGTGTCCCGCCCAGTCAGGAAACAATTCTGGCACAAGTCCAAGTTCCAGCAGCGCAAACAGCGGAACCTGGCAATGACAGAGGTTAGTGCACATGAATTATCATCATCAGAATATTACTGCTTGCGTTTGGTGTGAAAGCTGGTACATGGCTGTGTATGGTAGCATGTGGCTGAAAGTTAGCCTGTAAATATAAAAATTTCCAACAAATCATTGAATACGCTTGCACTTTTTGTAAAGCATTCGTATAATCAAATATGGACACAAAGTGGTAGGGGAAATCAGGCTTTGTGACTGTGGTTTTACTCTTGTATTTGTATGCATCAGGCACCTGAGACCCACAATTGGGCAGGTTTTGCAAATGTTACACTTGGCCTCATGAATGCTACCCGCAGCCTTCATCATCCGGTACATTGCAGGCAACCAGAGGAACAGCTGCGGCTCAGAGAGGCACCACCCTAAAAACTGAGATTCTGTGATGCTGCCAACAGACTCCTGTGTGAGAAACCGCACAGGCACAGCAGGTTACTCACACATCATACACCTGTAACAGATCCTCATAGCAGCATAAGCACACAGCTGTGATACCTATTGAGCTCTATATGTTTATATTCTTGGTTCTTTTGGTAAAGTCACGTAGAAGTGAAACAATAAAATAATAAAAATATAAAACAAAACAATTAGATTGTTTCCGTTCTACGTGACTTTACCGAAAGAACCAGGAATATGAATCCCTGCAGTCACGAAAGCTTTAAATCTCTATATGTTTATGCATAAAATGCATTCTGCACGTAGTTTATCTTGTAGATTGTATGCCTCATGCACATAGGAATTCAATATGCTCAGGGTTCCGTGCCTAATGGGTCGGTTTTATGGACGGAAAGTTAAACCTTGGAATGTCTGAATGGTAACTCACGGCATGGAAGAGGCTGGTCACTGCCATTTCAGCCGTCCCAAACGCACACCCCTCCCCCAGCAGTGCCAACAGCTGTGAAGCATGCACAAAGCATTCCGGGGCTAAAAAAAACAAATCCATTACCCTTTCCTGTTCAAGAGCCATATATACTGTTAAGGATATGGACGTTAAACAAACATTACATGTTCAACTCATTTTCACATACACACTTTACACAGCCGCCACTTAAGTATACATTTCAACAGTATGCCGATATATAGATGAATGAATTGAACAATTAATGTGTATTATTATCATGGGAATAAACTAATCTTGTGCTATTTTGAATGTGCATGTTTAAGGTTTATCAATTGACATCATAAGTTATTTTTCAATTGGCAAACAGGAGTCCATCATGTACGATGCTGCATAAGATTCACGTAAAATATTATTATTCAGTTACTAGTGGAATAAATATTGTACGTTGTCTCGATCCATGCAGCACCTGGGTCGTGTCCTGTAGGAAGGTCCTGACAGCAGACTTGTTCACTCCAGCCGCAACATCTCTCTTGCCCTGATGGTTGTGCAGCATGGCCCAATAAACAGCTAGAAGACAATAAAGAAATGCTCCTTCAAGTGTGTTTCGTGGTTCACAAAAATGTTTTCAAATGGTTCTCAAATTACCATCCAATTTACCTTAGAGGTGCAGATGTAGTATCCCTACTGCTTGCTACAGCATATTACAGTATTAACAATGCGCCGATTGCATGAAATATATCCTATGCTACCGATGACTATGACAGCTACGTTTAACTTATACCTTTGGACTCAAAAGTACATAAATGTTATTGCATGGAATACCTATAGCATTACAATGTGGAAGTACTGCAGATATCAGTGTGGGATTGAGCCCACGAAATTATTTTCTCTGTAGTCCATCAAGACAAACTCAAACTTCTTGCAAAGCAGAGGCACACAACACCACCTCTGTATTTGTGAGTCAGCTGCCCGGTGGATAGGAGCAGCAGGGCATTCCACATGGAGCGGGGAGACACCTTGCCACTCCGCTCACTTCAAAACGACAGCACAGTCAACAGGCCGGTGAAAGTATGTGAGGAAGAACTCATTTACTCGTTTAACTTGGTCAGAAGGAGAAATTCAACTTGTAATTTTTCAAAATCAAAGTATACTTACTATATTGGTATTTACACAGCATTAATAAAATGTGCAGTCGCTATAACATTCAGCACCGCACGCCCTCACCTGTCACATATGGCAAGTAGGAGGTTGAGGGTGAGCTCGCTCGCAAGTTCCCCATCAACATGCGGCATGGGCTGCTCTCTGCTGGCCATGCCATGCACTTTCCGCAGCAGTTGGTACACTTGCCGGACATTCAGCTCACTCTCCCAGTCCACGGCGGAGGAATTGAACACCGTTAGGATTGTGGACACGCTCACCAGATGCACTGCAATACACGTAGAATGCAAAGCCAATTTTCATGACCCCGTGACTTGTTTGATTATTGCATTTGAACTAAGGAAAATTTTAGAGAAACAGTGGCATACAAATTAATATTTAGCTATGACAAATTTTGGATATGGGGTATTACATATGATCATGAATGAGACTGAATGGACATTTTCTTGATTTTGGCTCTTTGAGAATTCAGGACTTATTCACAACTGTTTCATGATAACCATTGTGACATTTTGCAGTGATCAAAACTCAATCAGATTTTTTGTGCAATCGAAGAGACAGCAGAAAATACCACTTATTATACTGTAATTGCAATTATCTAAAATTATGTGAACCTCAATAAAACAAAATATTTATAAGTTATTCATGAGAGCTATATATTTTGATAAAGAAAATGCCTACATTTAAATAAATACGAGTATAAAGACTACATCACTGTTTGAGACAAGCATATTCAAATGGACAAACGTTTTCGTCTGTTATGTCTAGTTCAGCACTTTGAATTTAGCCTTAATTTTCAGTTCAATATTTAAAACTAAATTATTCATGGAACTGAAGACATGACCTGCTGAGACATGTCTAGTTGTCTAATTTAGCTCATTAAGGCACCTCTCTTGAAACTTCATTATCGCACTGCCATTTGTCAACACTATATGCATCGTACATTTCAAAATGTATTATATTTATCAATGTTTACCTGAAACATGGCATGCATTGCTCAAGGATGTTATAAATATTCCATAATGTGGCTATTTGTGCTATGCATTGGAATATCCCAGATATTATGTTTAAGTCTTTAACATTCTTATATATTTCTACTTTGTAGCACTGCAGCACTGCTACCCGTAATCCAAATCACACTATTAAGGGAAGGAACATTTTTATGAGATGGCACATTTTACAGTTTTGGCAAAGAGATAGCAAATGCGGTGCAAAGATACTCACAGCAGCATAATTTCTGCAGTGCCAGCAATTTTGCGGCAGTCCTGTACACAGCATAGCGGATTACGTTCAGCTGCTCTGTAAGTACAAGACGCAACAACTCAGCATCAACAGACTGTGGGCCCATCTAACTACAGGAGTGTAGCTGGTGCAAGAATGGTATAGAACAGGCGGTGTCTGGGTATTCTCCTTTTGCCGAACGCATACATTCAGTTTGGATAGCTATTCAATTCTAGGCGATATTTCTCGCTCACATGAAATACTTTGATGTACTGTTTTTGTCTTGGTCATGTGTGTATATCAACATAAGCAAAAACAGGCTTGAGAACTGCCACAAAACTCGTGCAAGTTTTAATTGCAAGTCCGGTCTGATACTAAGAAAGCACTTATCAGGCAACTAAAACAATGTACTGTATAGCAGAGTGACTTTCTGCCTCTGTGGCAAGAATGTAACTCCATTGAGAGGAAAGGGCACATAGGGACACCATGGTGGCGAGACGTTAACTACCTTGCCTGTATACATGAGGTTGTGGGCGATCCTGACCATGACGTCTGTATATTTGGAGTTTGCGTGTTCTCCCTGTGGTCGTGTGGATTTTTGTCCGGGTTCTCCGGTTTTTCCCTCCACATTTAGAAACATGCGTTGAGAGTATTTTGTGCTACGAATTTGCACATGATAAGCTACTTCGTTGAGCTATCGTGCCCAGGTCGCTTCTGAAAAAGAGCTCTATAGCTCAGTGGGTCTTATCTGGTAAAATAAAAAAAATGTTTAATAGCTCTGGAAAGTGAAATCTTTGTGAGGCCAAGTAAAACAACGTATTTTAAACACATGTGCCCAATTAAATTCAAAACTGATGTACAGATGTATCTCCTGCCTTCTATTCTCTCGAATTTGAAGAAGTGAGACCATTTCTTACCCAAGTCTCCAAGAGCCCCCTGCATAGCAGGGTGGAACCAGTGAATCTGACCACTCGCCCCACTGCCCCCACTGCCAACAGAAAAGCAAGCAGCAAGGAAAACAGCATCACTGTTAATGACTGTCAGGGTTTCGAATAAAGGTTACATGCCAAATATAAGTTGATTGTTACACTCTACCGAAATAGGGTTTATATATCAGGTTTATAATGATAATGCAAGAAGCCAATAACTACTTACTGCACGTAGTATGGGACTCCCCTGTCTGTCTCCATCGTCTTCCATGGGCCATCGCTGCCACCGTGCCAGGCTAGCAAGCAAGGTAAATACAGCAACAGAATCTCAGAGCAAAACAACAAAAGTCCCCTTTACCCAGGAAAGCCACAGTGATAACTCTCTATCAGTAAGGGTTCTGCATTGAATTTTTTGCTCAATTCCATTCATGGTTATTTCACATGTGGGAGGAAACCAGAATACCTGGTGCAATGCTCCAACATGCAAAGCTCTGGCAGATTAGATTCAAGAATCCTTTGCTAGACTGCCATCTCCTGAAAGCTCATAAGGGGCCGTCCATAAGATGGATTCTGGCTTAGTAACCATTGGAAAGATGTTATAAACCATTTCGGTTCTTAATTGATTGTATTTTACGGTGACCTTCAGACCGAAGTCCATCCGCTGGCACTGCCTCTTAATACCTTGCACACGATGGTCAATGGTATAGTTTATAGCATGTGGTATAATAAATAGTATAACATCGTAATGTTTAACACAATTCATATGGCAATATATAGTATCGTAATTGTATAGTGAATATACAGCAGTGTGGCATATAGCGGGGTTGATAAAATAAGACAGTGCAAAGTTACAAGTCTAATATTTTATAGTCTAAAGTATAGGACAGTGTATAGTAACGCATTGTATAATTCAAAGGTGGAATTTTTTTGTCTATGGATATGATATTATACCATGTAGTTTAGATTGGAAGGTATAATATTATATTGTATAGTAGTCCAGTTTATAGCATAGTTATAACGCAATACAGGACAGAGCAGCGCACCTATCCTATTCCTTTTTTCTTTCCTTTTTTCTGTGTACCCGCCGCCACCCTCCCCCGATCCGGTGGTGGTGCTGGTGGGTAACATGCTAATTCATGTTAATTTATGTTAATTCCGCCCACACAGCTTAAAAGATGCGGTTCATGCTTGGCAATGTTCACTCAAGCACTGTCTTCTGGACAGTCCTGTTTATTCACCTGAAGAAGGCGACTTGTTTTGTGGCCGAAACGTCGTGAAAATCTTATTTTGTTATGTTTTCTTTTTATTATTTTATTTCCATTCTACGTGACTCTAACGAAAGAACCAAGAAGAATCCCTGCAGTCACGAAAGCTTTAAATCGGAAAAAAAATAAAAACCAATGTTTAATACTGTATTCTATATTGCACCTGAAAGTTGCAGCTTAAGCCATTTGTTTATCCATAATTATTAATAGTCTGAATTATAATTTCTAATTAAAGCTTGGACTTAATATAACACACTGCCTGTATAATGAATCAACAGGGCACATGTGTGCTGTACCAACAATACCGCATGTGTTCCTTGTATGGAAACACTATACAGCACTTTACACTTGGCAGAAAGTAAACATGTCAAAGGCTCAAGTTATTGCTCTGCAGACTGAAGTATACAATGATCTATGTGTTACCCTTGGAATGCCAGATAAAATATCAGGCTTACGTGAATGTACTGTGTTGTACATTGGTGGCACCAAACCTGATACCTCTCATGGCGACGACTCTTGTGGTAGCGTCCAGCTCTAATGATGGCCAAGCCAAGTTGACAACATCGTTAAGTCGGCTTACACACCGACTAGACCTGGTATGTCAAAAGGTAGATATTAATGACAGATCTCTTATGTAAGTCACTGGAGTTAAGAGATAAGTGCTAACTGCCATCATGAGGTGAAAGCACCAGCAACCTAAAAGTACACCAGCATAGGAATATACCACAATTATGACTACAATATTGATAGCCCCAATTTGAAATACTGTACTGTAATTGTTTAAATATTAACAATGGAAATCTATAAATGCATTAGTATTGCATATTAAGAATGTAACTTCAAAACATGTGACACTATTACACATAATATATCAATTTCTCTAACGACATTCTCATTGATTTAGACAAAATCATTTTTTACATTACCAATTTATCATTTGACAGTCAGAGGTAATGAGTTTTACAAATCAACAGAGCATGCAATGAAAAGACATATTATGTAAGCAAGGTGCAGATATGTACAGTATTAGGAATTATTAAAATAAACACGAGCTCATCTTAGAACTCCACAGAGGTGGAGCAATTTCAAAAATATCCAAGAGCAATAACAGCAGCAAAATAGGAAAATACCGAGGAGCAAATGCATGTCAGATCACAATTTTTAAGACACTCAATTACAATGTAATTCTTTAACGACGTAGTGCTGTGACGCGTGTATAAAATGAGTTTATCTGTGTGCTTTAAGACAATCCCGACTGCTGAGTGTTTGAAGAAGTGCGGTTTGTGAGAATGGGTCAGCCCAACCAAGTCCCAGAGGGCCTCGTTCTGTTGGTCAACTCACGAGGTTACAGCCCCTCTGTATGTTGAACCTTTTTCACACGTAGCCAATCGTGCTAATTGGAGGTGGAACATGCTAGATCTTGCACCAATATCGATGTCACGAGCGTCATTGGCCCCCATCTGTGCACCAGATGATTGTGGAACATCGTAGATGTCTAGGATGTGAAACATCCAAGATATTTGACATCCTAAATGTTCCACAATACTTCACAGACCCTGGCGATGATGGTGGTGGGCACAGATGGTGGCCAGTGACGCTCGTGACATCGATACGGGTGCAAGATGAGATGGGTTTTTTTCTGATGATGCTGCTGCTAAAACTGAGGATTGTGGCGGTAAACATGCTTATACTCGTGGGATGAGTGATGCAGCAACATTTGGCCGAGATCGATGTTTGCTGGAGCGACTAAAGGACGGTAGCCGACACTGGTGTTTTCTTTTTTTGACGTTGCCGCTGGCGGAATTGAAAGTAGTGGCGAAGGTGAAACTGGCGATACCCACAGCGCCGATTGTTGTGCAGCTGAACGATGGAGACGCCGCTGGTGCAACGAAATATGGTTAATGATGCTGCTGGAGCAATTGGTGATGTTGCTACTGGTGATGATGAAGACGGTGGTGAAAGTGTGTGATACGATGACGATGATAATAACAATGCCGCTTGATTTATGAAGGCGTTGTTAATGCGATGATAATGTTACTGCTCACGATGCCGACGCTGATAATGATGCTGCTGCTACTGGTGGTGGTGGTGACCCGTTAAAGTCGCAGGTGACATGGTAGAAGCTGGTCGACACGCAACCTTAAATTCAACATAGGGCCAGACAAACGGGAATCTTGTGTGGGTGCTGCCTCGTCCCAGAGATTCGTCGTGAGACGCGTGGCTCGTGAGGAGGTGCCAGTGTCAGTGCAACACGACGAAGACCTCGATGACGAGATGCTGCAGTCTCAGACGTGAGGTGCCAGTGACAGTGCAACACGACGAAGACCTCGATGACGAGATGATGCAGTCTCAGACGTGAGGAGGTGCCAGTGTCAGTGCAACATGACGAAGACCTCGATGACGAGATGCTGCAGTCTCAGACGTGAGGAGGTGACAGTGCAACACGACGAAGACCTCGATGACGAGATGCTGCAGTCTCAGACGTGAGGAGGTGCCAGTGCAACACGACGAAGACCTCGATGACGAGATGCTGCAGTCTCAGACGCTCCAGGACGAGGAGATGCGGTGTGGGGTGGGGTGACGCGACCTCCAGGATGAGCTATGATGGGCCGACGATATCCAGGATCAAGAAGAATCTCCGGGATGAGGCGCTCCGGGGCAAGGGCCTCCGTGGACAGGTAATCTGAAAGTGACCCCCTCCAGATCGATAAGCTCTCGAGTGAGAAGCTTCACGACGAAAGCCACAAAGAAAAGAGGGGGTCGCGAGTGAGCAGCTGAATTGAGGGCGAGACACTCCGCAACGACGATCCTACGTGGGCCCAGGGAGCCACAAGGCGAGACGGAATCCCCTCTACGAGAGGGCAGGGTGAGTGGGGGGCCTCGTGAAGAATCGCCTGGCTGATGAGCTCCAGAACGAGGAGTTTTACGGGGGGGGGGGGTGAAGATCTTGCGAGGCGAGTGGGGTGAGTGGTAGTGGTGGGTGTCTACCTGAGGGGGTGAGGGTACGCCCGGGTGAGACTACACTTTGCATGGTTCGCATCTCGGATCGACAACACTGAACTTAAACATGTTTAGAATATAAACCTGGACTAGAGCAGAGCCGCAGTTACGGTCAGGGCAAGGGTCGACAACCAAAATAACAAGGGCAATTTTCTTCAAATTCGGTGAAACCCCCCCTACAAGACGACGGGTACTTAATGGATAACGTCAAAGCACATTTGTTGCAGATCGCACTACTTTAAGAACAGCAGCACGCGCCCAGCGATGGTTTGTTTGTAATACGGCATTACGACCCATCGCTGCCGGGATTTTGAGACGTTCGCCGTTCCGTCGAACGTAATGAAGCGTCGGGAGCCACGAAGCAGCCCCTCAAAGAGCCGCCACGTGCCTCCAGAGCCGCAGGTTTGTCGACTCCCCCACCCCCCCGTGGGGTTTATATCGGGGAATATCACGTACAAGTATCACATTGTCACGTACAAGAATCACATTGTACTATGTCACGTACAAGAGTCACATTGTACTATATGTCACGTACAAGAATAATTATGTCACGTACAAGAATCACATTGTACTATATGTCACGTACAAGAATCACGTTGTACTATACGTCACGTACAACAATAATTATGTCACGTACAAGAACCACATTGTACTATATGTCACGTACAACAATAATTATGTCACGTACAACAATAATTGTCACGTACAAGAACCACATTGTACTATATGTCACGTACAACAATAATTATGTCACGTACAACAATAATTATGTCACGTACAAGAATCACACTGTACTATATGTCACGTACAACAATAATTATGTCACGTACAAGAACCACATTGTACTATATGTCACGTACAACAATAATTGTCACGTACAACAATAATTATGCCACGTACAACAATAATTATGTCACGTACAAGAACCACATTGTACTATATGTCACGTACAACAATAATTATGTCACGTACAACAATAATTATGTCACGTACAAGAACCACATTGTACTATATGTCACGTACAACAATAATTATGTCACGTACAACAATAATGATGTCACGTACAAGAATCACACTGTACTATATGTCACGTACAACAATAATTATGTCACGTACAAGAACCACATTGTACTATATGTCACGTACAACAATAATTATGTCACGTACAACAATAATTATGCCACGTACAACAATAATTATGTCACGTACAAGAACCACATTGTACTATATGTCACGTACAACAATAATTATGTCACGTACAACAATAATTATGTCACGTACAAGAACCACGTTGTACTATATGTCACGTACAACAATAATTATGTCACGTACAAGAACCAGGTTGTAAAAGGCCGCGGACACTGTCCCGCGGTCACCATCGACGAGACTGTGGAAGGGGGCGGGGCGAGCCGGGCCGCGTCGCCGAGGCGACCGCGCCGCGTCGCCATGGCGACCGCGTGGGGTGCGCGCGCCCGGCAACAGGCGAAGAGGTTCCGCGCCACTCTTCGAGCTCCGGTTCGTACCGCGGTAATGGTCAACGTGGAACAAACCTTTATTTTTTAATCCCACTAAACTCCGTACACCCAATTACTGCACGGTACCGCGAATTACGATTAATTGTTACGCGTGCTAGACGACGCGCGCGATTTGACTGAGCGGCGAGCGAGGCGCCTTCAGCAACGTGCAGTGCGAGTACAGCGTGGTCCACATGTCCAGTGACCCCCAATTAATTGACCCCAAACATTGCCTCTAATTACTTTATGTTTTATATTAACCTTACTTTAAATATGTATAATCTTCAGTTTTAGAGTATTAAATCTGGACCACCCTGTACATCGCAGTGGCCGAGTGTACAACGAGCGATGGGTATGGATACGGCTCCGTGTTATATGTTTCTGAGGATGCGATAATATTACTCGGGATATCGCTGATATACAGACATTGTTTACTCAGGATGTCGCTGATATACAGACATTGTTTACTCAGGATATCGCTGATATACAGACATTGTTTACTCAGGATATCGCGGATATACAGACATTGTTTAGATACACGACAGCTGAGGATACAGCCACAGCTACGAAATATAATAAGTCACTGAGGACACAGCCTTCACGGAACACTTGAGGATACATCAATAACAATGAAAGCAGCATAGATACAGTAACGCAGGATACATCAGTTACAGCAGTGTTTAATTCTACCGAATTGAGATTACAGCAGTGGTGTAAAACAGCAGCCGATACGCACCACAACAATACCGTACCCACAAGGGTTCTCGTATTCTTGTACATGGAAATTGAGTTTTCAGGTCCATACGGCGTGCAGACGTTTCAATACGGGCACAAAAAACAATGTTTTTGTCTATTTGTTTGTGTTTCTCGCTTGTGATGGGACTTTGTAGGATGAACGTTGAGATTTATAAGGGGCACGGGGTGACCAGTAAGGTCTGAATTGGCCTGTAATACAGTGAGGGAAAAAAGTATTTGTTCCCCTGATGATTTTGTACGTTTGCCCACTGACAAAGAAATGATCAGTCTATAATTTTAATGGTAGGTTTATTTGAACAGTGAGAAGCAGAATAACAACAAAAAAATCCAGAAAAACGCATGTCAAAAATGTTATAAATTGATTTGCATTTTAATGAGGGAAATAAGTATTTGACTCCTCTGCAAAACATGACTTAGTACTTGGTGGCAAAACCCTTGTTGGCAATCACAGAGGTCAGACGTTTCTTGTAGTTGGCCACCAGGTTTCCACACATCTCACGAGGGATTTTGTCCCATTCCTCTTTGCAGATCTTCTCCAAGTCATTAAGGTTTCGAGGCCGACGTTTGGAAACTCGAACCTTCAGCACCCTCCACAGATTTTCTATGGGATTAAGGTCTGGAGACTGGCTAGGCCGCTCCAGGACCTTAATGTGCTTCTTCTTGAGCCACTCCTTTGTTGTCTTGGCCGTGTGTTTTGGGTCATTGTCATGCTGGAATACCCATCCACGACCCATTTTCAATGCCCTGGCTGAGGGAAGGAGGTTCTCACCCAAGATTTGACGTTACATGGCCCCATCCATCGTCCCTTTGATGCGGTGAAGTTGTCCTGTCCCCTTAGCAGAAAAACACCCCCAAAGCATAATGTTTGCACCTCCATGTTTGACGGTGGGGATGGTGTTCTTGGGGTCATAGGCAGCATTCCTCCTCCTCCAAACACGGCGAGTTGAGTTGATGCCAAAGAGCTCCATTTTGGTCTCATCTGACCATAACACTTTCACCCAGTTGTCCTCTGAATCATTCAGATGTTCATGGGCAAACTTCAGACGGGCATGTATATGTGCTTTCTTGAGCAGGGGGACCTTGCGGGCGCTGCAGGATTTCAGTCCTTCACGGCGTAGTGTTACCAATTGTTTTCTTGGTGACTATGGTCCCAGCTGCCTTTAGATCATTGACAAGATCCTCCCGTGTAGTTCTGGGCCGATTCCTCACCGTTCTCATGATCATTGCAATGTTTCTTCCATTTACGAATAATCGCAGCAACTGTTGTCACCTTCTCACCAAGCTGCTTGGCAATGGTCTTATAGCCCATTCCAGCCTTGTGTAGGTCTATAATCTTGTCCCTGACATCCTTGGAGAGCTCTTTGGTCTTGGCCATGGTGGAGAGTTTGGAATCTAATTGATTGCTTCTGTGGACAGGTGTCTTTTATACAGGTAACAAGCTGAGATTAGGAGCACTCCCTTTAAGAGTGTGCTCGTAATCTCAGCTCGTTACCTGTATAAAAGACACCAGGGAGCCATAAATCTTTCTGATTGAGAGGGGGTCAAATACTTATTTCCCTCACTGTATGAATAAGGTAGACACTGATAAGGGGTTGACAGGTATGAATAAGGTAGACACTGATAAGGGGTTGACAGGTATGAATAAGATAGTCACTGGTAAGGGGTTGACAGGGTATAAATAAGGTAGACACTGATAAGGGGTTGACAGGTATGAATAAGATAGTCACTGGTAAGGGGTTGACAGGTATGAATAAGGTAGACGCTGATAAGGAGTTGACAGGTATGAATAAGGTAGACACTGATAAGGGGTTGACAGGTATGAATAAGGTAGACACTGATAAGGGGTTGACAACTATGCTATAAAGTTGAAACCGTAGTAGTTTAAATTGTGACAACAGCTATGCACGTCACTTTGTTGAACGAAATATGCTGTATTTTTTCCTTTCATCTTGTGTGTTTATAAAAAGCAAATTTCAAATGGCAGAGAGCCCGGAGGCATCAAAAGCTGTGGATCACGGTGTTCCTGGCCATACTTCAAGTCCAGAACCGCCCTCAACGTCCACCGGCCACGAAAGGGGGTGAGCATCCCTTTGATTCAGAATTAGTTTTGCAGAGCGACATGTGCAATGTATAATAACAGAATCAGAATCTTTATTTTTACTGAAGGAATCCCATGAGCTATACCGCTTGTTTTCACAGGTGTCCAGTAAGGGTGGGTAAGAAAGTTGCAACAACAATACAAAAATAACGATAGGAGTGCAAAGCATAGGTAAGGTAAGTGAACCACATGTTTTTGTTATGAAACTAATCTACTTTTATTTTACCAAGTAAAGCCCACGGAGTTATTAGTTTCTTTTTTAGAAGAAACTTGGCCAAAAATCATAGCTCAAGGAAGTGGCTTATCATGTAGACATGTATAGCAGGCAAACCATCTAAATAATCTAAACGTATGTATCTAAGTGTGGAGGGAAAAACCAGATACCCCGGAGAAAAAATCCAAGCGACCGCGGGGAGAACAATGACACAGAAATCTAAAGACTAACTGACTCTCAAGACTCCCTTTCCAAGAGGCTACTATGTTTTAATCTTCTGCCAATTAATGTTAGGCGTTAAGAGCAATGGGTATTTTAATTTATTACAGTCATATACAAATCTATACTAATGGTAAAGTGATGTCAAGCACAACAATTCAAATAATTCACACAACCGCTATGCACTGAATATATACATATGTGTGGATGGTACTCTTGTTGACATTTTTTTTACAAAAATTTCAACTGAAATGGAAGTAGACAGATGTCTAGTCACAGCCCTGTCAGAATGGGCGAGATTTGAATCCGAGTAGAAGTGGGAAGTGACCTTTCCCTCAGGCCGAGAGTACTTTCACTGCACATGCCAGATGCGGGCTAAAACATGAAGGCGGTGTGAGGCAATAACTGCCTGGTAATTCGTCTGGCACTAAATGAGACAATGCCACTTCATATATCAATTGAAGTGTAATTATGAATTTGGAAGAAAAAAACTGCTCTCCAGGTAAAGAGGGTAGGATGGTTTTTAATTTGAAAGAAATCTGTTGTGGGTAAAGAAGGCAGGAAGGTCTGCATATAAAACATTCTGTAGGGACAGAAGTGCCAGTTTCTTTCCTCATATCTGTTGGGACAGTAGTCACTTCCTTTCTGTACATGTTACCGAGTTTATCTAAATAGATGTGAGTTATATTCTTGGTTCTTTTGGTAAAGTCACGTAGAAGGGAAACAATAAAATAATAAAAATATAAAACAATACAATTCTCACGACGTTCGACTGCAACACAAGCAATCATCATCAGGTGTGAAAATCACAGAAAGGAATTTTGAAAAAAGTGGCGGTTATTTTTAACGTTGATTTCACACCTGATGATGATTGCTTGTGTTGCAGACGAAACGTCGTGAGAATTTTATTGTTTTATATTTTTATTATTTTATTGTTTCCCTTCTACGTGACTTTACCGAAAGAACCAAGAATATTAATCCCTGCAGTCACGAAAGCTTTAAATCTAGATGTGAGTTCTTAAAAGTGTTAGAAATAAGTATGTGCGTGTGATTTTTTTTCAAGTTCTGTGGTGATGACATTAAATATGTTTGTCCCTTTTGTCTTTGTGATTCGAAGAGAAATTGATGTACTCCTCCCCGAACCAACAACTCCCTTGAATGATGATGAAGAAGAGGCGTCTGTCGTATACGCAGCCACTCCTCGCGTGGCACTGGATACACCTTCAACAGATCACAGCTCCCCTGAGGCACTGGTAAAGCGCAGCACCCAGGTGGTGTGTGTACGCACACCATAAAAGCCGCAAGATTCATTGGAAATGTGCAGTCGTGTAATCAGTTGATATAAGCATTAACGGTGATCAAAAACTTACTGCGAATACCATACACAGCTTACCACATGAATTGGTTTTAACTGAATTCTCAGAAAAGATGGGAGATTACAAACCCACTGTTGACAATAGTGAAGAAAATGAAACTGAAATGTATGCATATGTGACATGAAAAGGGGGACTGTTAAAACATCATTGTAGGGGGCATGGTCAAAGGAAAACGAAGAAGACAGCCCAAGATTAATAGGATGATAAATGTGCTAACATGGAGTGATAATATAATCCGACACAACCCTGACAAAACACTGCGAAGGACATGCAAAAGTGCGGAGTTGCACCCCTACGACGACTTCGGTTAAGGGATAGATGATATATAAATACTTATAGACCCTAAAGAGTTGTGATGTATGATGTATTTTTTTTGCAGGGTCTGTTAACTAAATTGTGTTTGGTTGGTGGTGTGGTGTGTGGCAGGTATTGGCGTGGTCCATCGGCGTGAATTCCCGAGTAGCTGTGAGGAGCCTGCAGGATGCGGAGCGCAATGCAGTCATCTACACGTGTGGTCGGGCGGTCATTCTCTTTGACTACGAGAAGCACACTCAGCATATCCTTCAGGTGTGCACAGAACCACATCTCAGACAACGTATTACAGTGCAACACCGTGCTGTACTAAAGACACAAATCTGGAAAGAAGTCCACATTCGATTGCATATATCGTAAAAAATACGTCTTTTTTTCATTACCAGTAATTATTAAACTCTACATTTTTATTTAGCTCTCGACTTGCTGTTTGTAATTACATTGCAGCCGTTCCAATAACACTGTATTACTATACCTTGACATTATTTCTTCTGAAAACTAATTATGCACAATGTTATTATGAAAAAAATATTTTACCTTTCCTGTAATACAATAATATTCCTGAATTGTTTTGTTATCTCAATGTGCTATATGTCTTCCTTATATTAATTTGTGTATACTCTACTGCTTTTGAATCTCAATCCAGTTGCCTTAAAATAAGAAATTGCATCTTTCCAGATTCTTACATGATTTACAAATACAGAATTCTCATGATTATCTGGATACTGTTTATATGTATGTTGAACTTCTTTCGTACCATATGTAGCCAACCGTGCTAATTGGAGGTGCAGGGGAAGGACAACAAACTTAACACAAAAACTGTTAAAAACAAATTAGTTTTCAATCTAGATTTTAAACTGCATAGCTCCAGTGGCTTCCTAATTTCGGAAGGCAGAGCATTCCAGACGGCTGCAAAAGCGCATCTGAAAGCACGGGATGCAGTGACCATATGTGTGTTGGACGTGGAGGTGCTTAATTTTGTGCTGTGTTTGTCTTAACAGGGACACGCTAACACTCTATCCTGCATGTGTCTGAGTGAAAACAAGCGGTGGCTTGCCACAGCAGACACTGGTCCAGGAAGCACTGTGATAGTGTGGGACACATACTCTGGGTAACGGTGACTTGTTTTCACAGTGAAACCAAGCTCACATGCAAATGCTAGATTATTCTTGCACTATATGCACGACATATGCTTATAGTATTATATACACAGACACACTGTATTTTATTTCAGTCACGTGTATTTTCAGATTGTGGATACATAAAACAAACCAGGATGTCATATTGTTCTATGTTACCAAAAAGAAAAGCGCATTCCAGATTGTTATTTAAATTCGGGTTGCATTTGAACTGGAAGAATATGTTTTGTTAAGAATATACATTCTTCATTTGGAGCTTTCATGACTGCAGGAATCCATACTCTTTGGTTCTTTCTGTAAAGTCACGTAGGTAGAAAAAATCATAGATCACGACGTTTCGATCGCAACACAAGCAACCGTCATCAGGTGTGAAACAAACACAGCAGGAGGACGTTCCAGTACTTAACACTCAAATACTGTTCTGGCTGCCTTTTCCACAATTGACAGCGTTTTTGAAAAGGGGTTTGTATTTTGCCAAGTGGGAATCGTGCAAAGTTGAAACCTTGCAAGATGGATGCTATTTTAAATACAGTATTTAAAGTACATAAGTGACAAGTCACATGCACTAGTCATGTGGAAATTATTTTTTAAAATATGGGTGTGTACAGGATGGAGGGGGGGGGGAGAACCTGCTGCTATAAGCGGTTTTTGTTTGCAGAAAAATGCTCTGTACAGTAATATTCACTGGAATCCAAGCTGTATATGGTAGCAAGTGTATCTCACTGCAAAGTTTGTATAAGTAACTGTCGAGCATAAAAACATGGCATTACTTGTGCGAAAGATGCTGCTGAATGACTATGCCATGACCTAGTTGAAATACCAGTGCCAAACTGCCTCCAGGAGAACCAGCGAAAACACATTGCTATATTCGGTATAGCAATGTGTGGGAAATTGATGGATAGTTGTACGGATTAGTGCGCGACTGCAATGGGGAATATAATTCACGGAAATATTCATGCAAATCACTTAATTTTAGTTATCAGAGTAAGTTGTATTTATTTGTAAGTAATCTTACTTTTTCAGTTACTCTATAAATTTGATTTAACAGGTTTCCTAGATCAGCTGCACTTTGTGGCTGTGCAACCCGGCATTGAGATCGCTCCTAGCATTCTGAATTAAGCACAATAACTATATATGTGTAATTTGGGACGTGAAAGCGGCTAACAGAATCACACCCACATTTTGTAACAGAAAAAAAACGTCAAACACATTCCTCAATAACACTGCCTTATAAAAGGATAAATATATAGAATAGGTGGCGTTTCATGCAGTGGCCCTACCTCATAGCACATACGTGTGAAAGGGGAGTCCACACGAGATGATCTTCGGGTAAGGGATTTTATTGGAATTCCTCACTATACAAATAGCATGAGTAGGTAGTCTTCTCTCTGCATGAGCCCCGGGGAATGGGTCACCACCCCCCTTATATACCCTCAGCCCCCAGATCTTTCCAGAAAGTTCCTCTCACTCCTTTCCTGCCAAATCTCTCTCTCTCCTCCAGTCCTCAGCGAATCAATCCCATGCCTTCCCGGCTTTGTTCCTGCCGCCCTCAATATTTAATTAATTTGCAGTGCATCCCTTTGTCCTCGCTTAACCCCAATGCGTCCCAACACTACCCTTACAAGTTGTACGGAGTGTATTTAGTGGGAAAAAAAACACTTTTACACCACACATTAATAATATAGCTGCACGTATACAGACTATGTGATTTTGAGGTGTATTTGCACTCCAGCTGAAATGTCAACGTGTACTCTGTATTCTCCCAGAATTCCGGTGCACACGTTGTTCTCATGTCATCCCGAAAAGGGTGTTGTTGCCATGACAATGAGCCCAGATGCCAGTTACATCATCACCTTGGGGACTGAAACACCCCAGGTATGCGATCATTACTGCAAGTCATAATTCACTGTTCTGTTGGAGTGGCATTTTTTCTCTCGTACGTTGCTGCAATTGCTGTTAAAAGAAGTAAGATGTATTAAAGTACAGTACATGTTTATTTAATTTAGTTGATCATGGTGTGCATTAATGTAACAGTAATTGGCAGCTGAGTGTCATGAAAGGAGCGTATGTCGTCGTGTGGTTGGTACATGTTAGGTGCCGTCCATAAATAACGTCACGCGATTTTGGACTATTTTTTAGCCCCCCCCCCCCCTCCCATCATCACACGGCGTCACAAAAAGTCAGACCCCCCCTCAAATATGACGTCACAAAGCTCTATCCCCCCCAAAAAAAAATTACACATGCTTCAAATGGCTTTAAACTATTGTCATTGTAGTGCGTATTTAATGTGGCGCTGCACTCTGATGTTGTAGGAGAAAAACATTTATTAAAAAGTCTATTTAATGAAGTAGAACGTGTTGTCTATATTTATTTAAAGTTGCGCATTTTGATGTGACGTCACATTTGTCAACCCCCCCCCCCCCTTCGTCACACATCGTCACAAATATCTAACCCCCCCCAGGTGCGTGCCGTCATTTATGGACGGCCCCTTAGGCACATTGCAATTCACCCCCTCTCCCACACGATTGAATGATTTGCCCCGCAATGCAAGAATCAGTTATTTCTGTCAAATTTTTACTGTCCCGTTCATATTGTCTCTCATTTGTTCCGTCTCATCTATGCAGTATCGTTCCAGTAAAATGTACACAAAGTGCACATACATTGTAAATACGATATTTCATTCCTGCATGCACAACTTGACGCACGTAATGTGCCCATAAGAATCAATTCATTTTCTTTATTTGTTTTCTAGAGAAGAGCCCATAGAAGGTAATGTTCCATAACTACTTCTGAAATCCTTTAATGTGACCCCTTTTTATCCCTAGGGCTGCTTTTCTTTCCCATACGCTTTGCTATCTAGATATTCCATTGCATCACAGGCAAATCAAAGTAAAATGTAATTATCAGATTTGGAATTTTGCCCAGTTGATTAAACAAGTCAATTTAATGTGAATGTACGTGTGCAGTTAACGATGACTGCGCTGACACCATCAACTTGCTATCCTAGTTTAATATAGCAGTGGCTGTCATGATATTAACCAGGTACCTCTGGTTCTGTCCCAGTACTGTCCCTTGAGCCACCCAGCTACCTCAAGAATGTATTTTAATCAATTAATAATTACAGTATATCACAGAAGGTGTGCAGCGTTTTACAACAGGAACATTTTGTTTCATAATGATGGTGTTTTATCGGCGTTATAGTGTGTCTCACTGAGTGTGCATCTCACAGTGGGAATGTTGTGTGTTGCAGAGGGTGTCTGTATGGCGTTGGACCATCGAATCAGATCTGCCAGTATGCTCCGTGGAATTGGATCCTGACTGGGGGTATCAGGTGAGGGAATCAGTTTAATAATAATAATACATTTACAGCCCGGCTACTGGATGAAGGCCTCCTCATGCCGTGTCGGTCATGGGGGGTTGTTTGACCATACTTCATGGTCAGTGCGGGGTTGGAGTCGCGGGGATGTGGGGCCAGGATAAATTGGGATTTCACTCGCCACTGATGTTTAGAGTATTTGGCTGCTATAAATTTCCACGTAATAAGCCACTTCGTTGATCTATCATATGTGGCCAGGTCGCTTCTGAAATAGAGCTACAGTATATAGCTCAGTGAGTCTAACCTGGTATAATTAAACTTGTTTAGTTTAGCTGGGAATCTAACTCGGTAAGGTTCATAGTACAGCACCGTATCGACTGCACTAATGCTGAACCAATAAGTAACCTTTCTAATATCAGATGAGAGCCTGATGAGACTTAGGAAACATGGGGAAAAGAATATAGCGATGTAAATGCCATATTCAAATTCAAGAATATAATCTTTTGTTTGCATGCTGAGATACTGCTGAAGCGTGACAGCATGAATACATCTCTGTAATAGAATGATCTATACGTTGTCAGATAACACAATGAGCCCTGTAAAAAGCCGTGCATATTCTGGGCGAAATTGTCAGTCAAGTCCACGAAGCATTCATAAATGTAGTAGCCATGATTCGGTGTCTTCAATCTCACCTGATAGTGACCCTAAGGAGTTGACAACAGCAACAGAGATTATGCTTTTTGATGATCTGGTTATATTCATGAGTCACCAATGTAAGATTAATATGTGTGTGTGTATTTCCCTCTTAGACACATGTGACTTTCAATATCAGTGACCACCGTCATTTCATAACTAACAGTGAAACACAGGCTGTGTTTTACCAATGGGTGAGTTACACAAAATCTGAATCATCCCACATGTAACACTTCCTGCATATCATGACCATCACTACTGGACGACAAACTGTGTTTGAGGCTATTAAAAACCGTGAAATACTCGAGAAGATTAATGGACTACAACATTTCTATTTTAATGCATGTGGCTAAGTTAAAATCTATTTCTAGTGATGTTCTTTAATGCAATGTCCGGATGGTGGTGTGTCTGCCTGTGTGTTCCAGAGTGATAACAGCATAGAAATGTATACCCCTGTGCTTAATGAGCAGGTAAGTTCAAACTTTTTTTGTCAATTAGTTTTTGTTATTATAAATGTACAATAAATTAGGCCAATGAATGCTCGGAAGATTTTTTTTCTTCTCTCTAAATTTCAAACCCTGTTCTTGAGAGAAAATTTGTGAATTATTAAAAAGGTTGCATGCTTCATAAACATTGGAATTAAAGAATATACACCCATGCTACTAATGTATAGCCTAAGAATAAAAAATGACAATTGTGAATTTGAGCAAATCTTAAGCAACAAAAGCAACCCTTTGCATAACTCGTAGATAGCACGTGAAAAATCCACTTTGTGATTGAACACTATAAGGAGTTGTATATGGATATGTGCACAGTCATCCAGGTTACCATATTGCGTGTAGTATGTGCGACATCCTGTAGTAGTATTATATGTTGTGTACTTGTGCATAATGACAATGGTGTGTATACAATTTATAATGTGCATGGTATGTGTCTGTGATATGCATTTCACTTAGTGTGTGGTATTTGTATCTCACAGACATTTGGCCGTGCAGTGGGTCCCCTAACGCACTCTGTGTTCTCACAATCGTCTGTACTTTCCGGCACGGCTACTGGTAATCTGGTGGTGTGGAGTGTGCCGGGGTGTGCACCCAACGTGCACACAGCCACACATGGTGCGGTACGGAAAGCCCTTAAACTGCTACATCTACAAGATCGACCAATCACAACACTTGCTCTGTCTGACCAGTAAGTGGTGACATATTTCCAGCAATTTAATGCCAAAGAGTAGGACTCTAGTAAGCAGCTTGCTTTAGATAACGACACAATGAAGAGCCTGGATGAAACTCACTCAGTGCCATACCAATACGCACGAAGTGGTAGGTTAGATTCCTGACTTGCTCCTCTAATATATCTTCCCTCTGCCTTTAAAGTTGCACTGCCATGTGAAACTATACAATAGGATAAGTAAAGTATTTTATTGAAAATACATGTTTCGTTGTTTTTAAACCAGTTCATATTTGAAATATTAATTTATTTAGGTTAGTTGAGAGCACAGACACCTTTAATAGTAGCCTTATATAATGATGAGCCATGTAATACAACTCATATTGACAGTGTGCATCCTAATAATACCCGGAGGAGCATTCAAAGCTGCGCTTGTGTCCAAATGTCTGATTTTTCATGAGTGGTGGAATGTGACCTGAAATGTTTATAGATTCCAATTTGGGAAACTGCATTTTCAGCCACCATAATGAGGATTATGCATATAAATATGACATACTATATATACTGTATGAAAAACTTAGTAGATTTTTATAATTCTGTGTCTACACAGCCATTAACAAAACATTTTACGTAACATAATCTACTCACTTTCACACGCAGATTTGTGGTGACAGGTGACACAACCGGCACCGTTCGATATTACGACCTCCAGCTACGCCTGCTCTTCTGGCTCCAGATTCCCCACGTAAGGGTGCAGCAGGGAGGCAGGTTGGACAAAGGGCAGGAGGCCCCAGGCAGACTACCGGGGGGGACCAAGACTTCGGGGCAGGGAGTGGCCGCGGGGCACACTGTGGTGTGCGTGTCTTTCTCAGCCGAACCAGGACGCCCTCTGGAAGGACAGTCACCCCCACGTGACGCCAGCCTGGAAGCAGCACCATTCGTGGCAAGGTGCGTGTGTTTGCACCGAATTTCATTTCACAATCCTTTTTGTTATTTGAATGATACATTTATTTCTATGGGCCAGACGGAAGCTTCACTGGACACGAGGTTACACAATACACATGTGTAGTGACATGGAATGGGTCACTACGTAGCATAGTGCCGGTTGCTGGCAGAGAAGGGGATCTGCAGTTGCAGCAGCCCTGTCTGTCAGCAGGTCACGTGATAAGTGAGAGAGAGGGATGTAGGGGAAAGGTGATAGAGGGGGCACGTGACGTAAGCCCGGGAACCCGCGAGTAGGTTCTAGAAGGGTGGCCGGGGCGGAGAGAGGCCACTCTAGGAGGATAAAAGGGGACCCCGAGCGAAGGCTCGGGGCTGTTGCCTGGAGTGGAATCCCGTCGTGCTGCTGGTGTCTCGCCACCATCTTCACCTTCTCGACGTCCGCAGTCCGGCAGTCTGCCAGCTGTCCTGACTGAGAGTTGTAGTTATCCCT